ATACTTCATGTAATTAAATTGGGCTCTATAGATAGAGGCCCTCTCAACTCGTACGCATCATCTGCACTAGACTGGTGGGTAATACAAAGAAAGAATATAGATAGGGAATTTGTATGGGAGGGAAATGATAACACGAAGGTTTCACAGGACCGAAAGTAGAGCCAATTTGAGATGGCCAATCTCCAAGCCCCTCCTGGAGTTGAGACTCAAATTCTTCATCTCCCTCTCATTGAAAGGAGGGATAGTTCTTATATCCATCCTTCATCCTCTATGATCTGGTTGTTTCCTAACCATTGCTGAACTAGTTGTTACAATCCGGCTCAATGGCTTTCTTGGTCTAGTTCCTTGGTGTACTATTGTCAGTACGTCAACCTAAGCCCATTAAGTCGTCACTTATTTTCTTACATAAATATTTTCTGTTATTAAACATCAAAGAGGTTATCCAAATCATTTAGTAGTCCTAGAAATAGACTAGAGAAGATGACTGTCATTTGAGAGGTTTACCTTGCTTGATTTCACAAGGAGAGGCCGTGAAGGTCATTGGTTTAGAAGGAGAGGCTATGAGGGTCATTCGCTACGCAAGGAGAGGTTGGGAGGGTGGTCAGTCACATGGAACATGCCTATTTTGCTGAAGTTTGGTCTAATCTAGGGCTGATCAACCTCCTAAGCCTCTCCTTTGGTATTACATTATCTTACGATCAGCCTCCTTTGGCGCTCGCTGAGGCATTCTACGCTGCCTCAAGCTTTTGCTCAATGACAAATTTGAGCACCACAGATGATAAAAGTCGATAAACTTACAAGGCCTCCATTGGAGTTGAGAATAATCCTACTGCACCTGAACAGCTGAGCATCCTCTTCGCACAAAACTTGTCACATCAGAGAAAAATAACACCATTACTTGAGACGAGCTCTAGAAATTCCCAGTGTTCTGACTTAACTACTTCACTCTAATTAACGTAGAAGCCTACTTGAAAGTCTTAGAACAGAAATACTGAGCAGCAGAATGTTAACGCGAGAGAACTCACAAATTGAGAATTTGGGGAAGGATCCCCTGTCATCCTGCCCTTCTGCTCACTGCTCTCCATTCTTGTCCATTTCGAAACGCAACCCTCAGATTCGACTAGAGAGAGATACAAGATACACAGAGAAATATAGACAGAGAGGGATGCAGGAGAGGGGGGGGGAGAGAGAGAGAGAGAGAGGATCACTAGCTCGCGTGGGGAAGGAACCAGAAGTACACGCCGCAGGGGGTTTCGTGGTTTACCGGCGACGACTGAAGCCCCGCGAGAGAGGACGCAACTCATCCCGAAACGGCCGACGACGGCAACACTGTGTCTCACGCTCGCTCGATTGATTTTTCTCTCTGATACGGCAACGAGACGAGAGTCCTCTGTCTTGTGGGTTTCTTGAACCTCGATGGTCGGTGGACAGGAGGAGGAGGGAGGGCCGCCTCCGCCGGTGACCAGATGGGGTGGCGGCGATGTGCAAGATGTGACCACATAGATATTAAACTATTCACCATCAATCTAAGGGCAAAAACTACTGATGAATGGCAATATATCAAAGAAGAATTGTGGACTAAGGTATCAAGGAAAAGATAAAGATTCAATATGCTTCATCTACAGCTTTACATCGTATGTGTAAGGCATATTTGAGCCCAGACCTTTTTGACAGAGCCATACCAGCCTCCTACTTCACTACCTAATCGGTGCCGCAAACTAAGACAAAGTTGTCCAATTGTCTGAATTCTATGTGGCACTAACGATCAGGAGTAGGAGGGAGAAAGACAGCAGGAGAGCACCAAATTTGATTACGAGATGTAACATAGAATTGGATTTCCTCTGGTAGACCAGAAGCTGCGCCTCTGGTGGATTTCTCTCTTCTTGAGATGTGAAATTTGTGCCATTCAATTCTGGCTGACCCAACTCGGTTAGTATCTTCTTTTGGAGTGGTTAAATTTGGGCTCGTCCTGTCATCTCTCTTCTCCTCGCGCAGAGAGCACCCCCCCACCATCCGCCAAGAGGACCCACAGAAGAAGACAGATATAATTAAGAATCAAGATGGTGTGGTACATCCTCTCTCTCTCCCTCGCTCTCTCTCTCACTTGGTCTCTATTCTGTCCTGTGGGTTTATGGACTGTCGGTGACTGATTGGTGGGTGGTCATCATCAAGGTCGGTTATATTTTCTTTGCTTTGCTCCTCTCTCTCTCTCTCTCTCCCTCTCTCTCTCTCTCGCGCACTATATTCTGTCTTGTCGTTGGGTTTACGAACTCTCAGTGATTGGTTGGTGGCCAAGAGTAGGGATGTCCATCCATGGCGGTGACCGGTGAAGAGTCAGAGGAGGTAGTGACGATACGCGTCGAATGTAAGTGCAAATGCTCCGGTGACCTCTCCCTCTGCACGCAACCCTCCGGTGACCCCTCTCTTCCTTCCCCCGTCGCCCCTCTTTCGCCCCCGATGCATCACGGTGGCAAGAAGAAGAGTCCGCGCCGAAGGCTGGTAAGAAGAAGCGCCGCCGCTGGTCATCACGCTCATCTCCACACGAGGCGGCGCTTTTTCCCAGGCCCTCCTCCGGCGAGAGCTCGTGGTTCTGCTCGGAGGGCCGCGGCTGCGACGGGTTCCCCGGCGCCTGACTGATTCCAGCAATCACCCGGCAGGTGCCTCTCTCTCTTACCCACACACGCACACGCTCGATCGATTTTTTCTCTCTGATACGGTAAAGAGACGACAGCTCCGGCCCTCTTCTCGAAGTAGAGCAACTCGTGCCTGCGGCCGCATCTTGCACATCGTCGCCACCTCCTCTGGCCACCGGCGTAGGCGGCCCTCCCTTCTCCCCACCACCGACCAGCGAGGTTCAAGAAACCGGGGAACAACATCCCCTGGCGAGCGAAAGAGTGATGTTAACTTGAAAAACCAGAAATGTATTTACAATTTGTGCAGCGTGAGTATATTCCACAATCCCAAGCCTTCTGGACTCAGTATCGTCACAGCCCTTTGCCGGAATCTTGACTACATGACCTGCTCTTCACAATCAAGCTGTTCATCACTTCCAAGAACGAGGGGCCCGTCTGCATCCGCACAAGTTGCATCCTGTAGGGAAGAGTGGAGGGGAGGGGAGGTTGTTCAGGAACCGGAGATTCATAGATCAGCCGACAAGACGACAACTCCAAAACTTCCCGGTGCTGTTCCACCGCCGCTCGACGGCGAAACGTTCGCCCTCTCCACAAGCCGGTTCTCAGCCTGCCGTCGCCGCCGCCGCCGGCGAAACAGGCGGCGGAAGGAGGAAGAGACTTGGTCAGAGGATGCCGCGAGAGAGGAAGCGAGAGACGCAGAGTTGGCCACTGGCAGATTTAAATTAATATCATATTTGTGTACAAATTATCTCGCCAGAATTTATAAAAAGAAGAATTTCATTATTTGCGGCCCGCCGCCAGCGATCCCACGCCCACTATTATCCGTTAATAAATATTATTTACCACCTGGAAACCCAGTGATGGCCGTCCTCAAGCGATCCACGCTGGTTCTACAGCAGTCCATCGAACCGCAGGGCCACCTCCAACACCTCCAACACCTCCCCCCTTCCTTCGATCATTACCCGAAAATTTTACGGAAAAACTCCGCCACCTTGTTCCACCACCTCTTCCTTCCATCACGACCCGAAGATTCTGCGGAAAAAGTCTTGTTCTCAGACGTCCTCTTCCCCGATTTGGTGCGGGACGACCGGGGGGCCGGCGTGGTTTTCTGGACTCGGGATGAGCTGTTGTTGCCGGACGACCGGGAGGCCCCCGTGGTTTTCTGGACTCGGGGTAAGCTGTTGTTGCCGGACGACCGGGGGACCGCCGTGATTTTCCGGACTCCGGGCAAGCTGCTGTGGCCGGTTGACACAGAACTCTGTGGAGCAGAAACCGGTTTTAAAGGCCATGGCCAATCCGCCGAGCAGAAAACAGAAGAGATTGTTCAGACTTACCGCCATGATTCCCGCTCTTAACTCTCTCTCTCTCTCTCGCTCGCTCGTCCTCGCTCGCCCTCGCTCGCCCTCTCTCGCTGTCTTTATAGGGCCAAATTCACGCGTCTTCCACGTGGGTCATGACCATTGTATTGCTTCCTGGAAACTGCAAGTTCATGTGATCAGAGGGCCTGTGGGATTTTTCTAAGACCTACCAACACTGAGACTTACCCTATTCCTATTTTCAATGAAGGACGAGGCTAGTTATTGATATGCCACTTTAGGAAGAAGCCATGGCGGACCACGACCACGCCAAGCAAAAAGCAGAGATGATTGTCGAGTCTTACCGCCATGATTTCCCTTCTTCCCTCTCTCTCTCTCTGATCCTCTCTTCTCGCCAACCACCTGCAACGATAATCCTCCTCTTTCTCCTCTCGCTGTCTTCTGGTTTTTAGCGTCAAAGTTGACGCTTATGTTGCTTCCAGGCACCTACTAGACGATCTGAATGGAAATCTGAAACCGCGTTGGGCAGGGACGGGACTGAGAAACCACTTGACTTGTTAAAAAACTTGATCATAAATCATAAATGTGATGCCGTGATAGAACACGAGACTGGATCACATCTCGTGTTCACCAGATCGAACTCGCTTCAGAAAGGATCTGGAGTACATCAAGGCTCTCCGGCAGGACCTCCCTCCGGAGGCACATCGAGCAGGCGGAGGCGAGCGAGGGCCTCTGGGAGTCTGAGAAGCTCCTCCTGAGGGATTGGAAGGAGGTTTATCTCGACGCCAGCGACGTGCTAGACGAGTGGGAGTACGAGGAACTCCGTGCCAACGCCGAGGGCGGATCTCCAAATACGATCGGAGATCCCCACGTCGGGGACCGGATAGCCGATCAGATTCGCAAGGTGAAGGAGAGACTTGAAGATGTCAATGCCCACCACGGCGCTCTTGGGACAATTCATGGGGAAGGAGATGCGCGGTTGGGGGCTCAGCCCTCCGGCCGGGGCCCGAGCAGCTCACTTGTGGCCACAGATCATGTCGACAAGGACGGGATGGTTCAGTATCTCGTTGACGAGTGTGCTAAAGAGGACCTGACGGTGTTCCCGATAGTGGGGATGGCGCTGGCCGGCAAAAGCACCCTCTCCAGCGTCATCTTCAACGACTCCGAGGTGGAGGAGCACTTCTGCCCCAGGGGATGGGCTTCTTTCGACACGAACTCCGATCCAGCGGCGCTGCTGCGTGGGTGTCAACGAAACTCTGACCATGAGGCCTTGCCGTTTCCAGCAGATGGAGCAGATTGTTGGAACTCTGAGAACATATCTCAAGGATAAGAGGTTCCTCCTCGTCCTGGAGATGGACGACGTCCATCTCCAACACTTGCAGGTCTGGGATCTCCTAAAGAACTCGTTCACCTCTTGTTCCAAGGGCAGCGTTGTTGTCGTCACCACCAGGGACAGAAAACTTGCAGAGAAAGTACGAACCACCGAGGCCCCCTTTCCCCTCGAGTTGCCAATTCGAGATGAAGAATGTTGGAGCCTATTCAAGAACTATGCGTCTGGTGGAAAGCACACAGTTATGGAAGACCTGCGTGAGAAGGTTGTGGAGCAGTGTAAAGGGCTGGCACCTGTGGCGAAGCTCCTCGGCTTCTCCTTCCGCCGTTATCGCGATGATAAGATAGACTGGGCGGCGGAGTGCATGGAAAAGGTTATAAAGGAAAATATCAGACCTTGGCCGAAGTCCAGCTACCTTCAGCTGGCGCCTCACCTGAAACCTTGCCTCCTCTACTGTTCACTGTTTCCGGAAGCTTATCTGTCCAGCAAGGAGCGGCTGGTTCGACTATGGATGGCGCAAGGCCTCGTCGATCCGCCACCAAAGAGAGAAACTACATGGAAGCGGAAACGCCCGGAGGACGTGGGCCTACTGTATTTCGACGAACTGGTCTCCGGATCTTTCATCCTTCAGGATCCTGAGGATTGCTCCAAGTACGCCATACCCAAGGCCATCTGGGATCTTCTGAATGACATCTCAGGCGAGGAAGAGTACGCCAGAGTGACGGACATGAGAAAACCACTCGGGAGATGTCACCATCTGTTGCTGAACACTCAAGACCGTAGCTTTAGATTGGATCGAGATTCCTTCTTTGATAGTCCCGGTCTCCGATCTCTTCTTTTCATGACGAGGTTTAAACTGCGGTTGGAGATCCAAGATCAGGATCTCTCGTCGTTAAAACAGCTGAGGTCACTGGATCTCAGCAAAACCAGCGTGACGACGTTGCCCGAGTCCGTCGGAGGCTTGCAGCACTTGCGGCTCTCAATCACACGGGGATCAGGAAGTTGCCGGAATCGGTCTCAAAGCTTTATAATCTTCAAGTTCTTGAGCTGAAGAACTGCTACTGGCTGGAGAAGCTGCCCAGCGGCCTGAGTAATCTGGTTAATCTCCGGTATCTTGATACGGGCGATGATCACCCTCGCGTGAGTATGCCGAAATCGATTCAGAGATTCGTGAACCTTCAAAGCTTGGCACGGCTCGATCTCCAGATAGACAAGGAGTTGTTCTGCGGGCTGCGAGGGTTGAAAGCCCTGAATAGGCTGAACAAACTCGTCGTCTCAGGCTTCTGCAACTTGGCCGATTCAGAGGATGCTAAGGAGGCAAGCATGCAGGACAAGAAATCTCTCAAGGTCCTGAAGCTGAACTGGTGCTCCGATGATGACGACGCTGCGGCGAAGTCTGAGCAGTTCAAAGGGATAGACTACGAAAAGTTTTTCAACCTGCGGGACGATCAGACTTCTCATAAAGGACACCCTGCTGTTGAGGGAAACCTCTCAGCATGGAACCAAGGCGATTATTCAGATACATTGTCCGCCGTAGCTGATGAGGATGAGGAGAACAATTTTACGGAGAGTGCAGAAGAGGATATTTCTGGTTCCGGGTCAATGGTTGGTGCTGAGCAGCTGCTTGAGGCTCTGAAACCTTGCACCACCATTGAGGAATTGGAGCTGAGGACCAACCCCAGTCTCCGGTTCCCTGGCTGGATCGGACATTCCTCGTTCTCCAAGCTTATCACGGTAGTGCTCGAAGACGGCGCCTGAGAAGCCCTCCCACCGCTGGGTCAACTGCCACGGCTCGAGGCCCTGAGCATAGACGGCATGCCAGTGAAGACCGTCGACAAGTCGTTCTGTGGAGGCTCGGGAAGCAAAGCAGCTGCTGCATTTCCGAATCTGCGCAAGTTGACTTTCTACAACCTGAGGAAGTGGGAGAAGTGGGAGAAATGGGACGGGGTGGATGGCAACTTCCCAAAGCTTGAGGAGCTGAGGTTATTTAACTGCCCAGAACTGAAGGAGATCCCAGTTCTACCATCATTGGAGAGCCTGGAGTTGTGCAGGTGTGATTCGCTGACTTCGATCCCGTCGCTTGGGTCTCTCTCTAGCTTAACAGTAGTGGACTGCCGGAGCCTCGAATCCCTTCCCTCTCTGGAGAAACTTGATAGCCTTTGGGTGGAAGAGTGAGCACCTGATGTCCATTGCCACCTCCAGCTTTCTCCACGCATCATCTAAACTGCTGGTTGCCCATTGCGGTCGACTCCAATTTTCGGCAGAGCAGTCGCAATTTATTGATTCCTTTTGTTCCCACTGCGCCCAAGTGTTCGGCCGGTGGAAGGACGACTAGGATCCATGGCTCCTGAATGTGATTGTATTTTGGTAGATAACGTTTGATCTTGTTCATTAGATCCTTTTCCTACAGTTTTTCTGCTCAAAGCTGTAAAAGTTGCAGGAGAAATGCAAGAGCACAGGGTGTGCAGCTTCTCCCCTTTACCCATAGGTGTGGGTGTCGCAGCTTGATCCAACAATTTCATGCAGACTGACATAAACCTCTTAACATGCACATCAGCTCCTCCCCTGCATGCATCCTCACCTTACGAAGTGTCATCATCTAAAGTATCTAGGTTGCTCAGGGATGCATCCCACCAAAGTTACCAGGTTGTGGTCAACAGGAGAAGCATCTGATATTACCACAATCCATCCAAGCTGCTTGCAAACAGTGGACCAGAAGTTATGAGGGTCAACACCTCTTAGAATAGGGTCAAAACTTGCACAACAGATCACATTCTGACGAGTCCATTTCTTGAGAAACCCGACTACCATGGCTTGCAGAAGGTCTCTGCTGGTCAGATCCCAACAGTCTGCCAAGAAAATGATTGATTTTGCCATTTGGTGACCCATGAATAGATTGTATATCCAAGAAGCAGCGATATTCCGCGAGTATGTCACAATGAGGATTTGGCCTTAACGTCCCCACCAGAAGCACTCCAAAGAAGAGTGGTAAGAAAGGGTGTCATATGGTGCAGAAAAAGATGTACCATGGGCTATGAAGCTTGGTTGCTATGAATGTTGAGGCATTCATGTTCATAGTTGAACAGTATTTTCTGGGTAATAGAAGATGGCTGTTGTTTAGATTGTGATTACGCTAATTGCATTATTACATCCAAAGTTTCCCGATGTATGTCCTTGGAGTTACTAACGATCATCTCAGATCATGATGCATGGTTGGTTACATGAAATTCTGATATGCAGAGCCTTTAACGAATCAGATCAAAAGAAATCATCTACCAAATCTCCATGTTTGAAGTAAAGTAAAGCAATAGAAAGAACAAATATTTGAAGATACCCATACATTCTCTGAAGTGAAGGACCTTTCTTCTCGCGTGCCCTGCACTAAATGAATCAAAGTCATAGCATAGTGCGCACTGTTCTATTTTCTCATCCTACTCCCTCAAAAAGGTAGCCGTAAGGTCAACATAACATGGCGTGTGCTTCCACTTCATTATGGTCAAAATATAAAGAGGGTATGATCCAACAATACCAAGTGTAATTTGCCATTTAATCAACATGGGAATGAGGGCAATGCTCAAAAAACCATTGAAGGGCATAATCCACAAAGCACAGAGTTATCCATAAATCTGAATAAATATTAGGATATGGCATTATGGAATTGGGCATTAAAGATAACGATTAAGTAAACAATGAGAACAGCAAGAAATAAAGCAGAAGGAAGAAGCATGGTAAAATGATCATATCAGCTTTAATTATGAAGAGAAATCTGAAGGGGAGAAAAAAATATCATCAACAAGTGAAGGTTTCTAGAGATCTGGATCTGACAAGATATCTGCCCTCACCGTTGTTACTGTAGATGAAGACCAGGTGATGACTCTCAAGCTATGGCATGTTATGAATGTGTGATCCAGGCAAAGACATGGGAGTCATGAGAGCATTTGAATTCAATATGGTGCGGTTCCTCTGGCATCTATGCTGCGGCTGTTGGCCAAGTGGTGGGAGAGAATCACAGGCACAATCTTCGAGCACCATTGTTATTATCTAAATCCCTCGCTGAACAGATTACCTCTGTGTAACAGGGAACAATACAGGAGACGATGCTTCAGGTAATTTCCAACATGACTCTTCTGTCATTCCTAACTCTGTGGCCCTCCCTCGCCTCTGCCTTCTGTAACCACTCCTCAGTGGCCTGCAGGCGCCATACCAGACCCATCAGCTCCCTCCTGACTCTGTCTGGGATCGCTCAAGGGGCAGCGCCCAGCCTCCACACAGCAAATAGGAGGAAGAAGGTGAACAAGAAGAGGAGTGTGGAGAGAGACTCGGAAACCAGCCAAGTTTGATCAATTTAATCACGACAGGGATTGTATTGACCAGGATATATTTCTAGAGTCAATAAATTGGTTTCATACTACAAATTGGGACAACCTCCGTGAAGAAGACTGGCCAAGAACAGATGGAAACAGTAGATTCCCGACTACCAACAAACTGAAACCTCTGAGAAGAGGGGCCCTAGGAGGAGGCACCATTGACTTGCTTCTCAGGGACATCATTTCCGCTGGGGCCCTCGACCTTGGTGCCATATCCGTGATAGGGGGCCTCGATCATTGGCTTTGGGGCAGGCCGTCCACCAAAGTCCTCGGGGAAAGACTGAAACTCGGGTCCGAAGTTGAATCTCACCTCGCAGTTCGGCTGGTTGGGGAGGGTGTACATAGAGGCAGCGGGATAATAGCGGCCGCCGAAGAGATTAGTGAAAGCAGTTCCTTGGCATATCCCATTCTTGAAGAAAGAAATCTCGCTTCCTGAATCAATGAACATAGTTTAATAATGGCCAGGAGAGAAAGTGGGGATATTTCAGCATAGGAGGAGAAGAACGAGCTCTGATGAAATCACAACCACACAAACGTAAACCCACACATTTTGATACAGAGAATTTTGATTATATACTGCAAAAGACTCTCTTACATCAATAGTTTGTGCCATCATTGGCATATCTCAAGTTATATGGCTAAAGAAAAAAAAATCATGTTATTATGATTAGTGGTCAAGAAACAAAGCTAAAAGCAGAAATAGTGAAGGACTAAATAATCACCAAGATTCTTACCTTCAGATGATTGATGATTTAATTTCGTCAACAAACAGAGGTTGACATCAGATTGGGATTACAAGAAGAATGGACTAGCTGCATATTACGTGATGCATGGCACCTAAAAAATCTTTTTCATCTACAGTAGTTAAGCTTTCTTATTGGACCTTGGTTCCTCAACACATTTATCCTCAAGTAGGCCCAGAGTCATGCGTCTCTCTGGATAATATCCACAATTTCAGGATAATTTCTAAGGCCAGTTGCAAATCTCACCCTTCCCCCATATTTTGCCCTATGCCAGCTAGAATGATGTGATTTTCTTGTGTTATTGGCACATTATCGTCTCCTAAATGAATTAAACGCTTCAGTAATTCATCCAATATTGATACAGATCTCATAAAAATCAGCAGCACTTAATCCTAGAGAACACCAGAAAGACCGAGGGTATCGTCATCAACTTCTACTTTCTTCTCCGTATTAACCATAAAATCCTCCCTCAATGCTGTAACTAGTACAGTGTACCTGGTGACATAAATGATTTGACCACCTTATGAGATGTTTCTTCTGCGCAAATGGCCACTAAGATCTCAAACAAGAGTTTAGTAACAGACCATCTTGATCTTGAAAGACAACCATGAACACAATTTCCCTCTACGCATTATACACTTTATTTTCATGAGGAAAACAGTACATAATTGACTTCTGCCATATGGCTTTTAACATTACATGCAGGTATGCTATGAGCGGCAGCCTAGAGGGAGGGATCACCAAACTACGTGGAAAGAACCTTAAGTCAATGAACACTTACATCTAGTTCAAATGCTTCAGTTCTTAGCTATAAAGAAACTGTATTTAACTCAGATTCAGGTCAGCTAGATTACCAAGCCCATGCTGAAAAGCATTGTCAGTCATTTAGATCACAACTTTTCCCCAACATTATAACATGTTAAACCACCTGCACCTCGTTTTCTAAGTGGGTGAAGATTGCAGTAGTGATAAAATTCAAATAAAACCATGCCAGAGTGGTTACTGAACTCATGACTATCAGATCTTCTCAAATCTATCATCCAAGGAAGCCTAGCATATAATGAACTAGTTTTCTGATCTAGAGAGTACTCAGATCACAAAATTACATTGATGACACAATCAGGTTTAGAGAAACCAGGTAGCAAACCCACTGTTCTAGAAGATATCAACAAGAAGCTGCTTATATATCTAAACGTACATATACATGAATCTTCGAGTCTTATTGAATTCCTCATGGTTCAGAACGTCTAGCGCAAGCCACTCATTTTTCTTCTCCGTGTTTGCAGGAAATTGAGGTCCCAGCCACTAAACCACCAGATGAATGGACTTAATCCTAGACCATCGCAGATTTACAACTGTGTTCAGTAACCTTGGTGAATTTAATGACTCTTTGACGTAAAAGCAATATCTTGTAGGCCTGTTTTCTTTCGTAAAATGAACCTTTTTCCATTGCAAAATTCTTTCACCACATTCTTTATTCAGATCCTAAAAAATTCATCAAAAGATTTCACCACGAAATTTCCCTCAGCGATCCACTTCCATACATTTAACTCGCATTGATCATGGTAAAACTTTAGGTGCCCAAATTATTCTCAACGTGGGGAGCTTCGCTATACACATCAAGCTTCGCCATTTCTTTCTCCTCCCCTACTTTTTCATATATTTCCTGTTATCATCAAACGCCATCTCAAAGGATTCCTCGATAAGTCTTCAGTCCTCGTTAGGAACTACTGAGGCATCACACCACCAGTCCCAGTCATGATCAACTGGTTCTCAACTGAACTCGATGGTTCGCAACTATCTTCTACTTTCTAGATTCAACCACATCTGAATAAAATATCTAGCACAACATACCCTTTTTTTTCAAAAACGTACACAAATCAAGAACAGCGCATCTTTTCAACAGCAATCCAAAAAACTGAAATAGGAAAGCCCAATTGTAAACACCCATTTCCTCTATATTCCAAAAATAAACAGAAAAGGCAATATTGACCCTAGAAAGTTGGTCCTTCTAAGACCGGAAAGTTCTACTTAGTCATAACAAACTGAAATATCAACGTTGGCTCAAGAAGGTCAGTATTGAGGAGCTGGGAACCAACTACAGAAACCTAAACTAGCACATGCATTAAGCTAGGGATGATGGCAAATAGAAAGATAATGGTCTGCTATACATCAGCATAACCATACAACAGCCTGACACATGCACTGATTTTATAAATCTGCAGGCTTCCCCACTTACACTCCAATGTTCACCAAGACTAAACCCGTGGTACCCTCCGAAGACAGTCGACCTCACGTAGCTACAAATTCTGAGAATCTACGGCCTGCAAGGTTTGTACTCATCTCTAGAGGACACGTTTTTCTTTTCCAACCAAGGGTCCTGTCTAATCTGATTGCTTGCACATCCGTCTTGGCAAATGAAAAGAATTTCATAAAAAGATCAAAAAAACAGAATCAACGCCAGAAGGAAAAGCAGTCAACTACATAACAGCCAGATGAAGAGATAAAGGAAAAGGAAAGTCAGCAGCAATATCCCAGGAATTTTTCGCTCACCGGGTATCTCTTTGGGAGGCTCATCTTTACCATCTGCTGAGTACATGTACCTCTGCCCCTTGTACCAGACAAGGTGTGGAGGCCTGGGAGCATATGATTCCCCATCTGGAAGGTTGATGTAGAAGCCAATAACATCACCCTCTGCATATCCCTCATCCCCATATTTCTCCCTCAGGGCTCTGTGGATTTTGGTACCATCAATATCCCGGTAACCAAAACTGTTGCCATCATACCCAACAGGTGCTTGGAGGTCACCCTTCTCCGTCGTCCAGCCCAGCCTTGTATGCCCTGTGTCTCCAAGCCGAACAATTTTGATTTCAAAGTACCATGCGCCCTCCACAACGCCCCGTGTGGCCCTGACCATGCGATAACCTTTGGTGCTTCCTGCTGTGAGGCGATCCTCACTGAGCTCCACTTTCTCAGCCTTGTATACCTTCGACAGGCTGATGGTTGCATCAGGAGAATCATCGGACTTGTCGGGGAACCGGGGAATCGGCGTGATGAGCACTTTGTCCTCAGGAGGGGCGAAATTATTGGACCCCCCTGATTTTCCCTTTTTCTTCCCCTTGCGAGATGCGGATTTCCTCCAGACATTGCTGCTCTTCTTCTTGGGTTTCTTAGACGCAGTGGTGGAAGCAGCTGATGCATCCAATGCTGCAGCGGAGGAGCCAGCTGGTGGCAGCAAATTTTCCGTCGTAGCAGAGAGGTTAGTTGCAGGAGTTGCAGGGGATGGGGAGGAAGGGGTTGTGAGGCAAGTGAGGGTTTTCTGTTTTTTCAGAGGAGGCTGGGCATTAGCCTCTGAATCATCGTCATCCTCATCTTCATTGCCCTCATCTTCGTCATCTTCATCCTCTTCCTCCTCGTAGTACCCACCATTTACAAATTCTGAAGGGGTGGGATCAGATGGCGGAGTTAAATTTGAGTGAGACGATGGCGGCACTAGAGGCTCCGAGGACGGCGTCAATGGACACCGCCCTTCTCTGTCTTCCTCCACTCCTTCTTCTTCTTCCTCCTCCTCTCCTTCTTCTGGCTCATCCTCCTCCCCCTCATAATCTTCTCCCTCTTCGTCTTCTTCCGAAGGAAACCCGCGCTCCCTGCCCGTGCCATTCTGCTCCGACGCCACATTATCCTCATCTCCCCTCTCCTGCCCTCCATCTTCTTCTGCTCCTACCTGCCCCACCCTCTCTGCGCAGACCTGCAACCCCTCAATCCCTCCACTCACCCGCTCTCCCGCGAGTACCCCTTCCGCCGCCATCATCGTCTCCACCACCTCCGACTTCTCCAGCCGCTGCCCTAAATCTGCGAGACCAGAAGGCAGAGGAGGAGCAGGCAAAGGATCAGAAACAACGGCGCCAAGAGCAGCCGCCGCACCAGCGCCGGCGCCTTCCGGGGGACGAGGGAGGGACCCATCCCGCTGCTCCGACTCTTCGTCTTCGTCCTTGTAGGCGTCCCTCAGGCCGTCCATCACAAGTCCCCTCCTCCTCTCCGGCGGACGACAAGGCGGATCGAGGGATTAAAGGCGGAAGCTTTTTCCCCGACGGAGCAGCCCGGCCGGCGGTGGCGTACCCAGAAGATATCTCCCGCAGACCTCGGCGGGAACAGAAGTGACTTGGGAGCGGCACTTGGCGGGCGACCGGAATTAGACTCTAATGCCTCATTGACAACAATAGCAATAATAATAAAAAATAATAATTAAATTACCTCTAATAGTAGCAGGAACTGGACCAGGCATGATCCACATTATAAAGGCAATGGGCCAAGCTAAACATGCTACTTTGGGTCTAAGTATAAAGTCAAGATTGGATAATCTATCATGATGGATGTTGACTTTAATAGTAGTTTAAGAACACAAGATGCAAAACTCTTGAACCTTCATATATAAGTGGATTTCTACCCACTAGATAAACTTCGTGTGAATAAAATTCTAAAAAAAAGTCAAACATGTGTCAGAATTTTCCATATTATTAAGCTGATCTGAACCACACCATTAAGGCAATGAACAATGTTAAACATGCATCTTTGGGTGAAAGTATAAAGTCCATATCGGATAATTATCATGATGGGCGTTGACTTTAATAGTAGTTTAAGAACACAAGATGGAAAATTCTTGATCCTTCATATGTAGGTGAATTTCTACCCACTAGATAAACTTTTTGTGAATAATTTTTTTTAAAAAACCAACTCAATACGAGTAATTGGCCCTCAAATTATGTAAAAGGAGCAATACTTTACTTAAAAAAATACCGACACCAAAGTTAGAGTATATATTATTAGCATCATGTTGTTCAAATAGAACTAACTAATTAAAAAATTATACATAGATAAATAAATATTTTCACATGCCCTTTTAACATATTAATGACAACAACAGTGAACAACAACACATCTGTCTTTTTCAGAATATTTAAGAGCCTACAAAAGATATATTCATGTTTTTTTAATGAGGTTTTTAGACATTTAAAATTAAGAAATAAATAAATAAATTATTAGCAGCATTTTGTTCAAATAGAATAACTAATCAAAAATTTACATATACATACATAAATATTTTCACATGCCCTTTTAACAACATTTATACCAACATTAGTGAACAACACATTTATACATAAAAACTTTTAATTTAGAGATTTAAGAACATAAAAAAATATGTCTTCATGTTTTTTTAATGAGGTTTTTAGTCTTTTAAATATAATAAAAAATAAAAAAAATCTAGATCACCACGGTGGTTGAGAAATACCAAATGTGGATAAAATATTCTAGACTCACTAGTAATAATCAACTATGGTTTTGTTGAGATTATGAACCAACCATCATCGCAAGTCATTATCAGATTCAATCATAATGCATTTGCTCATGCCTTAGCACCAACCATGCTCTTTATAGCCCAAGGATCCCATTAATCAATTATTCTCTTACAAATAATCACATGAGATAATCCCATGGACCCTCTTCCCTTGGTACTCTGCATGAGCCTATATTTTAGATCAAATAAATGTGTAAAATCATCATTATTACTGTCTTTTTATTTTTATCTTTCTTTTTAAAATTTTAAGAGAATATTCTAAAGTGGAGTTTATGTGAATAATAGGTAATTATCCTACAATTTTGTAGAAAATAAAAAATAAAAGGAAAATTAGGATCATCCCACAATCTAGTCCACAAATTATAGTGAAAAAATTAAAATTTTAATAAATAAAATAAAAAATGTGCCCCATCAAGAGTTATTTATTTAGTTTTTAAATATTTACTGCTGTTCTTGAGGTTTATACGCATGTGATTGGTGAAGTGATAAAACCACTCTATCGATTTACATGGTTCAGACAGAGCTTTGTCAAGAGACGGGGTGGGCTGGATAGGGGTTGTGCACAAAGTAGAGTAGAGAATAAGAAATAGGGGGTGAATTTAGAAATTTGGAGGCCAGCGGCCAGAAGGTATATGCTATCCACTTCCTTCCCCGGAACAGATAACCTCTCCGAAGGCAGCACCTTCTCTGCAGAGCAGCAGCCTCTCTGCGACGCTGCTCCAGAGCAATGGCGACAGCCGCGGCTATGGCGATGACGGTGGGGGCTGCTGCGGCGTCTTCACCCAGTGGCCTCTGTTCTTCATCCGCCCCCTCCTCGTCTTTTCCTTCGTTGGTGGTGCTGCTGCAGCACCGGCAGCAGCTGCAGAGAGGCCAGAGGCAGAGCTGCTGTGTGCGTTTTGCGTTGAAGGCTGATGCCGCTATTTCTTCGCCCTTAAGCGCAGAGCCTTGGGGCAAGGCGGGAGACAGGAAGGGGCTGGTGGCGCTTCCCCAATCCAAGACCTATCTGGTTGCTGCTGCTGCCGTGGCGGAAGCTGATGTGTCTGAAGAGGATGCCCCTGCTCCTCCGCCGGCTCCCGCCTCGAAGCCGAAGACTGGGAAGGCAGCGTTGGCCCTCAAGAGGGACAGGGTACCTATCTCATTCTCTCTCTAAACTCGTCACCTCCTCCATGCCTCCCTCCCTCTCATTCACGCATGCTCCAACAGCGGCAATGTGCCGGTGCTATGCTGACCCAAAAATTGGATGTCCCCATCGGTTTTTATGGTCATTTTTTTTCATCTTCGTCTGATTTATATTTAAGGTTAGATCTGGTTTTGCCTGTTCTTGGCCTGATGTTTGTGTTTCTGCGTGCTAGACTCGTTCCAAGAGGTTCCTTGAGATTCAGAAGCTGAGGGAGATCAAGAAGGAATACGATATATCCACGGCGATATCAATCCTGAAGAACACTGCGAAAACCAAGTTTGTGGAGTCCACAGAAGCTCATTTCCGACTCAACATCGATCCCAAGTATAATGACCAGCAGTTGAGGGCAACGGTGAGTGCTCTCTCTCTCTCTCTCGGTAGTCAACCACGGTTGATAGTCAATGCTCATAAATAGATGAATGTAGATGATCATATGATGAATAATTAATTGGCGACTTATTTTGTTGGATTATCGCTTTACAGGATCCTATCTAGTTCACTATTAGGTTTCTTCCTATTAATTTTATTGTTCTTCCTCAGGATTCCTGAAGCCATATTAATCGAGTTTCTTTTCCTTTTGCTCTATGCAGGTGAATTTGCCTAAGGGAACTGGTCAGACTGTCAAAGTGGCTGTTCTCACCCAAGGTCATCTCCTAGTCAGATGCTTCTTTGACTAAGATGTTTCCTGAGAAGTTTTCTCACTGTTAAAACGCTGCCCAGGAATGTCCCATGTGCCATGTTATCCCTTCATCATGGTAGTAATAATATGCATAAGATTTAATTTTAAATTAAATTAAAATAAAATAAATACTATAGGTAAAGAAGTAACCTGCTAAATGGTGAAAAGGAGATTTTTTTCATAATTGAAATGCAAGCATCTGTGTCACCGTACTTTGGCACATATTCCCTTCATCATGCTAATAATAATATGTATAAGATTTAATTTGAAATTAAATTAAATGAAAATAAATACCATAGATAAAAAAAATAACCTGCGAAAAATTGAAAAAGAGAAGGTTTTTGATAATTAAAATGCAAGCATATGTGGTAAGCAATTTTGATATATTTCCGGGCTGAAACAGAGCTGTCGCTATATGCATAGCTTTCTCAGTGCTGCCTTTAGATTTTTCATGGTCCCTTTCCTACCCCTCTATCTTGTTCTTCATATATTTTGCTAGGTGCGAGGGTATGGAATCCTGTCACTAAGAACTGTCTCCACTACTGTCATACTTCTCTCATGTACTATCCTAATTCTTCATTTTCTAAGTTGAGCAACTTGTCCAAGCCATACGGAGCGCATGCCACATGATGTTCTTGCTGTGCTTTGTTAATGAAGAAATACACTCTAGTGCTTCAAAGAACATCTTTATGACGTGGTTTCTAGTGCTTTACTCGATTTGTTTCAGTAAGAGCATTAGATTTACTTATTCCAGACACTGTGATTTGATATTGGCAGATTCCTCATATGCATCCGCTTTTATTGACTTGCATACTTGAGATGGATTTCAATTCAGGTGTTTGTTTGTTGGGGTCAGATGACACTCCTTGTATCGTTCAACTTAAACCAGGTTTAGTTAACTTTGAATTGGTGGACTTGGATATACGTTCTTTAGTGTGATATGCTGCTGGTTGCTTTGAAATGGTTCAACGCATCACTGAAAATGCCGAATATCACCACTTAAACCCGTTATAAGCAGTCCATCTTTTATATATCAGTTTGAGTGAGTCTCAGATGGAAAAACATGATGCTTTTTCATGTCCATTTATTACAAATGCGTCATTAACTTTGCCAGAGATCCTTTTTTCGACGTGTGTAGTCCATATTATGAAATGTTGAACTAGATTGCAGCAGCCAGATGCTTTTCAAGCTTATGTGTGTGTTTATTTTATTTTACCTTTCAAGATTGACTAAAATTTTATGAGATGGTGTTTCTATAAGTATGCAATGAAAATGGCGTTTTATTCCAAGATCCATTTCATTTTTCCATGATTTGTGAAGAAGCATTGTACTTCACTGTTCCCTTTCTTTTATTCATGGAGAAGGGAGTGGGTTTTTGTAATTGAGAAACTTAATTCCGTGAATTCAAATTTTATGAATGCTTACATAATCAGACGAAACCAAAACGTAGGCAATAATAATGGTTTTTGCATGAAACAGTAGTGGTATGGTTCTGTTATATATGTGCCTGAAATTTTTTATACCAGGTGAAAAGGTCGACGAAGCCAAAAATGCTGGGGCTGATATAGTTGGCGGAGAAGATCTTATTCAACAAATAAAGGGAGGATTCATGGAATTTGACAAGTTGATTGCTTCTCCAGATATGATGCCTAAGGTTTTTATGTGAACATTTTGTCATTTACATTCATTTAATTCATTCAATTGTTAACAGTTCACCTGAAATTATTATTAATAACCATTAAGGAATTTACTGAATAGAATGGATAGTCTTTAGAAATATCTTTTGTCCAGCCATGAGTAAACAATGCTTAATGGTGAGTTAATGCTGATATTTACTTTCTTCAATCAAATATATTGGCCTTTTCCATATATGCTGGGTCGTTCACATTGCATCAGTTCTTGTTCTTCCAAGGTTTTGTAGTATTGTAATGACATTATTATGGATGCGAGTCATTACCTATCATTTTTTTATTGATTATTCATTTAACTGACCCTGAATTTTGTCCCACATCGTTAGACTTTTGTCCATGGTTTCTATCATTTACTTATAGTAGTTTATACTCGCAGTTAAGGTAAATTACTTTTAACTAATTCACTTGCTTTGAAATTCTTCCTTTATCAGGTTGCCAGCTTGGGTAAAATCTTGGGACCACGTGGACTTATGCCAAATCCGAAAGCTGGTACTGTTACCACTGATATACCTCAGGTACAATGCATATACTTGATGGTTCTAAGGTTCTTAGAGGTTTAATCTTTGTCTAACCAAAGCATGCGAGGAGAGACTAGTAACTTTTTCTCAGTGGCAGATTTACTATTCTAGCTGTGAAGTTTGGTTTTTGTTTGTTTCGATTTTGGACCATGACTCCACTGAAATTCTGATTCATATGTGAATGTAAACTACTGATGACAAGGAGGGCAGTCGGAGGGGCAGTGTTTGTGGTAAAATAATTCATGTATCGAAGGGTAGATGCAGAATTTTATGGTAAAATTAAGCTCTTTGGATAATTAATACTGACTACAACTATTCAATGAAATATAAAATCTAGGCGTCTATTCTATGAGTTTTCAGGGTCTACAATCATTTCAAATGGCATGCTGGCAAATCGTTGCACTTGATTCTCATAATGAAGGGGATGGAGAGAACATTTTTGCTATTTGCCTATCTTTTCATGTAATGGATGAAGTATGCGCATCCAACTTCAAGCATGTAAGAAACTAGAATATTCTGTTTTCTTGGAGATGGAACGCACTAAGAATGAGTTGAGTACAAAGTTTTTTTACAACAGAACATCTTGCGCATGGATGAAGTAGCCATTTTTATGACAGATCAAGGTCTGGATAAGATGGCCATGCCAAGAGTGAATTGAGTACAAAGCTTAATTATTTCAGCCCATTAAAAATGGTAAACAGTGAAGGATTTGGGTCATGCTGCTTTTCATGCCCTTCCAAAGCAAAATACTTTAGAGAATCAATGTCTGTGTTGTGAGTTAATATCGTCTACACATTTGGTGGACTGTTCTAGGTGATGCTTCCATATCTCAGGGTCTTCGTGTACCCCATATTTGGTTTCCTAACTATCATCAGAGTGTTGATAAGTAGGCAGGTGTGTAGGTTGATCAATGACCAAGAGAGCTACAGAACGTGACTGTCTCAGTAAAATATTTCATGATGATCTGAATCTGCCTCTGGGTTTATTTAGGTCGTGGGTCTGCTTGACTGGGAAATATAGTGGTGATGCTTGAAAGCATATTACTTTGAAGCATAAATTGACGAGTTATGTGAGTGACAAGGGCTTGCTCTATTGCTGTGATGTAAGCTTGTTGCTCAACATTCACCCTGATTAGCCAGATGAAGGATGAAACTGGTAAGGGAACCATTGGTAAAGCTTGTTTAGTCATGAATAAAGGGATTTAGAAACAAATGGGCGCTCTAGCCAAATTGACAAGGACTCCCTTACTTTATATAAGGACCAGCAGCAGGTCTCCCCACATGCCAGGTGAGTATTGCTTGCTTTGCTTTTCATGGTTAGCAAAGATGGGATAAAATCATGTGGGTCTTTAGTAAAGTATTTTCAATCATCTGGGTCTAATGCAATCAGTGTTCTTGAACTGTGTTCTACTTCCTTTCTGTTGATCGAAGATTTTCCTTCTTTAGAATGTGCATTAGGCTAATACCAGAAAATATTCAGACTCGGAAAATATTGGTGGAAGAGATGAAAACTGTGAGGCATTATTGTTGGGGTTAGGGTTGACTACTTATAATGAAATTCTTCCCTGAATCAAGAACTGAAAATTTGGGTCAATGTTTGTTAAATGGCAAAAAAAAAACAAAACATTATTGCGATATGCTTTTTTATGAGCAACCAAGGCATTGCCCAAAGATGTTGTACCATCAATATCTTCTGCATGGATATAAAACAGTTTTTTGTGACCCAATTTCGATACAGCTTTCACCGGTTCATTTCTGTCTTGAAATCAACAATTAACAGAGAAATGAACCACCTATTTTCGTCTTCCAGGCTATCCAAGAGTTCAAGAAAGGAAAGGTTGAGTACCGAGTTGACAAGACCGGAATCGTCCACATACCTTTTGGCAAAGCAAACTTCCCAGATGAAGATCTCATTGTAAATTTGGTTGCAGCTATCGTGAGTTTTCTTCAAGCAGAGCACATTATTTCTCATAATTTTCACCACCTCAAGCAACTAATGGGCGGCGGTTCATCAACATCCTGTGCTCCTTTCTTCTTCTTTTCTTTTCTTGTAGAAATCGGTGGAGTCAAACAAGCCATCTGGTGCTAAAGGAGTGTACTGGAAGAGCGCATACATATGCTCATCGATGGGGCCATCCATCCGGCTAAATATAAAAGACATGCTTGACTTCAAGTCTCCTGGTTCCTGAAGAGCTCACTGAAACCTCAGTGTAATTTCATCTTCTATGTAGATCCTTCTGATTTGTCAATCTTTGCCGAACCAAGCACTTGAGAAAAGCAAACAAAAAAAAAAAAAAGGTGGGGGGGATGGAAGAGGTCTTTTAATGGAGTAGAGTCAAGATAAAGCTGCTTTTCAGTTAAATCAACTCAGATTTTCTGTCGGGCTGAAATAGTATGAGGGTTTTGAACCTCATATTTATGTTTTTTTTTTGCCGAAAGAGGGTTCATGAATTATTTAAGTTAATTTTTTTAATTAATCTTTAATCTTTAGGTTCAAGTGGATACTATTCGATAGTGTCATTAGACTCTCGACTCATTATAGCCCATTATCTCTATCTGTTATCTCTAGCCACTGCTGCAGTCCTCCAGTGGTACCCTCCTTCGGCGGCGCCCGCCTCCCGGCGCCGTTCCTTGCATCGGCGCCCTCGTCCTTGGTGGCCGCCGGTCTTCACGACAACCCTCCTCCGCTGCTGCCTCTCTCACTGATGCTGCCTCTGCTTCCGCCCCTCTCCAGGCCGCCGCGCTGCCGCCGCCGCCACTGCGGCTTCCTCCAGCCACTCCAAGCTGCTGTGCCGGACGTGCCCTAGGCACTGCCCACTCCCCTCGATCGCCACTGCCGCCACGGCCCTCGCCACTGTCGTTGTGACCTCCGCCGTTGCCGTTGTGGACACTGCCACTGCTGCGGCCTCCCTCCGGCCGTGCTTGAGGTCTTCGTCGTCAGCTGTGCACCCTTGGCCAGTGCCCTCCCGTGCCCTCCCGACACGTCACTCTCAGCCAACACCTACCTCTAGGCTATGACCTCCCTATGTCATTTCGGCGTCGTCCGTGCTCTATCGACACTTGTGCCTGCATGGCCTCCTTCACGGCTTCTCTGTCGTCCCCATCCTCACCTGCCTCAGAGCTCCTACCGGACAACATTCTACTTCTTTCAGTGCCCCACACGTCACTCCATTATCTGGCTTTGAGCTCTTTTTATAGTTCTACTACCTCTTTCATCATCTCATAGACGACTCTTCAGTTCTATGTGACCTTTCTTTTATCTACTAGTCACAAATCGACTCAGCCATTATCACTTGGATGTTCATAGCATCAAGTAGAACATCACAGAGTCTCTCTCTTGTATCAAGTTGGCGCGTCTTCTATGAGACAATCTGAAGATGATGTACAACAATTGGACGAACAAGTGGTAGAGATCTTTGAATCTCTCTTCAATTGCAAGCAGGTCAATCTCTCTCTTTAGGCACACAACAATCACTTGTAGACCCTCATTCAGGAGGTGAACATTTATCAACCTCGAACCTCCTGACGCTCCAATATTATCAACAAGAGTTCTATGTTGGTGTGTATCTTAGTAGACTTCATCCTTCCACTGCATTTCAGATCCACAGTTCCATTCTCTCCGGTGATCAAGTACCTAGTCTTGCTTTCATCTTCTCTCCGACACTTTGGGTCATGACTAGTACATCTTTGTCCTCTCCACCTTCCACAAATGCGGTGACTTCTCCTTCAGCTATGATCATCGCCACTCTTTGGGCTCATGATGATAGCTTATCTTCTCACTTTGAAGGCAGTCATCCTTCTCATAGGAAGGGCCGCAACTATTTCCCCCTATGTCTCTATTGTGGCAAGTAGAACCACCAGGTCAACAAATGTTGAAAGCAATTTGGCAAACCTACTTTCGTCCAGCCAACGATAGCTCTTTCAGCTCTCATCTCACTTACTCCTTTCGAACATTAACCTAACATATGTAGAGTACAACATATTTTGCCACTACATCAATCTCTACAGTCCTAGCAGCGTCTCCTCTTTCGCTAGCCTGGGCTCACTTCCGGCTCCCTCCACGTCAGGTACAAATGCTTGCCTTACTTCTGCTTCATTGTCGTAGATTATTGACTCAGGGGCCTCCACTCATATGACCCACATTTCATCCCTTTTATCTTCATATCAACTTATCCCTTCCCATCCCCTCGTCATTAACCACGTGATGAGAAGACTATTCAACTTGACGAATTAAATGTGTGCATTCTATTTGAGTTCGTAAATCACCTTCTGCAAGAAACATATCTTAGATGACTCACTTTGAGTAACATACTCTAGAGGTTACTTTATAAAGACTTATTTCTCAAGATCATTATAGAGAAAGACGTTAGAAACATCTAACTAGTGGAGAAATCATGCCTAATTTATGACTAGAGAGAGGAACACTTAGATTGAAGTGAATCAGACAATAGAGGAGAATGTTTCAGTATAGTCAATGCCATACACTTGGTTTTCCCTCTTTGATGGTCCTTGTGGATCCATCTACTTTGACTCTCTCCCATTCATCTTCTCCACCATCACCTCTTCCTCTTAACTCCCCATCTCTATTAGCCTCCTCCACTTCAATTACAAATTCATCGTCCCCCTCTTCCACCGAGCTGCATGTGCCTCCTATTGACGTCCCTTGTGCTCCTCAACATGATCTTCATTTTCTCATTGCTCTATGCAAAGGTACCCCTGCATGTATGCAACATCCCATCTCTCACTTCATTTTCTACAATCTTCTTTTCTCCTCCTTTTTGTACCTTTGACTTTTTTGTGGCCTCTAAGTCGATTCTCTACTCGCATGTTGAGGTGGGACAAGTATCTAAGTGAAAGGTGGCCATAGGTTTGGAAGCAAATGCCTTAGTAGCTCGAGGGACTTGGACACTAGTTTCATGTCTGGCAAACGTCAACATCGTAATGCATAAAAGAGTGTTCACACTCAAATATCATCTAGATAGTACTATTACACGTCACAAAACTTGTTTGGTTGATTGTGACTTCATCTAGACATATGACATCGATTACACTAAGACGTTCTCCCTTGTCATCCGACTCACTTTCGTCAGAGTGTTCTTCTTTCTCGTCGTAAATCAAGCATGATCTCTCCACCAATTAGATGTTTCTAACACCTTTCTCTATGGTAATCTTGAGAAATAGATCTTTATAGAGCAACCTCTAAGGTATGTTATTCAAGAGGAGTCATCTAAGGTGTGTTTCATGTAGAAGATAATATACAGGCTCAAGCAGAGTCCACACACTTAGTTAGTCAAGTTCAGTGGTCTTCTCACCATATTTTACTTCTTGTCATGTGTTGCGGATCTCATTGTATTTATAAAAAAGATTGACGGCAGCCTAGTCATTTTTATAATCTATGTTGACAACATTCTTGTGACTAAGAGTAATGAAGACATCATTCATTCTACCAAAGCTTATTTATAATATCATCTCAACATCCATGACTTGAAGACTCCAAGGTATTTTCTTAAGATCAAATTTGAATACTAAGATAGAAAACTCGCCATAACTTAGTAGAAGTATGCTCTCGACATATTTTAGGAGATTAGATTTCTTAGGTGCAAGTCGAAGACTTCACCCATAGAAGCCCATATGTAGTTCTAGACACTTTCTCTCCACTCCTTAAAGACGTTAATTGGTACAAGTTATTGTTAGACAAGTTAATATATCTCACTGTCACTCGTCCTAACATTATGTATATGGTTAGTGTTATAGTCAGTTCATATAAGAGTCACAACAACTTCATTAAAAGGGAGCTCTATGGGTTTTAATATACATTAAGTGAGCCCCAAGAAAAAGATTCATTTATCAACGACATGACCATCTTTATGTCAAAGTCTATTCTAATATTAGATATGTAGGTGACAAAGATGACTAGAAGTATATTACAGGTTACTGCACATGTCAAAGATAACCTTGTCACCTAATAGTCTCAAAAATAAAGAGTGATTGTCTTATTCCAATGTTGAGTTTGAGTATCGAGTTATAGTTAAAACTACATAAGAGATGATATGACTCCAATTACTTCTCGAAGATTCTAATATCTTTTCTCCTTCTCTAATACCCATATATTATGACAATTAAGTCGCTATTTTTATTATTGACAATCACATCTTATCTCTACTTCTCATGTGACCTCATCTCATCAACTCACAAACATCTTTACAAAAAATCTAACCAATATCTCTTATGATGTCACATATATCAAGTTGGACATGCTTTACTTATAGATTCCAACTTGAGAGAGAGTGTTTGATAATGTCATTAAACTCCCGACACATTATAACCCATTATCTTTATCTCTTCTTTTTCTTTTTTATATAAACACATAATTATTTATTCTACTTTATAGATTTTAAGGTTTTCTACTTCATTGTCAATAGATACCATTTGAATGAAAGACGATATTTTTGTCAAGATTACTAAATAATGAAGTTAAAACATCTTTTGAGAGTCATCTAGCTTTTGGGCTTTAATGAGTAAAATAGTGAGACTTATGAGGGATGGAATTTGAATCCAATATGAACACATTTGAGCTTCTAATGGGCCATTCTATTATTCCCTCAAGTCAAGAGTGATTGTTTATATATCTGCCAAGATAGAAAAAAAGAAGAAAAAGAATCAATCTCTTTGAACGAATCAATCGCATGAGGTGAGTATGAGTTGAATAATTTATCCCATATATGAAATCCAAGTTTGCGCCATGGCATAGCTCCAAGAGAAATGAGACGAATACAATTGGAGCACAACCACAAAAAAAAGGGGCATATGGAGGAGCCAGCAAGCAACCAGATGTAAGGAAAGAAATACAGCATGATTGCCAGTATCGTCGTGATAACACTTGTTTTTCATTTTGACATCGAATTGAAGAACTCGAATGCGGTCATTTCCTCCAAAGAAAACAAAAATCTGAAATCGGAATTCCTGGATATGGAGACGGGTTATTTTTGTGTGATCCGGCTAAAACTTGAATGCACCATTCGACTACCTGTTTGTGTCGATGAAATCTCTGTACTCTTTCTTCATCTTCACCCCAGAAACAGTCCTGCAGGTGTTTAAAGAAAAATAAAACGAGGTGATCATCCATGGCCGACAACATATCTCTGCCTACTTATTTGTCATTTAATGAGTTAAATGAAGGAACTGTGAAGAACGTTGCTTTTTAGGATATGATCTGACTGTAATTTCTTCTCTAGAGAGACAAATCAGAAATATGAACTTATATAAACTACGTGAATCAGAAATATTAATGAGACTCCCGGAAATATTTCCAAGGAGTCCAAGGATAAAAAAAATGCATTCCCAATCAACAGGAAGCATACTTGAGAATCTACCTTGAAATTCGAATGATGAAGAGAATCTATAAGAGAGAGAGAGAGAGAGAGAGAGAGAGAGAGAGAGAGAGCAAAAGCTAGAGAGGAGGAGGGGATGAAGCATACTTGAGCATCTCCTTGCTTTTGAAAAACTGCACACAGGGTGTGCCCATGATTCCAGCTGCCTCAGCAATCTCAGGATCCTCCTCAATGTCGATCTCCACGAAATGGACATTCTGATCATATTCATCAATCACCTGAAAAACAAGGTTCGTGCTTGATAAAAAGTACAGCTGACAGCATCCGCATTAAAGGCACATGATCATCACGCATTTCGAACAGATGTCAACAACGCAGAGCAGGTGAGGGACGAGACTATCTGGCGTACAAACAGGTTTCTTCTCTTACGATGCTTCAAGGGCGAAGATGCCAGGAACTTCAGCAGGCTGAGGCTTGAGCATGGTATTTTCACCATATTAACGAAATTTTTTTCACCGCGAGTTCATTTAAAGCTTATGATTGCATTTCAGAATAAAAGTTTTCCCCTTATTTTTTTGAAAAAAAGTTGCAAATATTCTGATCAAGTTGTCTCATTATCTTTTGGCATTTCAGTAACATAGTTCAATATAAAGGATTCAACAGATAGACACGAAGATCATTAATAAATCTACGATATTTCGTACACAAATTGGAATTCAGATACCCTTGGGTCGAAGGAAGTGACGGAATATTTCAAGAATGAGCAAATCGCAAACGGCAAAGCAGGAAATTCAAAAACCACGCATTAATGACTAAATAATTTTCTACGCAATTTCAGATAAGACGAAGGGATATAGCGCAGCCCTTAATCACAATAATGCATGCATACATTGAGTCCATACCTTGCTTAAGATTGGTTTCAGTGTCCTGCATGGACCGCACGTTGGTGATGTGTATAGGACACATATAAGCCTTGGGCTCTCATGGTACAGTTTCCTTAAAGCGTACTGCAATCACCGGCCAAAGATCAAATTGATCATCAAATATGTTCATATCATTTAACCTATGTTTCATTCTCATCATATTTTTGAAGCACTGAAATTTTATTTTACGGGGGGAAACGTATGCATTACCTGCCCCTTGTGCTTGGTAAGGGTAATATCAAAGCCCATTGTAACATCCCTATCAGATATTTCCTTCTTAACTTCTTCCCTTACAGGCTATTTTTTGAGGACAAAGAAGACAAGAATTTCATTAAATAAGTGAATAACAACGCAACTGACAGAAAAAAAAAATTTGTAAATTCTTGGACAGATGAATTTACTGTTCATCGTAGAAAGTAACAACAAAACTTTCCAGAAAAAACGGCAGCCTTAAGCATAGGACATTAACAACGCATTGTAACCAACCGATTATTATGCAGTTTTAGCACTAAGATTTCACTAGAATTTCGTACCGCCATTCACATCAAGTAATATAGTGTCTAAATCTACTTGAGATTCTTGAAGCCCATTGGACAAGTATTACATTTCCTGTGAAAGCGTCTCAAAAATGGAAACCAAAACATTGAATACGGTAGGCCACGGATGGGCCTAACTTACTTCAGGAGGAAAGACCGGGTACCCATCTCGATGGCTAGTAAGAGGAGGGCTATCAAGTAGTTTCAAGGGTGGGGGGATTAGGGCACAACATAGACGGGAGAAGAAGGGCACGGGAAACATCTCAAGCAACAGCTTAGTGGGAAAGAGATAGCCCTCTAGCTAACATCTCAAATAAAGCAAGTGTAGGTATTCCAAATCAGGTGCATTTCTCCGATGAGAAGAGAAGAAAAGAAGAACGAGTTCCATTTTCCCATCGAAAAGATCAGGAAGTTCTAGGTTCTCAATTCTTTTGTGTGAAAATATTTCCATAATGGATACTATTCAACCTCCTTCATCATCTGCCACAGGCTGTTGCTAAAAGTTAAAGGTATCCACGCATTATCCTTCTCAGCGGAACAGAAAGACTCTTAGAATTTCTTCTAGGACCTCCCAGTCTCGATCATTAGCGAATTTTTCAGATCAGGTTAAGCATATAAATCTAGACAAAGCGGAAATATACGAAGTCAAGATACAGTCTGGTGCTTAATCACTAAAAGCGACTAAAGAGTAGGTACAGAATCAATACAAATGGATAGTTAGGACACTCGACTATGTAGAAAGAGGCTATCCAGAACAAGCCAGAGGCAAATACTTTGCTGCCAATGTGCTCGAAGAAAAGTACTTGGTATGAAAGGGAAGTTAATCATGGCCACAGATCTGTAGAAAAACGAATTCTAGAAAGCGATGCATCACCTGCCTCTATGATGGTTCTATGCATTTCAATCGTCCATCCTCTCTCCAACAATAATAGATGTGAGATCGGCCAGCAGTCTAGTAAACACAGATACTGATCCGCTCAAGAGCTGTAAACGGCGGGAGGCCCAACATGACGCGGGAGACTTGGTCTATCTAAAATTACGACCTTACACATTACGCTCTCTAGCTCGCAGGGCTAATAGGAAATTATCTCTCTGATATTTTGGCCCTTGTCACGTTGTTGAAAGAATTAGACCAGTTGCCTGCCGACTAGAGCTTCCTTTTTCTGCGGCAGTTCACCAGTATTTCCCTCTCACAACTAACAAAAGGCCAGACTTAATGACCGGAGTCAGCCACCTCTCTAGTATCGGATGCCAAGTTGAACTGGGTTGTCAAGCCTCAGTCAGTCCTAGAAGTATGTTCATCGATCAATCATCTAGAAGTGCTTATTCAATTAGACAATCTGCCCACTTTTGAGGCCACTTAGAGTCCACGGATGCAATACAGTAGGCACTTCCCTGACTTCCACTTTGAAGACAATGCGACTCTCGCAGGGGAGGGGGGAGTTATGATAGGCCCTTGATGGGCCTAACTTCAGGATGAGGAAAAGACCGGGCACCCATATTTAGGCTCAATTAGGGGAGGGCTATTGAGTAATTTCAAGGGTAGGGGGAAGGATATTAGGGCACAAGACGGACAGGAGAGAGGGGCACGAGGAAAATCTCAGGCGACGGGCTTGATGGGAGAGAGATAGCCCTCCCGAAAGGCTGTCACGGCTACTCTTCTGTTCTAGGGCTTCCTTCTGGGGCCCAACGTGTTCAGTTTTCCAGTTTATTTCAGTTGTACTTCAAATTCCCCTATCTGTGTGTAATTCAAGGTCCTATCAGAATAGAACCAAAATTCAGCATAAAATGATCAGAAAGGATGACTCAGATGACACCAATAAAAACAATCGTATCATTAAGCCAGTGAGAAATTGCATATTAAAATACCTGGTGGAATTCAATAAGGAGATTATTTGTGACCAGGTATCTTTCAACTGACAAAGCGGCAATACATCCAGATCCAGCAGCTGTTATAGCTTGCCTCCATTCATGATCCTATTAGATGATTACACAAAGTTGACAAAATAATGTAAGATCAAAATACTAGATGAACAAGTAAAATAATTAAAAAACCTATAAATAAAGCAGCAAATCACAATTTCTCAGGTCATACTCCGCATTTAGTGGAGATTTTTTTGAAACCAACAAAACGTTTAGCAAAATTGAAAGCGGCAGATTTGGATACAATCTATCCCCTAACAGATGTTAAGAGTCTTAGTTTCCATCCACCTATCAAACTTGTTGACAAAAATTTTAAGGGAAATATTTGTGGACGTGAGTAAAATATTGAAGCAGATTTAGCATGCATGATTGTATTAAAAATTCATTATCACTTGCATGAAAATACTAATTTTAGGCACATTCAAGAAGTCGCATATAATGAAATGATCAGATAATCATTCTACATTTGTTTATAGAAGATATATCCATGCATTAAACATGAAATTGAGCTAAGTGACGACAAAGACTTCATAAGGGACAGATCCATCCAGGTGAAGAACAATTGCAACAACTTTTAACTTGGAATCGTTGCAAATTTGATTTTTATGCAAAAAAATAAGGGATCTTAGACCAAAAAAAATCGTTGCAACAAACCATTTTCCAAAGTATGTCAAATGACCAGTAAGGTAAATACGACCAAAGAAGCAAATGACCGGTTTTAGATCAGGGACTTTAGTATCCTATTCTAAAAAAACATTATTTGTGAAAACGTCATAGAATCTCCAGTTGAAAAATATGATTGTGTTGAAGACAATTATTTCAATTAAAGTATATTTAATTTTATTGGATAATAAATATAAAAAAAACAAAATGTGATAACAAGACACAGAGCAGAAATACCTGCACATCACCGGCGGCAAAAACCCCTTCAACAGAAGTTTTAGCAGTACCCTCTTTGACCAACACATAGCCTGCAGTATCAAGTTCAACTTGACCTTCCAATAACTGGCTGTTTGGAGAATGGCCTATGCCATAGAACAGACCCTTCACTTCCAGCACTGATTCTTCGCCCGTGTCAATCTTCTGCAGTAAAACGCCAGACATCTGTCCTTTGGTATTGCTGACAACATCCACGGTTTTTGTATTGAAGTGCACAGTGATGTTCGGGTTGTTGAAAACTCTGTGAAACATTCGCCATAATCAACCTGTTAAAACAAACACTAAGGTAGTTGAAAATTTACCATCAAACAATATGCTTCCCAACTGACAAATTCTTAGCAAGCGACTCAATCACATCCCCATTGCGTTAAAACTTCATTAACTTTATAACAAAGAAGAAGGTAGGTAGAGTAGCTATGAGAACTGCCCGTGGAAATATTTTTAGCAAAAGTTTTCTAAAGAAATATTATCAACATGTCTCTTCCAATTAGAAATGTTCGTTCATTTCCTCTACCCCAGATACTCCACCACACTAGCATATTTTGTGAGACTATGTGTGACGAGCTTGGTTTCAATATTTGTAGATTCCCCACATCTGAAGGAGGAAGAAGACATTTTTAACTAATTTTGTCTAACAAAGGGGGCTCCAAACCTTCTAGCTGCATGGCGCCATTGAGGATACATTTATGTTTCGAAGAGAAAGTACAATCATTTTGCTAAAGTTAAAATATGCTGGAAATTAAAGACTGAATGAGGCTCTTTCCATGAGTAGACATCTTTATTGATTCCTTTTCGAAAGCACCCTCGTTCTCTTTATCTACTGAGATGGTATCTCTTTCCACTAAAATCAAACCAAAACACGCCCAAGACCCTCTCGTTCTAGTTCCAGATACACATCTCAAGGCACATGATTTCATGACCTCAAATGATTTTGCTTTTTAAGTAGATGGTACAACATATACATCATATAGCAAACAAGAAAAAATACATGCACATACTTGTCCAAGATGGTAAATTCATCCACGTAATTTTAATTTTTCAAACTTTTGAAGAAATTCTAACAACTAACCCGAGTATTTTGTAATGAAACAAATGAAAATCTACCAAAAGCCCATATATCATCAAAAACGTGCGCAGCTATATGAAATGATGATTATGTTCGGAGCTCTCACAAAAAGCTTAACAAAGAAATATAGAAAGAAGTTCAAAACCTAAAACTGACTTTGATCGTACCTGTCCTGCATTGCTTTAGATGCCTTTAACATGCTGCCACGAACAAGTAAATGTACATGGCGAGCATATTTTGTAAGATACAGGGCCTCCTCTGTTGCTGTATCACCTCCTCCAATAACGGCAAGTACTTGCCCCTTGAAAAGTGGCGATGCTCCATCGCAAATTGCACAAGCACTTATTCCCCTACTCCAAAATTCATCCTCGTGAGGCAGTCCAAGCCGTTTTGCTGCGGCTCCTGTGGCTAAAATAAGAGAATGGGACTTCACCTAATATGTGCAGATTAAACAAACAGATGATTACCAACACAAGCTTTTGACAAAGAGAGAAAGAAAACAAACAAGCTAGTGCAGATTTCTCAAAAAGGGAAACAGATAATATTGTGCCAACATGCATTCGAACAAAATTGAGTAGTGAATATCAAATATTTGATTAAAACATTTGAAGCAATGCGCAAAAAACAACATACCTCAGAAAGATGGTAAAGGATACGTAACGAATCAATGCAAGCAAAATAACATTTCCATATCCTCTCCTACAGTACAAAGACATGACCTATTCTTTCACTATCAGAGATAGAAATTTAGACCCTATCTCACAAGAAAGCCATGACGTATGCATGTCGCTATTTCTCTTCTTCCATAAAACTCAAAAGATTGCGTGCAGGATGGGCAACCATTCCACCATTAACTTGTAGCAAAACGATCCAATTCCAGAACATTGAGACAAAGGGTAACAAAACACGAATAATTACTAGGTGATAGGCACTAATACGATTTGTGCATTCAAAGATATAAATTATCTGAGCATTACTCCACTATGGACATAATACCCATTCCTTGCAACTCACGTCCAATTCAATGGTTAAATATGATCTTTAAATATCTTCTTAAAATCAACCTACGATTTTACAAAAATTCTGTATGCACCTCACGTTCGCTGCTCCGAATGGTGAAAGGTCTATTTTTTACGTCAATATATTCTACATCCTCTTGAAAAAGTTCTGCACCCCAACGCTCAGCTTGCTTCCGCATCCTGCAAAAAGAAATAACGGTTGACAATAAAGTGCTGTACATGCTTACAAAATATACACAGGCATAAAAAGAGAAATAGAAAATTGACTTATTTCAAACTAAAATAGGGCATCTTGATCTTTGCCAATTCATAGGAATCCGTATAACAGTGATTTATTTACCTATCCATCAAATCAGGACCAGTTATTCCATCTGGAAATCCTGGAAAGTTCTCAACTTCAGTAGTAGTCATTAGCTGTCCTCCAGGAACACCACCTACTTGATATCCTTCAAATACTACAGGCTTTAAATTCGCCCGAGCTGCATAAATTGCAGCTGTATATCCAGCAGGACCAGAGCCAACAATCACTAGATTTTCGATACCCCCAGGAGTACCTGACAAAGAAATCACTCTCCTAGGTTCAAACATTGGCATATAAAGATAAGGAACAGAGTTAAAGGTACTCATGTAAGGTAGAAATAAAAATGGAAAATAAATTCATATAATACAACTAGGAATTGAAAGTGCAAGCAAAGAACATGACCATATCTTTACATCATATCAAAAAGCACGCCAAAATGAACGATAATTATACCATTCAAACGCTGTCTTTAACTGATATTCCAAAAAGCTTGCGAGGCTTGCAAAACTGTAGTGAATACTCTCTACTTCTTCTACTAAGGTAAAATTGACCCAAAGCTCTTAGATACTAAATGCTTCTTCACAGGTCAATAACATCAATCATGCTTTTCCCTTCAATGGTTAATTCCGTTACGCAATTATGAATAGCTCATATAATAGGTTCGCTTTGTGAAAGTAAACTAGATTAGTGGATTATAAAGCACATGAGGATGGCTACTACTTCCCAATGCAACTCCTATCAAAGAGAAAAGAAACAAAAGGGTTAAAAACATACATCCCCACCATCCACTATCACAGATGCCTTCCCATTCTGGATTCAAAAAGTAAAGTTCAAATGAGAAGATCAGTATCATGGAAAGAAAAACCTTCCTATGTAGAACCCAAGCCAGAAAATGAGACCCAAAGTTAGTCAGTTAATCTGAGACACCACTTCTTTAGGAATGCCAAGTGAACTATTCTTGAAATAGAAACTCTGGCTGATATGACTGCTGACCAATGTCAGACAACAATCATTTTTTTTTAAGTCCTTATATCATGTAATATAGTTATATAGGTGGAAGGATAGCTTTTTAATTTACCAAGCAAGGTTTTACTTCAAATTTACTAAAAAAAATATAATCCCTTTCTTTCAATAAGCAGTAATAAAAAAACTTCATGCATAAGCTTCTTGGACAAAAGCAGACAGAAAAATTTGCATTTTCCCCACCTTGCAGTAAGAATAACAGCCTTTGCAATAGGAAACTTTATAGTGAAATAAACGAATGGCTCAGCCTTGACATCCTATAACTCTAAAAGATAATGATACGCAATGGTATGTCACAAGAAGCTTCCCTCCACGTTGTATGACAAAGGTGGCCACCAGCATCTAGACTGATCCATCCCCACACCTATATGCCTCTTTTTATTCCTAACCCTCAATTTATGATTCTGCAAATTGACCAAGTTTTTACAAAAGAAAGGGATTCAATATAGAACACATTTAGTGTTTAGCTAGTGCCCCCCGCAGGAATCTTCTCACATGCTATGGGCAAAAGCATCCACTTCGGATGCACAGCACAACATGATACATAAGTTTACCTATACGAGGATTGAAAGAAAAATGCATCAAGATAGATTACGTTTGATTAACAAGTCGCCACTCACCTAAATTCCAGATAAAGTTTCGTACAGATCATGACAGGAAAAGAATTTTCAAACTATATTAGTCATATAAATTATTTATCCATCTCGACTGACTCCTTTCAGCACGAAATTCTGATATACTTCTGTTGAGCTTCTTTAATTCATTTCAGACTGCGTGACCAAACAAGCAAGACCACCTTCTCATCATCCCTAAAGGGTTAAAAGAAAAAGGCTGTGTTCCAAAAAATGAATGTTACGTTTCACATCAAGAAAAGTGTGAATGGATGCGCCAACAATCAAGAAGGAAGCATATGTGTGAAAAGTGTGACTAATTTTTCGAGAAGATAATGTCTGCAATGCCACGGAGTCGAGCAGACGAGATGGATCTTTCACATAAAATATGTACAGCTGGTTTTCGATCTTCTTGAGACCAGCGTCTTGAAGATATTCGTAGTTGATGAAGATCGCTGAAACTTTATGAGCAAAGGGACTTGACACTCGAGACAATCATATTCACAGAATAACTGAAACTTCCCTTACAAACATGGTTTCACCGTCCAAAAAAGTTGAAACAGACTATTAAGCTGGCTCGAAGAAAGCAAAAACGTTTTCCATCAAAGTGCGATCCATTAAAGCAACGTTTATTATACTGTTGCATGTTAACCATACCTTGCCTTTATTGTTTTCCAGCGTACTGCCTTAGGCCTCCAAACGGAAAAAGAACTACTAAACTACATGCACGCCGAAAGTACCAAGAAACAGAAACAATGATTCCAACCGGATTATTCCTTCTAGAAAGACGAACAAGAAGAAAAAATGAGAAGCAAGATGGACGGCTGCAAACGCCAATGCTCATATACCTGTCGGCTCAGAAGCGGCCGAGGCCGAAGAGCTTGGGACATCCTCAGCAGTGGACGCCGGCAGCGCTGCGCAGCAGAGTCGGCAAGCGCCATGGGGCGGAGAAGCGGGGGAGGCCTGCCGCCGGGTGACACCGCCACCACCAACGCCGGCAACGGTGGCGGCGCCTGGCCATCCACCGCCGCCGGCCGTACGCGTCTGACATCGGCTGCGGCGGTGGTGCTCCGTGAGGAAGGGGCGGACGTGAGGCGCCACGGACACCGAGGAAGCCATTCGATCCACTCCTATCCTCACGGCCATTTGTCTTGAACCATTGGCGACCAAGCCTGAGTTTTAAATACCTTCATATACAAAATATAAGATAATACTCGCTAAAACACCAATTTCATGTTCTACCCTCAAATATTTATTTATAAATTTTTCACCTCAAATACAAAGGCCTAGCCAGTTCATGCATATTTTCCAAATCATTGGCCCCCCACTATATTCCTACTTGGATATATTTTTTTCATAAATGAGGAGATCCAGACTCCCACGACCCCATCTTTAGGGGAGAAAAAAACCTCAACATAAATTGCACAAATTATCCTAGTTCCTAAACTATTTTGAATTATAGCCATGAGTAAGATGCTTGACCCATGATTTAGATTTTTCTTGAATTATGAATTATTTAGATTAAACTATGTTTTTCTTAAAGAGCATGTCCAATTATTCATCAAATTAATGATAGTAAAAAGGTTCAGCTATAAACCATGAGACTCATTTAATTAGTTATTTTATAACATGTAAAAAAAATAATATAAAATATTTTACTTATTATCATAGAAAATATTATGAGCGATAATAACTTTTAGAGCACCTATTCATAATTTTTAAATATATTTTGATCGAATCACGTTTGTATTATTTTATAGATGCATGATTTTCATAATTTAAGTTGAATATTCTAGCTATAAAATAGAATAGTAAATAAATAGAAATCCAATATTTTGAGACGTTGTAGCACTATGAATCTTCCAAATGCCACATTTCCAAACTAGTCCATCAAATAAAAAATAAATGACACAACTCTAGAGGTTACTAAATAAAGAAATATGTACGTAATGAGAGATTCACCTTCTAATATCTATTAAGATTTTGTATTTGTATACTTTTTTTTTACTTCTTCTGGCAATAACATCCTTGAGGTTTCAAATGATTTGATGCTTTGTGGATCTTAAAATAGTCAACAGTACTGTTGACTATTTAACCTTTCATCCATCAATACATTGAGCATGATTAATCTTGTTATCCATGGAGGAGTTGACCTTTGGGATCTCGATCTTCTAGTCTAATTTTTGAGTGTTCATATCTCTCATTGACCTCACAATACTAGGTGTTGACCCTGGGTTCAATTTTCTTTTTTTGGGTACAAGTGTGAATCTTTGATGATGTAATTTTGATTCTATTTTTGGCATGAGTCAAAACCTATTCTCCAAGTGTCATCCATTATGAAGTAATATCCTTTTTTATGGATAATCATTAAAAGCTTATGAGATTATTTTGATGCAAACTAGTATTTAGCATTTTATCACATTTCTAATTTTATTTTACGGTGCAAACAAAATTTCCAAAAAGTCATAATAAGAATTTTATATTTTGGCGAGAAAAATAAGAAAAAACATAAAAATCACCTGATATTCGAGAACTAACATCGATTTCTGATTATGCTCATGAATTAATAAATACAAGCATAAAATTCTCATTAAAAGAATGTTGCTATGATTAGATCTAACAATTTAATCATATTTTTGGACGAGTTCAAAATATGATATATAGCATATATAAATCTGAGGGAATTTACAGGGGTGAGGTGAAATCTGTGATCTGTTCGCAGCAGCTGAAAGGAGAGAGCGAGAGGGGAACGACTATGACGAATCGAGTTAGTGGCAATGGCGGCAGGCCAACGGTTGCTCAGAACGCGGCGGCGGCGGCGGGGGGGCCAGCGACGCGCTCCGACGCTCGCCAATCCTCCTCTTCGAGTTGCTGGGGCCGGCGGACAAGGAGGCCGAGCAGCGCCGCCGCCTTGGTCCTGGCCCTCTGGGACGACGACGTGGATTCTGCCAGCTCCCTCACGGCGGCGACCGCCGTCTCCACCTCGCGGATGTCCTCTATCGCCCGCTCGCCGCCGCTCTCGGCGAGGTTGAGGAGCGCCGCCGCCGCGTTCTCCCTCGCCCTGGCTGTCGTCCCGGTGGCGGCGTCCACCAGATCCACGAGCACCTGCACGCCGGAGACCCTGCGGAAGGCCTCCAGGCTCTCCCCGCAGCCGGCGACCTGCGCCACCACCGCCGTGCAGTCCTCCACGATCCCCGTCCTCCCGTCGTTGACGATCAGGGAGAAGAGCGCCGGCACGGCGCTCTGCCGGACGATCACCGCCCGGTTGAGCTTGCAGAGGGCGACGGCGAAGAGCGCCTTCAGCGCGTCCTTGAGAGATTTGGTGGGGTTCGGATGGGGAGGAGCGATGGGGCGGAGCATGGCGCAGAGGGCGGCGATGATCTCCTCCTTGCCGCCGATGATCGGCCGGTAGGCCTCCACGGAGAGGAGGCTGTAGACGGTGGCGGCGGCGTGCTGCGCGGCGGCGGGGGCAGCGGGGCTGCGCAGCGCGGCGGCGAGGCCGTCGAGAAGCCCCGGCGTGGCCATGAGCGCCTCCCGGCTCGAGATGGAGAGGTTGAGCAGGGCAGCGGCGGCGTCTTCATGGGAGGAGCTGCGGTGGCCGGCGGCGTCGCCGCTGCCGCCGGAGAAGAGGAGCAGGTGGTGAGCGAGCAGGGGGACGGCGCCGGCGTCGACCAGGAGCGGCCGGAATTCATCGTCGTGCTTGGAGAGGAGACGAATCTCCGCTATGGCCTCGTCCGTCGCCGCCTCGTCCCCCTCCGAGGAGCCATTGATGAGCTTCCTCACCAGCAACCTCGCCGTCCTCCTCTTCACCTCCATCCCCCTTCCCTCTCTCTCTCTCTCGCTATTATCTCTATGTCTTCGTCAGGATCTAGCGCTCTCCTCGAAGATTCCTAACCCATTCCAAACCTCTACTCTCAGATCTTGATCGAACGGTTTTTTCAACAGTGGACCCCACACGAGAGCGAAACCACCTGTACATCCCCACCGAAGCCTTCAATAGCGCGTCGGCCACGTGTTTGTCCCGGTCAACGCTAGCACCGAGGATCAATACGTAGGAAGTTTTAACTAAAAGAGTATGAATTCGGCATCATATAATTTGTCAATATACGGATCAAGCAATAAATATGAATTATATTTCCCAACAGTTTAATAGGTATTCATATTATTTTCCCCACTGTCCTTAAAAAATAAATAATTTGATTTTACAAAATTATATTTTAGACGTAAGGGATAAATAATTTTATTTTTATATATATTTGACCTTCGTAGGTCTAATCCGTGTGTACAAATACGTACATGGCAAATTGGGTGGTTGGGATGGGTTTGACTGGATTTGACTTTTGAATGCTTTCTAATGGGCATTGACTATTCGATGGTTTATCTTTCAAAAACTTTGGGTCTAATATTGAGTATAAAAAAAAAACCCGTTGAATTCTCATTCAGAAGAGGTTGACCGAATACCGAATGAAATTTGACCGCCCGGTTGGTTGCGTGGGAACGGCGGCGGTCAGAGTGAGCTGGACGTGACGGCGACGCCGCCGACACGACTGCGACGGAACGGAGGATTCGCCGGCGCCGGTCGTCATTGGGATGTCTGTACTGCTTCGCACATAGACAGTACAAGTCTTCCGCAGTCGATTGGTCTCCGGCGAAATTGTACGTTGACTTCCTCATGGAAACCAGCTTTTTAAACCTATTATTTTTTTTTATAAAATTATAATATTCCTTTTTCAAAATATATAATTCTCATTTATGCATTATCTTATATGTTGTGAATTTGTATTTATATCCTTCTTCGTGGTGGAATGAGCATAGAAATTCCCTAGTTTTTCTATAATTTGATAATTTCTGATGAAAAATTGCTTCCCAAAAGATAAAAAGCCTCGTCGATTTATTCGGAAAAGTAAATAAAATTCTACGGTGATATTGGACTGAGTTATCAATCCTGTTGACGGTTCGGATCCCGTCGTTCTTCTGCCGCCTAAACAGTAAGAACACCAGCGAGAGAGAGAGAGAGGGAGCCGCTGGAATTGAATTCTCGAAGGGGACAGTGGCGATGGCGGCTGTGAAGGAGGACGCCGGGGGTCGAGGGGGTGGCTTCGAGGGGGAGATGGAGGTGGAGGCGTACCGGCGCCTCTTCCCGCTCCCCTACTACGAGCGTCACCTCCTCGAGTCTGTGAGGCCCGATGCCAGGCCTCTCTCTTCCGCCCGGGACACCTCTATTGCTGTTGGTTTGTCCTTTGCTACTCTCTCTCTGTCTCTCTCTGTATCTCTGTATCTCTGTGTCTATCTATTTGTGCTTACGTGTTTTTCTGTCTGTATCTTACCTTTTCTTTTCAATCTCTCGCAACGTTTGTTCAGGGGCTGTTTCTTCTGCTGATGGCTCAGCTCTAGTGAAGACTGGAGAGACCGTACGTCCTGTTTCTTCCTTCTCTTCCTGAAGCAATCTTCTTATTTTTCGCGTTTTATGTAAACTTTTGGATAAGTAATCGTCGCACTGTGAAGATTGGCTGAGTGCTTTACTTGTACCTTAAGTCGTTTGACAAAATGCTTCCGTGGAATCATGCCCTCAAACCGTGTAAACAGACCATGCTCGCGGCCATCAAGTTGGAGGTGATGAGCCCTTCTCAAGACTCGCCTGATGAAGGCTCCCTAGGTCTATTGTCAACCCTCTTTATCCCCTGCTACCTGGTTGAATATTTCCTTTTTCATTCCTGATATTTTACGGCGTTTCTTATTTTATTTTATATTCTTTTTCTTATTTTCATCTTCCTTTAGCTATTGATTTCCACATGCCTCCAATCTGTTCGCCAACTGTGAGGCCAGGGAGGCCTGCTGAATTGGCACCTGTACTATCTAAGCAGCTGTCTGATGTTATCTCAAGGTACATTTATTTTCTTTTACCTCTGTACTTATTCTTCTTTTGCTGCAATCATTAAACGAGGCACGTAGATTGTAATGTTTTAAATGTAGTTCTGTGTCACGAAATTGAATGATATTGACGGAGGAACTACCTAATGGGTGAAAGACTGTTCTTTATGATAGGCACGATTGATCTTGACTCATAAGTGCATTTTTAGAAGCTAGTTAGCAGCATTTTTGTCATAGATCAAAATGTTACAAGGTTTTATTGTGACTTTCTGCAAGGAAATTGACTGTCACGGTTATATAAAAACCGCCTCTCTGTTCTCCTTTGAATATAAAAAATCAGAGAATCTTCTTGTTTGTCAATATTTTGTAAATAATTCTCAAAATCTAATGATATTTGGCTGCTTGTATACCTTGTGTGAGGCATTTGACGACAATATCAAAATCAGATTGATGGGCTATGACATATGCCTAAGATGGAACTGTTGGACGAAAATGCATAACAGAGATTTGGTGGCTTGCCCTTTTTGACTATTTGGACATAGAGGAACTATCATACTTTTGAAAGGAAAAACTCTTCAGCTCCTAGGTTTTTAATTGGGTTTGTGAGCGGATTGTATGAGACATATATCTTAATGATGATGATCATGAATATGTTAGTATTGGGATCTTGGGTTTTCTATTTGGTTTACACGACCTATCTTATGAACATCTTTTTATTTGCTAATGATTAGGTGGTACTTCTCACCTTAAGAAAGGAAACATTTCCATTCTATACTTAGAAAACTTTTTTAGTTATCAGTTTCCTCATTACTTCGCAATGGAGAAGAGAAAATTAGAGTCAACATAGAGTGCTATCGTATTAAAATAGAAAATAAAGAAAAACGAGTTTTGTGGACTTGTTGGTGCCTCAACCTCTGCATTTGCCAACTGAGATCCTTTGAATCTGAAACTAAGCTTTTAGCTACATTCGACTGAAAATTGAGTCCCTTTTTCACTTTTATACACTTTACTGTTTGAGAACTGGTAATGACACCTGATTTAGTACTTCGTGCTCAACAATTTAAACTACCCTGTAAATGGTATTAAAAGGGTAGATACATATGTCTTCTGTTTTGTTTTCCTTTCCCCTTGAGGTTCGTAGAAGGTATGTCCACCGTTTCTTTTCAAGGAAGGAAATTTATCCATCCACCAATCTGCTGGGTGATTGCTTTTTTTACTTTCCTTATCTCACATTCATTATTTTGGACATAGATCTCCAGGCTATATTGACGATACCACAATTGGTGTATGGCATTCATAATTTCACGCTTCAATCCAAAACAAAATGTTGACCTTTACCCGCATGTCAAACGTTCAGATATGTCACAGTAATATTTGCGGCCTCCCAAACTCTATCCCATCTGACAAAGTGAAAAAGTCTCCATCTTCTCTGTCCTTACAAGCAAGTAGACATGTTCGTATTAGATTTTCATATATCTTTTGGTGGCTTCACTGATCACTGATGTGGGAGTTCTGCATAATAGACGTACTTGTTAACGTTGAACTTGTGCTTTTCCGTCTGCTCTGTGTAGATCAAAGATGATTCACCTAAAAGAACTCTCTTTAGTCAGCGGGAAAGCTGCTTGGATGGCTTATCTGGTAAATTGACACTGTTTATTCATTCCTCTGTTATTATGTTGTAATTTTAGATGCCAATACTTGATTTTACTACGTACATGGCTCTTCAATGCTGTTCACAGTTTCCCTTTGGGCGAGCTCTTGAATACTCAACTATGCACCATGTGATACATTTGTTGGCATCTCTTTATGGGAAATTCTGCTCTGATGACTCTTCATCCGCATTTTAATGATATCCATTGCTTTCAACATAGAGATGGAGGAAGATCCTTTATTATAAGGGGAACATTTTTTCATTTTTAGTTGAGTTGACCATCTCACCATTGTGAGAGTTACTTCCAATTTGTTGAATTTCCTCTAGTTCGTTCATTTCTTGAAGAACGATAGATCTTCTCGTGGAAGAAAATAAGGGCTTATATTTACCACATATGAGGAAAAAGAATTTAAAATGTGTTTTTACATTGAGATAGGGGTCTGTTGTTTATAACAGATCCATGGGAGAAGATTCTAGACAGTCTTACATCTCGAGACATGCAGGTGATGTTCACGTGCTTCTTAAAGTGAAGCACGGATACACTTCACCCAACTGCTAATGCAGTATTTACATTATATTTCAAATCTCCCCTTCAAGCTGGTGAGTGGATATCATCCATTCCTAGCTTTCAGAGCACTTGTTGTAGTTGAGTCGTAGAGACACATCAAATCAGTTAGTTGATGTTGAGTGGGGATGTAAGGAATACAGATTTCTTTAGATTCCAAGTTTTCCTTGATAAAGTGACGATCTATCTTCACATGCTTTGTGTGATCATGTTGAATATGATTATGCACAAGATTAATTACAGATTTACTGTCACAGTAGAGCTTCATAGGACCTGAAATAGGAATCTTTAGGTCAATGAGTAAAATCTTCACCCAAAGTAGTTCACATATCCCATGTGCAAGTGCCCTGAATTTTGCTTCTGCAGTTGAGCGAGCAACCACATTCTGTTTCTTGCTGCGCCAAGTAACCAAATTTCCTCCCATAAACATCATAAGACTTGAGGTTGGTCGATGATCTAAAAGAGAACCAGCATAATTAGCATCAATATACATCTCAACTGTTACTTTATCACCATATTTGAAGAGAATGCATTTTCTAGGAGTTCTCTCTAAGTAGTGTAACACTTGATAGGCAGCATGAAGATGGGATTCAGTTGGCTGATGCATGAACTGACTTAAGAGACTGACTGCATATGGGATGTCAGGTCTAGTGTGTGTGAGATATATCAATCGTCTAATAAGACGTTGATACATTTCTCGATCAATAGACTCCTCCCCTTCCCCAACACTAAGTTTGTGGTTAGGATCAAGGGAGGTGCTAGCTGGTTTGCATGCAGGCTTTCCAGTATCTTTTAGAAGATTTGCCACATACTTTCGTTGAGAGATGAATATGCCCTTAGAAGAATGAGCCACCTCAATGCCTAGAAAATATTTAAGACAACCCAAAGTCTTGATATCAAATTCTTTGGCAAGATATTTGCTCAAATTTCCTTGTTCAATGTCATCACTTCCAGTAATTATAATGTTGTCAACATAAACTAGAAGTATAGTAACTCCCCCTAATGAAGTATGCTTGAAAAATAATGGGTGATCAGCATTACTAGGACGATAACCAAATTTTCGCATGATAGTAGAAAATCTCCCAAACCATACACGTGGAGATTGTTTTAGTCCATACAACGACTTTCTTAGTCTATAAACAATGTTAGATGACAAACTTCCTCTATAACCAGGTGGATAATACATATATACTTCATCAGTAAGATCCCCATAAAGAAAGGCATTCTTCACATCATATTGTTGAATATTCTAACTATAAATAGCAGCCAATGATAAAATAATTCTGACTGTGTTCATTTTTGCCACATGAGAAAAGGTTTCATGATAGTCAATTCTATAAACTTGTGTATATCCTTTAGCTATGTACCTTTCAACTGATTCATCAGCATTGCATTTTATAGAATAAACCCATTTACACTCAACTGCCCATTTATCCTTAGGAAGAGGTACAAGCTCTCATGTATTATTTGTCACAAGAGCATGCATCTCATCATCCATGGCTTGTTTCCACTCTTTCTTGGAGAGAGCTTCTGAAATATTAACTGGAATGGTAATATTATCCAAGGTAGCAAGGAAGGTTTTATAAGATGGAGAAAGTTTATGATAGGAAATAAAGTTTGCTGAAGGATATAATGGGTACTTTGTACAAGCTCGTGGAGGTTTCTTGAGGGCAATAGAAAGGTCATTGGATTGGGGAGTAGTAGTATTTTCTGCTAGGATATGAATGTGGTTTCTTGGTCATTGGTTAAGGCCAGTTCGGAGTCTTGGGGTGATCCAGAATTTGGAGGCACTTGTGTTCTTGAATAAACCTGACCAAATCTGAGTTTTTCAGGAAGCAGATCAGGAAGAGATGGACTTTGGTCATACACATGAATTGGTAGAATAATTTGACCTGGAGGAGAAGAAACTCCTGGGAAAAAAACAGGTAAAGGTGGAAATGACAAAGAAGTATCTTGTGAGTTTTTCTGGAAGTAAAAAACTGATTCATGAAAGGTAACGTGTATAGTTGTAAAGAATTTTTGAGTTGGTGGATGATAACATCGATACCTTTTTGAGTTGTTGAATATCCAGAAAATATACATTTGAGGGATCTTAGATCTAATTTACCTTTAGCTCGATTATGATCATGGATGAATGAGACACATCCGAATATGCGAGGCTCTAATGAGATATGGAGATGATTAAGAGGGAAATAAGAAGCTAATTTTTCCATAGGACTTTGGAAACCCAAGGTTCTAGTGGGAAGATGATTTATTAAATGTGTTGCTGTTAAGAGAGCTTCACCGCAAAAAAATTTAGGTGCACCTGCCTGAAACAAGAGTGATTGTGTAACCTCCCAGAGGTGTCGATTTTTCCTTTCTGCCAATCTGTTTTGCTGAGGAGTATAAACATATGAAGACTCATGTATAATACCCTCAACTTGAATAAAAGAATTCAGATCGTTGCTTAAGTATTCCTTAGCATTATCTGACTTGAATTTCTTTATAGGATTATCCAATTGGGTTTTGATCATTGCACAGAAACATTTCAACACAATTAAAACTTCGGATTTCTGCTTAAGAAGAAAGATCCACATGCAACAGGTGCAGTCATCCACAAAGGTAACAAACCATTTATTACCCAATAGATCTACATTGGGACATGGTGCCCAAACATCACTATGGATGCAAGAGAAAGAGATCTCACTCCTTTCATTTCTAATTGGAAAAGAAACATGAATATGTTTGGACAATTCACATACGTCACACTTAAGGGTTTTTACAGACACCTTTTGAAACAAGGAAGGACGAAAAGTTTTCATAGTAGCAAAAGAAGGATGGCCTAATCTTTGATGAAGGAGCTGAATGTGATTCAGATCCTTGTGATGTTCTAGAGATGGTTCCGCTTCCTCAAGACATGTTTGGCTAGATCCCTCCAAGATGTAAAGTTCTCCTCGTTCTCTATCAACTTCAATCCTCCACTTCTGGACCTTATCAAGGATAACACAAAGGCCTTCATCAAAAAAGGCACGTTAAGGTGTGTTTTTAACAAGACTTTTTACAGAAATAACGTTGGTGAAAAGCTTGGGAACAGGGAGAACTTTGGTGAGGATTCTTAAAGGTTCAAGAGTCAAGTCTCTAATACCAGCAACCGTAAGAACTGTAATCAGCAGTAAACACTTTTCAGTCATTGGAACATGGGATGTAGGTAATAAAATGATGTGACGAATTTGTCATATGATCTGTTGCTCATGAATCTATTACTCAACATCCAGTAATATCTTGGGATGGAGCTCGAACACCAAGAGACGAGTGGAACTCACCAATTTGATGACTCGTTGATGGCTGTGAATGTTGTGTTACTATTGCCTTCAATTGCTCTGATTCAAGGTGAAGTTTCTCTACTTCGCTTGATGGAGTTGAATCAATATCTCTTGGGTTTGTTTGTTTAGACTTTTGATTGGATGAAGAATCAATCACCATGTGAGCCTGATTCACTCGATTCTCAGAATTCCGTGGTTTACCATGGAGTTTATAGCATTGCTCCCTGGTATGATGGGGTTTTCTGTAATAAGTGCACTAGAGATTATCTCTATAATCGTTTTTCTGGTTCTTCCCTTGCACAGATGATGATTGATGGTTCGGATATTCTGTTGATTTAATGGTGTGTCCTGGTTTGGCTAAAAATGCTGTCTTACCCGACTCTTGAGTAGACAACATCAATTTTTGACGAATCTCTTCATTCTGTACAATTGATATCATATCATTCAGATCTGGTCTCCTTTCACATCCTAGAATTTGCTGTCTGATATGATAAAAAATAGGACTTAAACCAGCCAAAAATTTAAAGACCTGCCTTTGTTCTATCAAATTTCGTTATGTAGAAATTTCTTTGGGTTCTTTAGTCCCAAGATCAGGATAATAATCATGCTCCTGGCATAGATTTTAAGTTCTCCTGTGTACTCCAGTGATTTAGAACCTTGAGTAAGTGATTGAGATTTTATCTCCATTTCAATGTGTGACTCATTGTTTTTCATCGAATATTTCATGTGTACTGTTCCCCACAAATCTTTCGCAGTTTTCATAAAGAAAAAATCTCTATTGGTATGGGGAATCATTGTTCCCCAAATTCATGTCTTTATCAAAGCATCCTCCTCTCGCCATTTTCTAAATTGCCTTAACATTGGATCTGGTGTAGTTTCCTCTAGATGATGTAGCATCCCTCTGCCAGTAAGAACTTCTTTAATATATTCTGACCACTGGATGAGATTATATCCAGTCAACTTAAATTCTGTAGGCATGACAGGAGTTCAATCATCAATCTTGATGATACAGGATTGACTTCCATAATGGTGGTAGAGACATCACCTACTGAGGTCTCTCCTCCTTCAGGCCTGAATGAGAACAAATCGAAATAGGAACAACTGCTTACTAAGTAGAAAACAAACGTAATTCTTGTACGTCTTGAAAGGAAAATCAAGAAATATCTTGAGAAGGGCTCAAGAAACTATATTGATCTTCTAAGTCCTCAAGAAGAGGCTCACAGAGACAGCATAGATCTCTTATACAGAAAGAGATAATAAGAAAGGAGCAATCGCACATAGATTTGCTCTGATATCATGTTGAATTTCCTCTAGTTCATTTGTTTCTTGAAGAACGATAGATCTTCTCGTGGAAGAAAATTAGGGCTTCTATTCACCACATATGAGGAAAAAGAATTCAAGAAGTGTTTTTACATCGAGACAGGAGTCTGTTACTTATAACAGATCCATGGGAGAAGGTTCTAGACAGAGCTTTACATCCCGAGACATGCAGGTGATGTTCACGTGCTTCTTTAAGTGAAGCACGTGATACACCTCACCCAACTGCTAATGCAGTATTTACATTATATTTCAACACAATTGTCCTGAGAAAATGAGCATAGAAAATAACCATAGAAAAAGGTTGAAAATAATACTGTGTTCAGACTGTCATGCAAGGATACGAATTGGCATAAGAAATACAATGGTCTGCTTCCATTTTTCACTTTTACAGGGATAGGGGGAGCACTCATTTTCCGTTTCTGGTGTTCTGCCTTGCCTACCTGTCATGCGTCCCCAGTTAGTTAGCATAGTTCATTTTTTTCTTTCATCAAATATCACATTTTTACTGTTTTCTACTTTGCAGGACATATATTGTCTCAATGCTGATGGCTCCCTTTTCGACGTTGCATTGCTATCAGCAGTGGCTGCACTGGCACACTGTATGGTTCACCTATAATTATTTTTACCATTTGCTTAAATTTTGTCATTTTTTTCTTCTGCATTATCTATGGGTAATGACTGAACCTGTTGATCTCTCATTTATTAGTTTGCTGTGTGAAATATATTCATGTAGACGTGTCAACTTGGCTTGTCATTGTTCCATGTGTGGCTGCTGAGTCTTTGTTTTTTTTTGTTTTGGTTGAATTCGAACAGTCATATTTGAATGTTCTAGAATTTTATGCTTTCATCTTCATTTCTCTCCAATAGTTTTGAGTGCTTACTTTCATGGAGTTATGGCTTAGGATTTGTATCTTGTTTAATCATTAATGGATGGTTAAGATTTGTTTGTTTGTATGTCACTTTCCTTATTTTGAAAATAATTGTCGTCATTTTGTTCCATGTCATTTACTGTACTTAAGAACATGAGATTTTTCATTGGAATGTAAACGAATTAGGGGCAGATGGCGATAACCTACAGCTTAGTTCCTCAAAAATGCAAGCGGGGACTTACCCTGTGCTTAATGATATAAAGGATACGACATAGAGAAAAATCTGATCCAGAAAGCTGGTAGACCAGATGATACAGAAGCACACAACAGTATACCAGGTTTCAGCAGCACACAGCAGGGACTCGTTTGCCTTTTAATTTGAACGTGGATACTACCTTGTTACTAGCCGACATCATAGAACCAGGTTACATCCTCTGGATGTATGGTAATTCTATGGATTATAATAGAAGCTTCAGAGAATGCTCTTTGATTCTCCCTTTGCTTCTATCCAGGGATGGCCCACTGTGTTAGTGAAACCCATGTGTCCTTTTCTTGTGCTTGAGAGTGGAAGAAAGTTGGGACATATGCAGAGATATTATCAATTGCAACTTTCCATTCCTCATTAAAGTTGTCTAGGTACTATCAACAGAGCTGCATTCAACACGGATGGCATTGACTAATTCCATTATGCTTCCACAGAAGAAGCAAGTCGCTCTGAAAGCTGGTTTTAATTTCTTGATTCTTTCTGAAGTGGCATCTTCACAGACTGCCCCCCTCCCCCACCCAAAACCACCTCCCCTTTCACGAGACAGGCTTTTGAAGGCCTGACTGATAATTTCTGTTTCTAAATCATTCTTTCTGTTTACTTGTTGGCCTGAGTTTGATTTAAAATATTGAGTTAGATAAAGATGTCGTCAGTTTTTACATTCAAATTTAAAAGATTTGTGGGCAATTTCACACACCAACCCCTACTAGTAGACCAATATTTTTTATGTGGACATAGCTTCGATTTGGATGGTAAAGATTTTCTTTGGACGATCGCTAAGGGAGTTTTCTTGAGAAAGAGAAGGCTCGGGAGCAGTTTCTTGTATAATGTGAATATCTGAGGTGTATTGATTGACATTGAAGTCGTTTATTGATGATCTCATATTAGGAGCATAAAGTAGATGACTGGTGGAGACTTAATAGCCCTTCCTTCCCCTCCACTCTCCTTTTTTTTTTTTTTTTTTTCTGCTGGGTGGTGTTGGTGGTTGCGTGTGTTTTAGGTTTTTCTTTATTTTATTTGGTGGGTTGGGGTGGGTGTTGAAACACCTCATCTCTTCTGTCTTTGGCTTCTGGAGAGATTCCAGAGGATGCATACTCTACTGAATGGCCTCAAGGAGACAGTAGAAATTCCATAGATTTATCTGGAAATGTTATTTTTCTCGGTTATTGCAGAAATCTCCTAAAGGCAAAAAGGGAAAGAGAAAATTAATTGGAACACACTTTATATGCGTCTGATAATGAAATGCTTGTAGGTTCGAGCTAAGCATCATAAACGTACATGACTTTTGATAATTTAAGCTCCAAGAGGTGGTTCTGAATATCAGGCGCCCCAAAGTTTTCTCAAGACGGTCCAAATAAATTTATTTTTTCTCTAGATCTTCAACATGTTGTTTTCTTGTTGATTTATACTTTTAGTATAATTTTCGCAAAGTTCTAAATTTTTATATTTAACTAGGTTTGCAATGATACGAGAACAATGGTCTTCTGGCCATCCCTTAAGCACTGAGGCAAAGCATTCTATAAGTCTCACATTAACAATATAAGCAAAAAAATAATTTAACAGATTAATAATGTGTGTTGATGGTAGTAATAATGAATATATGAAATATTTGACTTATTTTATGATATATTATGATTTCAAGCTTACATTATTATTTGTCTAATTGTTTCACGAAAAGATATCTTATGACAAACTCAGTCTCAAGTTCATAGTGGTAGATAGTTCCATAATTTCTCATTAACTTATTGAAGCATATTTACCATCTGTGCAGTGCATATTCCTCTTGTATCTCTTAACGATGAGGGACGAATAATCGCTGTATCTGGGGACCCATCAAGAAAAACAACGAGGGAGGTGGTCAATAAAGATAAGAGAAAGCTCAGCCTGAACAGCGTCCCCTTCTCTTTGACATGCCTACTTCACAAGGACTACATCCTCGCTGATCCCACTGCAGAGGAAGAGTCCATCATGGATACACCTGTGACTGTGGTGTTGGACTCCTTGGACTGCCTCGTGTCCCTATATAAACCGGGAGGAGCAGCCCTCGCATTGACATCATCTCTCAAGGTCTGTGCCCATAGAAGGCCAAGAACAGGTTCTTGGCCATTCATCTCCATTAGCTTGACAACTAAACTTTCTGGTTTTCTCTTAAACTTAGGGTTCGGATTCATCAAATTCAATCATACATTATTTTGATTGTTGTTCGTGAAGGTTTCTTCATTGTTTTGCTTGTGATTCATCCTTCCAAAGGATAGCTTCCTTAATCATTCACTCATATTTTCCCCCACATTAGGACCTTCCTTCCATCACCAATCCCATGGCCCAACATCTACCCTGGCATGCTTTCTTTCTCTCTTCGCTCATGCTTCTCCAATTTTGGCAGGAATGTGTTTCTCTTACAAGGAGGAGGGTACAGGAGCTGCGGAGTATTTTAGATGAAGCCCTTCAATCCACAGAAATGGATGAGGACTGATTGCCCTAAGAGGTTCAGCTATGTCGAGGTGGGTGACACCGGGCTTACCTCTGTTCAATGTTTTCATAGGATTATTTTTCTACCGATGCTCCATTTCCATTCAGGTGTTCTGATGATGCAATCTCAATCCAATCACTTCGAACTCCAATCCGCCGCCTCTCTGATCTGATCCATGCTTTTATTGGAAATGAAGGCAACTCCATCCGAGAAATTTCTGAGAAATATAGCAACCTAGCATAATAACTCACACAGAAAAGGAAAACTACATACATTGATATCTCTTTCCATTTTTTCTATGTACTGCAGAACCTGAGATGTCTCGAGAGTAGGTTAGCTAGCTAGCTAGCTAGTCTAGTGTTTCAATCCTGGAACCCATCATGATCTTATGAAGAGAGAGTGGTGGTGACTGCAGGCCCTGAGGAAGCCCTTCTTTACTGTGAGTTTTTGTATCCATAGTCGTCTCCTTAATTTACTCAAGGTGGTGGTTCTCCTGAGTAGCTGGTTAGACGTGGTATCTAACTAATAATGGGTCTTCTTTCTCCTAGTTCCTCACCTTCCCTTCAAACTCTGCAACAGCAGTCTCCACCACCAGTGTTGCTTTGGTTGGGTAGAGTGCACAAGGATGAAGCAAGTGATTAGGATTATATGCATATATACATATGTATGAATGAACATTAACAAGGGGCTTTTTTGGTGCATTGCCATATAAAAAATGACTAAAATATCAAAAATCAAGGGACATTAGCGACGTAAATATATATATTTTTTGACCCGTAATCTATTAATTTTTAATGCGCAATCTGTATATGTTTCTGACTTCACATGCTTTCAACAAATCATGCAGGGAATTTCAATGTTTCCCATTTTCACTGGAAAATAGGATAAGCAGAGACATTGTTGAGAAAAAAATCGTTTATATCCGTAGCAATGTGTTGCCACCGATTGGAAATTAAAAACTTCTGATTGACAGAAAGTTGAACTTTTTTGGGGTATCTTCTTCATTTTTAATTTTCTCAAAAGACTTTTGAAAAAATTGACTACGACAAAATATCTGAAAAAAAAATTGTTTTTATGATCTTTCTCGTGAATCCCAAGAGAAATGAATGCATAGATTATTTAAATAATCACTTACATTAAAAGGGTTAATGAGTAATGGATGAAATGGAAAAGAAATGGAAATACTGTGGAAAACCACAACTAATGGTCACATTCAGGGGACTAGAAATCTAACATCATGACTTCTCCAGGGTAAGTAACTTTGAATTTGTATACAATGAAATTCCATTTGCTATCTGATCAAGTTGCTTATTGTCAATGTTTTTACTAAATATATGATTCGTAGTAGTGACTTCTTTGTTATTGATAAAAAGGTGAATAGCTGATTATAAATATTTAGAAATGATTATTAAGGAGATATATATATATATATATATATATATATATATAATAGTAAGGGGGGTGTGCTCGCAAAATGGGATGACTTAAAGAAGGCTAGATTTGTCACATAGTAATAGACTTAGTGCAATACAGACAGTGCAGTAGTTATAATGGGGTGAGAACCTGGTTCTAATATTATCAAGGACACATCATATCAATAACAAAGTTCCAATATCATAAATACTGGTGCAGTACTGGTGATGCACTGAGTGGAGGAGATGAGGACTACTAAGTGAGGACAGCCCACAAAGAAAGAGGAAGGCTCGAATGCCACAAAAGGAAGCATCAACTTGATCCAGTATGAATATTCCGCTATAATGATACTTTGATGTGACTATACCTTTTATGAGAACTCGGCTTTGTACGCAGAAGAAAAGATGGTAACCCTGAGGAAGAGATGGGTGCATGTTGATCATAATCCAGTTCTTCCAGCTCAATTTGTGACTGGGGAGTACTGGACCTTGTATGCCTGTGTTAATAAAGAAACCATTTGCTAGTTTCTTTGGAGTCCGCTGGCTATGGTAACACTCTAGGTAGGGGTAGAGCATCTGGCCTAACCATGAACTCGTTGGAGGTCAGAGCTGGAGTATTAGGCAAGTAGGAAGAAAGACCGATCACCGGGGACAACACAATGAGGGACGATTAAGAAAGTGTTTCAGAATCAGGGGAGAGAGAGAGAGAGAGAGAGAGAGAAGAAGAAGAAGTGATGATGGTAATGTTTGGAAATGGGAGAATACTGAAGTCAATCCAATATTGAGGGAAGTTATAGTCTGATGGCATGGGACTTGGAATCTGATTATCAAGAAAGATATTGAGAACCTCAAACAATAAGGCCAACTATTTGATTATATTTTCTCAGGGGTGTGTACTCAAGATCAGTTCAAGGGATCAGACATCTAAATTAATACTTCAAAAAAAAAGAAGAAACTCTTATAGAAAGGGAAGGCTTCTAAACCCCACACCTGCTCAGATTTTAACAGTGTGTACTCATTCTCAGTTTAACTAGTCACACATCAAAGTAAATATTTCTGCCAATCACTTATCTGTGATATCAAACGATGGAGAACATTTTTGAGTTTTCAACGTATACATGGCTTATTAAATATGGAAAAGGCTAAATAAGATGGGTTCATTCATCTGGAAGAAGAAATTGGAGGAAAAAGATGAACAGAGTAGACTTGGCAGGGATAGAAGATGAAGAAAACGAGAGGGATGTTATATTCTTTCTGCTGTTGATATTAAACTCAGTTGATAGGGGATTTCAAATGCAGGTATATTCTAAAAATACGTTTAAGATCCTCTACGATGGCCTTGAGAACAGTTTCATGATATGATCATTCATCGTAGAACATACAATGATTTGCCCTAAACCTCATCTGGGTTAACATAAAACATTAAAAAAAGAAACCACAGGTAAAGCTGGAATGTAACAGTAGCAACTGAAACCATAGATAGAAACCAGACAAAGCCAACAGTATCAATGGAAAATTTAATGTTACCACAAGTCAATTAAAATTTAATGCCAAAGACGAGGAGGCAACTTAAGTAGAAAAGGAAAATCAGGAATCAATAAACCTCACTATACACGCAGATGAGTAGGCCACGGTTTATTTATTTATTTATTATTTTTTTACCGCACTAATTATTCTAAAATTCGCCAGCTTTAACTATTAGACGACCATATTGTGGTGGGTTTTCTCTGCTAAATGATTCTATTTTTGTTAAAATATTCCCCGAAAAAGCGTGGAAAAAACTAGATTCATTTTCTGATGCATCATCTGCTCAAGAATTCAGGTCACGTACAGATGACAATGTTAAATGAGATGGTGCTAATGATAAAAATAAACCCATCCAAGCTCCACAATAAATGTTAAAGGCTAGATACAATGTAAGCAGATAAACCCCGCCATTGGGAAGATTGCAAGGACCAAAACTGCTCAATCTGACTAAATGTACCTCGTGTCAGCACAGGTATGGCTATTTCGAACGCCATAAAAGGACGTCTAGAGGAATTTATTTTTGAAGACCTTAGCTTTGAAAGAAAATAACAATATAATATAGAAGCACACAAGAAAGCTACTGGTCCTACTCAGTGTGCAAAGGGTAAAGAAGAGAGGCACATTTATCCAAAACTAAATGATATTTGGAGAAGGGTTTCATTTTTTTCTGTTCTACACAGGGGAACAAGCATTGACATGAACTGAGCAGAAATCATACGGAAATGAACGAAAATACCAGCTGGAAAGAAGATCCAATAATAGGATAATGCTAAAGAAGTCTAATTCTTGCAGGATATTAACAAGGTTAATGAATAGCAAATATCGGATTTCATTTTTCAGCAATTATCACATCAATGTACGTAAAATCAATTTGGAAACAGGATTGTAAGCACATATTTGTCAGTCACTTCACAACTATCAATAAGAGAGAGACATAATTACTTAATTCATCAAATGAAACTCATTTATGTCCTTCGAAGAAAGCAAAATGAAACGCGAGTAAACTGAGTTAAAGATAGACTAATTAGTTGTCTAGGAGATGATAGAAATGAAACAACTGAATGAACCACCTCTTTATTCCCTTCGATCAGCTCATGTAGATTGCAGTAGGGTAAAGCTTCATGAGAGTTTCACATCAAATAAATACACGAGTCCACTTTTGGTGCAACTCGTGTGATCGATACTCAAAACGTCTCTTACATGCACAAACATAAACTATTATGACAACTTTAGGAATTATGAGAAAATATTTTCAAAATTGATTGGTGAGAAGCAAGAGCAAGAGATGAACGACTTGTGGAGAACGAGATTGATTAGTTCCGATATAGGTTGATTCTCATACGAGGTAGTTCAGCTATCCTCAAGTTACTGGATCTAACCGCTATACGCTCAGACCAACTTGGCTGTTCTTTGTGCAGATGCTGAATTTCTGACTGAAAGAAGTACCAAGATCATAACAAATTGGCCCGAGTTAGACCGAGTTGACAAGGCACTGTTTTAAGATAAATTTAAATACTTCCTAAAACCTTAAATTCATTTACAACCATCAGCTCCTATGCACATCTAGCACAAGGGATTTTCATAGCTTAAGTTCTCTCCAAAAAGATCCAAGGATTTTGACCTTTTTGATACGTTCTCTTTGGCACAGCTGAATTCTTTCAGCGGTCTCCGAAAAGGTTTAGCTCAATGTTTTGATAAGATACAAGAGTTTTTTCCCATCTCTGAAAAGGGAAAAAAAAGGAGAGAAGTTCTCAACTTCTTTTACCTTTGATTGTGCTCGATTATTGTCCCAAAACATGATAATGCGCCTGCCAATCGCCTCTGGAACTGGTTCTTGCCACCAAGATGAGACATTTATGCATACACAATGATAAAATTGCTGACCCGCGCAAAATGCAGGAAATTGATTAGGCCGGCATGACAGTACCATCGCAATCATAGTATTTTGGATTGTTAGTAATTGGTTGAGATCACTATATTTGTTTGCAGATAACAAGTTCTAATCAAGGTGCAACTGGATAGTACACGGAGGAATCCCAGACAAAGAGTGCGGGATCAAAATCTTTCAAAAAAATTGGTTTAGCTTTGGGAATGTTATGCACACAATCATGAGCAGGAATGGTGCAAAATATCTTTGCTGAAAACCAACACTTAGAGTTGATAAGTTGATTTATTCCTATCCTTTGAGTCGGAATGAGCGGGAATGCACACAATCATGCTTTGCACCCTGAAAAATGACTTCGGATGAAATCCCTTGAGCATTTTACGTGGGTCAGCATAAAAAGCCGCATATTAGGAATCTGTACATTTGACAGACAAGAATAGATCAAATGGACAATTGTGGATTAGGAATATAGATCAGACAACTGTAGATTAAAATAAGTTGCACTTTATCATTAGAATTTTCTTTTCGAATTCATTAAACAGAATGTGACACAAGGGCATTACATTTGCACCTACAATCAAATAAATGAGATCAGACAAATAAAAAGCAATTCGAGACAGTAGCTCATAAACTTTTAAGTCATGGAAATTACTGAATGTTAAAATGGTGGGTGGCACCAATAATTGCTTCTTGATTGGCGTAGAGTACATATAAAATCTCTTCCATTATCAACAGAGAGCACTGACAAGAGGATCACCCCAGCCGCCCACTCTTAAGAAGATTAAAAATAAGAAAGGAAGCCAATCAACCTTCAACCAATCAAAGCAAAGCTTAAAGAAGCTCTACTTCCAGCTTACTGACTTTTCCATCCAGATCCTTGACTGCATCCACATTTGATAATACATCAATACTCCCCTTCATAGAATGATTTCTCCAGAGGTCCAAAATATGATCCCTCTCATTATTGTTTTGAGATCGATGGAGAGTCCTCTGCCTCCTAATAATTGACCCCTGATGACAGCTCCCAATGAATTTAAGAGTTTCCACATCAGGAGCCATCATCAGATCCATCAAGTTTCTCCCACTAGTACGACCACCTCTTGATTGAGAGAAATCCTTCCTTGAATTTATGAGCGGGTGGACAGCCTTGGAAGAAGAGGGGGATTTCTTCGTGAGCATTTCTTTGCCTTCCTTATCCTCAGATTCACGAGCAGGGCTTGCACAACTCGCCACAGGGCTCAAAGTGGTGACCTCCTCAATATCAGTACGGCTCGGCTTCTTATTATGGGTACTCTCCACGGCCTCAACCATCAAGCATGGATTTCTAACGGAGAGGCCACTCGTCCACATCTTCGAAGGGAGGGTCTTGTACAGAAGCTTAAGACAAACAATCACCTCTTCCATAGAAGGCCGCTTCTCCTTGACAGACCTCACACAGCTTGCTGCGAGACAAGCCAGCTGCCGCCTTGCCGCAGGGTCCTTGGGAGGGGGAATCCTTGGGTCGTAAAGCGATAGAACCTTGCCCTTGCGAAGAAGAGGGACAGCCCACTCCACCACGGATGGAGGCGAGTGCGCTACGTCAATGGCCTTGCGACCGCTCATTATCTCGATGAGGAGGATACCAAAGCTGAACACATCCGTCTTGGTGCTGAGATTCTCTGGGGTGATGTAGCCGGGATCCAGATAGCCCAAAGTGCCTGCAGGTGGCGTCGATCTAAGGGAGGCTGAGTAAGTAGATAATGATGAAGATGGCAACCCGCCATTGTCACTGTCGTCGGCAGCGCGGAGAGCAAGACCGAAGTCCCCAAGGCGCGCATTGAAGCTGGAATCAATGAGGACATTGGCGGACTTCACATCGCGATGGATGACGGGCGGGGTGCAAGAGTGCAGGGCGTGGATAGCTTTGGCAGTCTGAAGCGCCAGGCGAAGGCGGCGGGCCCAACCCGGAGGATGAGGGTTGGAGTGAAGCAGCTCGTAGAGAGTGCCATTGGGCATGTACTCCACCACAAGCAGCCTCTCCCTCCGGAAAGAAGAAGTCGACGAAGACGATGAAGTAATAATGGCTGCAGGCGAGGGGGAGCAGGAGGGGGCCTCGTCGTCGCCCGCTGTGCTATCGTCGTACGTGCTGACGCCGACGAGATTGACGAGGCGGGGATTGTGGATCCGAGAGAGGATGTCAATCTCGTTCTCCACCTCGTTACGCTCGATAATGAGGAACCGTCCGCTGCCGCCGCCGCCGCCGCCGCCGCCGCCGCCGCTCGGGCGGTGATGGAAATGCTGCAAGCGCGAGGGGCGTTTAACCGCGACGAAACGACCGGAGGGGCGGAGGATGGCGCGGTAGACGGAGCCATGGCTGCCGCGGCCGAGAAGGTTCTGCTCGGAGAAATGCGACGTCGCGGCCTCAAGCTCCGTGTACGAGAAGACGCGCACACGGCGCGGGACCTGCAGCGCCTGGTTCTTCCGCCGGTCCTCCGCCGCAACCTCCTCCTCTCCGCCATCACCGGCAGCAGCTCTAGCCTTCCCCTTGCCGCCGCCTCTGGTGCCCGCAAAATCATTGCGAGGCGTCCCCGCCGCCGACGACGCTCCGGCGGTGGCGGCAGGATGCTCGACGACGCTGGAGATGGACCTGCAGGTGATCACCGACGCCTGCGCCTTACACGACAGATACCCCATCGCCGGATCGCCTCTTCCCTCCCCCGAATCACGAATCAAATCAAATCCCTAGTCCTCCAATCCCCATCAAAGTAGGTCGAAACAACGGACAGAATACAGGCCGTCAGATCTCCTCCGTCACGCTCCCTGTGCCAGGAGGAAGAACAAGGCGCCGCCGGCGAGGGGAGGTCGGCGGAAGAGACGGGATGAAGGAGGAGCAACGGGGAGGGGAAGGCGGTGGCGCTCTGCCATGAATGGGGAGGAGGAGAAGGAGCAGTGAATGATCCCGATGATGTTGATCTGACAGATAGCGACAGTACGCGCCTCGGCTAGTGGGGGCCCTCCCGTGGGTCCCATCCCTTGTCTCAGTCACCGCCACGGAGGGGTGGGCCCTCCAAGGAAGAACATTTATCGATAGGTCCCTGTCAGCGCCAAAACTGTGGGTTTAAGCCAAGTGGGTCCTCTATTTTACGCTTCGGCCCATCCAAGATAAAGTTGACTGTCTCTCCTCTCTCTCTCTCTCTCTCTCTCTCTCTTTCTAACCTGGGATTTCCATTTATGGGATGAAGTTTGACCTGGGCGTTGAACAGAGCTGCAGTCTATTGATCCACAGAAATCAACTATAATCCTAGAAAAATGAAGGGGAAAGGGAGCACAGCAGAGAGAGAGAGAGAGAGAGAGAGAGAGAGAGGACGTCGGGAAATTCAGTCAAACTGGATTTCATTTTTTCTAAGATTTTATTTCCTAAACCGAGGCTTTAAAACAAAAATGGATACTTTGACCAGGAGCCTCAGCTTTTCCTCACGCAATCACCACCCACCCCTCCTACCCCGCCTCCAACTACGACGCCTGTTCCCACATACGGGTGGACCCCACCTATCCCACCACATGCGGGCCATAGCCTGTCTGACTTCTGGACCTTTTTTCTCTAGGCTAAAATAATTCAAGATGACTTTAATCGATTAATATTATTTTAAAATGCCTCAGTTGATCATAATTAATAAATAAAAATAAAAATTATAATTACACTAAAATAACTCAGCCGTAGCTCCAGCCCGAAGGACCCCGTTGGATACGTGGCACCCGGCGGCGCAGTGACGGGTAAGGATGGGGTTTTTCTGTAAAAATACGCAACGAGGGGGTGGGGTTGGGGCGGTCCAGGCCTACAATTTTAGGTAGTTTAGGGTCATCATGACTTCTGCTGAAACTACACGTCACCGCATTATAAAACTGTTGCCGTGGGCGAGAGATGTAGACTAGGCATTTAATCGAACAGGTAGCGGGCACTCCACGGAGTCTCTATTATTATTATTATTATTATTTATTTACTTATTATGTAATAATAATAATAATAATAATAATAATAATAATCGGGGGGTCACGCGTGGCTGCAAGATCTCCCGGCCGTCCGTCCTTTTGTAATGTTGTCGCGATTGTGGGCCCCACAAAGAGATGGCTACTCGAATGGGGAGACAGCGGCTGCCGGAGTCAAAAGGTCACATGGTCAAAAGCCGCAGCGGATTTCGGCGTCCGCTAACGCAAGGTGGCGTTTGGGACTGCTTTTAAGATGGAATCCGAGGCGGCCTGCTCTTTTCTCCTTTACAACGTGAGGTCCAAATCATCATCAAGCAAATTAACAATAAATGGTTTTTTCTTTCATTTAAAGCGGATAAAATAGTTGATGTTCAACGGATATTATTGAATGCCTAAAATCAAGAACGATGGGATTCTTCCCCAAATCTGTCCATGCAAAAATAAATGTTTTTTTTAATTAAATCTTAGGTACAAATAGATGTATGTGAATATATTATAATATTCAAACTAAAACTAATGCTAGGAATTATTGCATTAAATGAAAAAAATCTTTGAAGAGCCACCAATATTTACAATGAAGGCACTAAATGTATAGGGGAGGTACTCCCTCTAAACTAACTTCTATCTTATGGGATGGCCATACCATTTATTATGGTGATTTTTTATAAAAAAAGTAGGAAAATAGTTTGAGTTATAGAGTTACGTGAGGGGAGAGAGAGAGAGAGTGTTTGATATTTGCTTAGTGATCATAGTTGAGCTCCTCATAATGCATTAGGATATTGATGACTTCTCATGAATTTGAAACATATGGCTCTTTGTGACCTATCTTCTCATATAATTACTTATAATCAATGAGAAATAGAATGATTTTGGTACCAAATTTATTTTAAAAAATGAATAGTATAAAAAATGGTGTTATCAACTTTTATGTTCTTTGTGAAACTATAGATGTCTATGTTGTGATGGGATCTCTCCATGCATCATTTACTCTTTGTTAGTGAATGACAAACCTTTTATCCATATTCTCTAATGCTTTTAGTTTGGAAATTTATCTTCTGGATTCATAAGATGAGGGAAAACACTGAACTAATCATAACAATATCTCAAGAAATTAATGCTCAATCAGGGTAAAACATCAATAGAAAAAAAACAAGACAATGCAAATGCTTAGAATTGCAAGATTCATCTTGTTGAAAGTGATGATGCAAACTAGTTTGGGCTAAACTTGGACTTTTCTAGGAAGTCCCATGCACTTTCTATGGCTTTAGTCAATTAAGATGAGGGTTCTAAGATTTCATCTTGTTTGTCTTGTAGATTCTCCCCTATAATACACTATTTACAATATGGCTAGGATTGCCATCTCCTCCCCCCCACCCTTCCCCTTCACCACTACTATCTTTATTGAGATGTCACCTTTCTAGTCCTTGTATCTTTTAATCATGAATATATATTTAGGTTGTAATTGACGTTGAGTGAAACAATCAAGGAATGTAAGATTACATGACATTGACAAGAGAAATGGCAATTGGCTGACCTCTTTCTCTAGTGGAGACATAATTAAGTACTTGTGATTTCTAGAAATCTAAAACTATGATTCTTTGAAGTATGAAAATGGGAAAGCATTCTTGGTTCACCTAGCCAAAATATTTGAGCCCCTTTACTTGCTCCATATAAACGCCATAAAAAGAGAGAAAAACAAAGATGAGCATAATGATGTTTCTTATGAAAGAGAAAGTTATTTGGGGTTAGAACCTGAGGTCAGTTTTTCAGCAGCATTGAGATTCTCTAATAGAATCTCTGATTTGAATGTTTCTCGATCAGGTGGGACCTCCATTTTGAGAGGGATATTTCCAAGTTTTTTACAGCTCAATCACTCAGATCTGATTTAATTTTCATTTTTTTTCTTCATTAATGATTTTTTTGATTGAGTGAGTTGATTATATTAATATTTTTTATTTCCATAATTCTTAAAGTGTTAATTTTTACTATTTTTTGACACATTTACAATATCAGGTGGATTTGATTAGATATGGGCTATGACATGGCAAGGAACTCAAGTGAAATGTATTCATGTTCTACACACAAGATTAACGTATTCACTTTGATGGCTGAAGGACATGTCTTGGAGATACAATGCCTCAACGTATGTGCTGTCTTTAGGTAAATTAATCATCTCATGATTCATTCAATGAAATTTCATATCATGTTGCCAATAACCTTAATTTCTTGAGTCATTTTCCGAGTTTATTATATACTAAAGGTGTAAACAATCATGCTTTGTGGGAAACAACGGTAAATATAGTCATATAAGTTTTCAATTCAGCAGATACTCATAAATTTTTTCACTTTACTCCATTGATATCCTTATGATTTCGAGCTTCTTTTCTTGAATTTTTTTTGACATAGTTAAATAATTGAGAAATATTTCTTCACGAAAATTGAAATGTTAAGCATCATCAAGTTGATGAAAGAAGAACATATGTAGAGAACCATCACGCCTTACATCCCACTACTAAGAGGGGGTGCCCAAATGCCACTAAAAGTAATATTTTGCATAATTAAGGAGACAAGAATTCAAACTATTAAGCTATGTTATATGAAGGTTTTCATTAATTCTTATTGTTGTTTCTAAAATATTCTAATTAGATTATTTTATGAACCAAAAAACATTCAAACTATTTTTCCAAAACTAATGCATTGATAGTCAGGTGGGAGTAGGTTTTGAAATTTTATTCCCAAGGTTGTGAGAATCAAATGATTTCATGCACATGATTAAGACATGAGTGATGAGGTGCATGATGGGGGATATTAACAATGAGAGGATATTTTTCAGCACCTATCACAATAATGTTAGCAATAGGGGGATTGACACTTGAACACTTTGGGGCATGTGAGAATCAAGAACTTTAAGTCAAGGTTTCCACATGAACTAGATACCAATAGATAAAAAAATAGAAGATAGCTAACTTTTGAGGGTTGATCCATGAAAATCATAAGGGTTGATCCTTTTGAGTGTTTCTATTGTTGATCCACGACAATAAAAGTAAATAAGTGAATGTATGATACTTGAGAGCTGACACCTGATAAGTTACAATATTTGGTTAACCAAAAAGTTAGTTTTGGAAGGAGAGAAATCAGTAAAGTATTGTACATTGAAAGGGGATGTTTTCTTACTTAAGTTTGGTGTTGACCCTTGTGTTTTTAGGTTTCTATTTAAAACTAAAGCATAGAGACTTGTCTGAAGAATGTGACCAGTCAAGTGTCTATATTATGAGTGTTAATTGATGGGTTCAGCCTTGAGTTCTTTTGAAGATATAGTGTTGAGTCTTTCCTCTCCAAATTCAATATCTGTAGGTAACTATATTCTTATCAACATTCAGGGCTTAACAATCTCTAGGTTGAAGAATCAAAGATTGACCTTATGTAAGGGTCTAGAAAACATCAACCACCAGTTCACTCCCAAGGCTTGAGACTCAAAATGTTTTAATTATCAGTTTTCTGAAAAATGCTACTATAAAAGGTTAAATTATCAATTATCCTACTTATTAAAGGGTAATATTTTGTTATAGGTAGTTGGACCTTCATCTTGGTTGGTGTCTAATCTGACCAATTGGTGGTCAGTAGTTTTTTTCCGTATGTGATAACGTTTTGCATTCTCTAGGGGATAATCAATTTTAAGATATATTACATAAATTCTTCCTCAATTTTAATTTCATGTTTTAAATACTTTAATTTTCAAATTTGATGGACCAAGAATATAATAATTTGAAGGTCAGAATTATAAGAATAGTTTAATTATACTTTAATTATAAGAATAGGTCAAAATTAATTATTTGAAGTGATTTTAAAGAGATATCATCAATTGATGCTTAAAAGTTGAAAGCACAAACAAATTAACAAGCATAATGCACATTGGCCAGTACTTAAAAAGTAATCGATGTCCCTATGCTAGAATAAAGCATATATGACACATAGGTCAACAATGTAAAAGTATGAGTTGATGCATGTGATAAAACAAATTATAGGTTCTATGTAGGTCAACACTTGAAGTTTAGTCGAAGCTCATGTCATAACAATTTGCATTCCAAATATAGTTTGACACTTACCAGCCAAGGTAGATGCTGAATAGTTTAGTGGTTGACACCAAGAATTGATACTAGTAACTTACTTTGCAGCATGCAATAAAACGAAGTATATCTTGGAAGACATAATAGATCATTGAGGTCAAGGCCTAGTGGGTATAGTCTCTCCTGGATTAATTCAAATGACTAAAAAAATTATTACGACTTATATGCTAAGATTATTATTTTTAAATATTTTCGGATCGCATTCTAAATCAATACAGTGTTTTGAATAATCGTGGCACTATCAAATTTTGCTCATATATTCTTCTTTCGCTTTGATAATGTGGGCCTTCCCCTCACCATCGCCGTAGATGATCCCGCTGCCAAACCATCTTTTTGCGATGACGCAGGATTTCCTATGGGACGACGTCTGTTGGTGCTTAGCGAGCTGTCCAGCCGACGTCAGTGGAGGTTGGTTTTGGCAGTACCAGAGGCCATGGTGGAGACCAGAAAACTGGCCCAGCCGAGCCCCTGTTGATGAGAGACGCTGGGCGAAGGCCTAATGCCTTGCCGGGTCCAGCGCAGGCCACGGCCTTGCGCCTGCCTAGAGTTTGTCCGGGGTTACGCTGCTGTTGCCATGTATCGTGGTTGTGGTCCATGCCAGGACCATGGCCACCAAGGCAAGGCCAAAGGTCACCTTGACCAAACCCGAGACGAACGATGGTTGATCCTGACCATGGCCTCCGGGCCGATCTGGAAAGAGTGGCCACTGTTGTCATGCTCTCACTCATTCTCTCTCTCTCATCCGCGCTCCCTATCTTACGCATAGAAGTAACGGACATGGAGAATGAGTCGGAGGAGCTACCAAAAGGAAGAGAACCACAAGACTCTCAATGACCACTCATTTATGTAGAATGGATGAGCTGTTTTGGATGAACTACAATGCACGAAGCGTTTTCAGACAACAGGGCGTGCAGGCCGAAGAAAGAGAAAGCTAGATATGAGATATTTTGTATCTAAAATGTAATAAGATGATAGTAAATAATATGATACAGAAATTTACAACGATTAAGTCAACTTATGTCATATTTCAAAATTGTGTAGGTCAAACAATTGAAAACCAACCTAGAAAATGGTCAGACCTAAAACCTTCATGTCATGGATTATCTTGCTCAATAGTGAGCTCTCCCATTTTGAAGATGAGAAGCATTTAACAAAGTGGGCAAAAAAGTCATGTGCATCAAAAGTTTATCAATCTTAAGTAAAGCTTAACCACATAAAAAAGTGCCTTCTTCTACCGTGAAGTTAAAATGGAGGGGTTGTGTTGAGTTTGGATAAACCCAAAATGTTTTGATGATATAAAAAATTATTTTTACGTTAAATCACTAAATCAAAATTATGAAGTTGATAACGTTTGCAACATGCTTTTGATTAAGTTTTTTGACTTATTATGAGAGAAAGACATATATTTATTGACAATATCCATATTCTAAAAATCAAAGTAGATATATTTATTGACAAGTTGAAGTCAGTGGAAAATCAATGCATCATACTGATCAGAAAAACTGTTAAGTTTTTGATTTTATATCTCATGTGTACTATTTTTTGATTTGGCCCATTACAGGTAAAAGGCACGACCTATGTAAGTGCAACCCATATCCTAACTATGGAGTTATTATGAGTATTAGAATTTCTAGCATGGGGAAAAGCTTATATTAAGATATTTCTTTGGAATTCTATCATGGTTATTATAATTTGTGATAGCTTTGTTTTTAGTTATTTAAGTAATGTGGACTGTATCCTCATTGTTCAACCACTACATACTATGGGACAAGTAGAGTCAAATTATAATATTCTCATGATGTAATTCTCTATCAGGGGTCATCAGATCAAAGCTTAAGTGCGACAACATGTCATCAAATCAAACATCACCTTGAAATCTATGGAACAATCCCTCATTCATGACACCAGAGCTCTAACTGAGTTCTATCATATTTCCCACACAATTGATAGCTTTTCCACCACTTGTAGCATCTCTACAGTCCAAAAAAAACTGCTAATAATTTTTTCGATACTAGATGGTTTACCTCTTAAACGTCATGTTGAACACTCCATCAACCTCTATCCAAAAGCTTCTCTCATTTGAGTTTGACCATATTGCTATCATTTTATTGAGAAAATGATCAAAGAAATGTACCTCATGGGCATCATCTAACTATAAATCAATCCATTTTTAAGCCCAATTATTCTTGTTAGAAAAGAAGTTGGTAGTTGGCACTTTTGGTGTTGATTGTCGAGCACTAAATTATGTCATTATTTCGAATTATTTCTCACTCTCAATTATGGACATGCTTCTTGATGAGCTAAAAACTTGACATTTTTTTTCAAGCTTAATCTTTATTCCAACTATCATTAATTTTGAATGAAATCTGATGATTTTAAAAAAAATGGCCTTTTAAATGCATAATGGCCATTATGAGTTTTTTGTAATGTTATTCAAATTATTCAATGCTTAACAACTTTTCAAGCACCGATGAATGATGTTTTTTATTTAATTTTACGAAAATTCATCCTTTTTTCTTTGATGATATCTTAATATATAATTGAGACTTATACATCCACCAACATCACGAACATCAAGTTTTTTCTTATCTTTAACAATTCTAAACTTCATATCAATGCAAAAAAAATGTGTATTCATTCAAAGTTCACTTGAATACTTAAGCCATTGGATCTGTACTAATGGAGGTGGCTATTAATCAAGGCAAGGTCTCAACTATCTAAAATTAACCCACTGTGAAAGGTCGAGCTTCAAAGATTTCTTAGTTTAGTTGGATGTTTTCACATATTTGTCACCATTGGTGATCACTTGATCTCTTACACAACAACTAGAGAAGGATGCCTTTATATGGAACAACAATGTTGATTTGGCCTTCATCTAGCTCAAACTCTCACTCACAAAAGTGCCCATTCTGATCATTTCAGATTTTTCACAGAAATTTGAAATTGAGGTAGATGTCTCTAGATTTGGGATATGCATCATCCTCATGCAATGTCATTGCCCTATCGCATATTTCAGTCAAGTTTTATCCCCCTTACATCATCTTAGCTAATCCCTACAACCAAGCAACTAATAAATCAAAACTTTAGGAAATTCATTCACGTCCACTATGTCATTAAACAGACCAAGATCCTGCAGGTTTTTTCTTGCTTTTACAGCCCTATGAAGGCCTCAGGCCTCCTCATTGAACAACTTTGAAGCATAATCAAACTACAAAACCATACCCACATCACAGATCATGGTAGATTACTCGAATTTCTCTGTTCTTATAATTAAAGCCAGATCTTCTTAGGTGGATCGTCAAATATTATCCAGCCTGGGAATCATCTCCGCCAAAGTGCTTCGCCTCTTGGGCAAGTGTCTGCTTCATTCCTGGAGATCTATTGAATGCCTGACGCTGGGGTGGGACTCCCCGAGCTGCAGCATGGACATGAAGATGGTCAATTGTGTTCTAAATCCATCAAGGTGTTTACCATTTCTGGAATCAGAATGCTTACCATTTCTGGAACAGGAAACCCAGCTGGCTGAGCAATGCCGGCCCACAACAGAAGATCAGGTGTCTGGTCGATCGAATTACAGCCATAAAAGCCTAAGCTGGTGCCCAATCCAATGGCCCCAATGCCATGGGGCGGTATTGGCATGGGTTGACAGACACTGACAGGGTTCTCACCACAGCCGCTGCCATCCCGGGATTCTAAGGACTGCTTTAGATTCTTGAAGCTGGCAGACTGGGACAATATGCCACAAGCGGTAATGAGGGATCCTTGGGAGCTCCTCTTGCTGAGCGGGCCCAGAGATGGCAACTGGTAGGGCTCAGTGTGCCGTACGGCAGACTCCAGGGCGTGCAGTTCCTTGTCAAGATCATCTGAAACAGTGACTGTTTCAGGGCAACATCTGTCGGCTGGATCTACCTGTTGAGTTTTGTTGGGGCCCCACCACCGGATGTGAGGGGTCAAGTCAATTTTTCTCTCCATGCAGAGCCCACCAGCATATTTTCTTCTGATTTCGTCATCTCTAGTCATACCTTCAAGGAGAGAGAGAGAGAGAGAGAGAGAGAGTATTTTGTTCAAATTTAGAAAGGTTTGGGTAGTAGTTCATAAACATCCAGATGCAAATTTAGTGAACCAAGGAGAATTATTACCATGGCTGAGAGGGGTCTCCCACTGGTTGTTTGGTGGGTGTCTGTGATAAGATATAAAACTTAGAGAATTAAAATGAAGAAAAGCTACTCAAGATTGCTGATTGCATTGGGGAAAGAGCAAGAAACACATTACACTCTATCTAGGACATCCCAAGAAGAGTGTTCTTACAATTAGATAAGAATGCTGAATGAATAATATCGGCAGCATAACAAATCGGAAAAGATGGCCTCTTCAAGTGGATCGATGGACTACAAAGGTGGTTTACCCTGAATATGAACTTCAATTATTCTCATTCAGACTGGAAGCTACCTCAGTTTTCTTCTAAGAGATTTGACAAACAGGGTTTTGTCCAAAGGTACTAAGATAATAGGAATCATAAATACGACATATATCACATATCTGACAGATACATCGTCAATCATTTCTTTCAAATCATAGTGATTATTCTTCTTTCCAATGGAAAACCTTATATTTTCAGTTTTTTAGGCCGATGTACACATTTGTATGTTACACATAAGTAATGCGTTATATAAATGAGATATACAATGCAGTAGAGTAGTAAACTAATAGATTTTTTTCTTGTTAAGAATTCTCTCATCTTGGTCACTAAAACACTAAAGCAGAAACAACTGGTTCTGACTTACAAGGCCAAAAATCAATAATAATGCAATTTTTTTCCCTAACATAGCATACTTAACAACAAAATATACTAACAAAATTCAAAACTTTTGCATAATGCATCTTAATTTCATAATGTAACACCACACCAAAATATAGACATACCAAAAAACTTGACGAACTATGAAATAGCATGCCATGGAATCCCTACGAGATTACAATGCCTGGTACTACATAAATTTTTCTGCAAGTCATGCTCCGATATGAAAATGCTTGGAAAAAAGATCATAGCCTGTCTAGAGACATTGATCAGAAAGTTAATATGTTGACTTATTCCTTTGTCAATTTTGCATTCCCTTAAGGCTTAGAGAACTAAGCATTTACTTAAACTATTGACGCCCACAAAATATTGAGCGTTGCCTCAAAATATTTAATTAAAGGCCAATATATACAATCAATACTAATTTCTCAACTGAAAGAACATGGAATTACCATAAACTAGGTAATAATATTTGAGAAAATATGACATTAAACAGAAAACTCCTTGTGAAAGGAACAGATCGATGGTGGAGATAATGTTGATTAGAAGACACACCTTGGGATACCCCTACACTTGGGAAATCCTTTAGAAAAGGCGCTGCTTTTCCTGCAACAAACGACAATATAAGTACAAAACTAGAAAAAAGAAAACCATCAAAGTAGAGAATGAACTAGCACGTATGTATGAATGCATGCCTTCTAAGAGATACAAGATAGTCCTCTTTCGAGACCGACTGCATCTCTTCAAGATCTCTTGAATAGTCACTGACCTAGATTAAAAATAAACGTAATTAATATTTAAGGGAGCACGAAAATTACAAGGCCAAGCTACCTGCGAGAAGAAAAACGGCAGCAACATTTATCCATAATTGACCAACTTCTCTTGACGAGTCAGAAAAGAAAAGGAGCATTCGTCAACATAATATGCTTGTTATTGGGGCAGATAGAGGAAAGACCGATATTCCATTTATATATTTTTTTGCGACTTTTCTCAGAGAAAATACTATCCCGTTCAAGGAAAACCTGTTAGAATGTCAGAATAAAGACCAAGTGGGACAATATGTGCAAAATCCCAAAATCGCCAAGCGGGACAACCATGGGTATGTTTGCTCTGGTATAGATGTCTGACTTTTGGAATAGAGGAAAATACATGAATATATATGCCCTCTTCATTAGGCACATTGAGTTTTGAAGTGTAATCAGCTGTGTCTCACCAGGATCAACAAGGCATTGCTATAAGGAAATAAACATAAAAGAACATGTACGAAAGCTAAAATAAGGAAAAAAATGGTACTATGTGCAAAAATCAACCTACAGGAAAATTAATCAATGTTCCAGCGCCCCAATACTTAAGAGCAGCAAGATCATATGCTCGAGCTGCAGCCTCTTCATCATCATATGCGCCTAAAATTATACAAAAATTACACTATAAACAAATATGTGTATCAAACTTAACGAAACATAAGTGACATCCAATGAACAAACATTTAACGCATTAAATTCACTTACCCAAGTAGACTGAAGTACAGTAAATTTGTCATCAATTCCATTGTGACACATTTGGTAGCATACAAACAAGAAAAGGACTGTCAGAAACCACTCTTGGTTGATTTTGAAAATCAGTACGCAGAGTGTTACAAAATACCTTGTTTCCCTTTCTTATTCTGATTTTGATTCCAGGTACTTTTGTCCCAAAGATGAGCTTCATAACGCCCAGTCCATCTATGTCTATTGCGGTAAATAAAAAACGATTCAAGATACACGTTGACAGTGCACAATATATGATAATAGATCACCACCTGATGTGAAAGGACAAAGTGCCAACAAATCAGAAGGGAGAGTAAGTCAACAAATGTCTCATGCCGGGCCTCAGTGAATAATTTACTCATTTGCTTCAAATATTATTTAACTTTAACGTACTAAAATATTATTTACAAAATAATTTTATGAATTTACTTGGAAATTTTATTAACGTGATATTGAGTAGTTTTCACCACGATTGGTCAGTTTAGCCAATCCCAAGCCAGAGTAGAATGGTACCTGGCTTACGCAAAAACCTCATCTGATAATAGAAATCATCCAATTCCCTACCAAGCCTCTTGATAATGCTCAAACTGCCATGAACATTGTACAGTCTCAAAGATGTATGCTGTCACATGGAACAGAAGCAACCATCAACTGAAAACAAACCGTAAAGCCATTCACAGCCTCTACATCGCTTTAGAAAGATCTCAAACTCCCTAATGAGATAGGGAAAGTGAATAAAATTTCACTTCAAGACTTCCTCAGAAAAGAAAATTAATCGAGCACTGAAAAATTATGCAAACCTAGGAAATGCGAAATTCAAATATCCGATCCGCTATCGTCTAAATCAACTCGAGAAAAGTGAATTCGAAATTCTCGAGCAAAGCCTCAGAAGAGAATGCTCAGGGATTGCCAAATGAAGTGCACCTACCCGAGGATAATATTTCTTCAATGTTTTCCATGAATACATGAATTTTTTCATCTTTTTCATGGCATCATGTACTATCTTTAATAAAAAGAGTTTACTAGTCTGGTCATATTCGCGGGTTGTCAGTTTCTAAGCTATAGGTCACTATTCCAGTTTCTCCTTGAAAACTTGTGAGTTTGCTTGGTCTGTAATCATCAGAATGGCATTGAAAATTTATCAGAAGCCAAAAAACGAAGAACCGCTAGCAATAACTACGTTCTTTCCTTTGTAGATTTTTTATTCACCGGTATGCTACTTGCAAGCATAATAGAAAAGCCGAAAAAAATCCATGTTCTTATCGTATCATTTTGAACCCAACATACCGTCTAACTGATATTTGACAATAAATCCATGCCTACATCAAAAAAGAAAATCTTCACTCAGTGCTCTCATGCAAGTATGAAAAATATATCATTTATAACATTCTGGAACGTCATGTGTTCACAAGGTTTCCTTTAATAAAAATTTATATACAACCTCTAAATGCAATAAATATTATATTAATTTGCACTTGTTCTTCCTCGTCAAATCCAACGCATACACAAGGACATCTTATAAATGCAAAAAGGTTCGCATAAGGCAGGAGTAAATGCAAATGTCATTCTAATGAGACCATCATTATACAAACTCGTTGTTCAATGGCTCATATCCTCTATGGCAATCGGGTCTCATTTTCCAATTTCCCCAGTAGTCACGCGTTCTATTTGAATCTCATTAAGAGAACACATTTACACAAGGATTCAACTTGAACTACCCTAATGAATTTCAAGCCCATGACCCAGGAGCTACACTGATGTGGTGTAAATATATGGATTTTAGATGCCAACGGTGTCTGAGTATCTACGAGTATCTACCATTTAGACCAGAATATGACAAACAGAAAGTGGACTGAAAATTTAAGCAATTTTTTTTACTTTGCAAAGCTAAATTAAAAGAAAATGCCGGGATATTATGGCTATGAATTTCAACTCGTAGATTTTTAAGGAAAACTTGGAAGAAGTTTGTGCATTGTATATTGGGTTTATTTCTTCCGTTTTGGGTCAGGGGTGTAGCTACTCTTCCTGAAATCCGTCACCATTGACACAGTTAGTACCTTCCTCATCATGGCTACAGTTACTGGCACTCGATCATACTTAACCAGCTACAGAAATGGGAATGAGTCTTTTTTCTTGACAGGATATTAACCGCTCCCGTGAATATTGTCAGAAAAGAATACTAAGGTTCGGATTTCGAAACCACCAAACGTCCACTGAGAGCCAGTAAAAGAAAGAGAATGGGGTTCGCTCGCCAAAACTGGTCATGATCCGGCTGACGCGTCAAGTCAAATGCGGATTCATTTCTACGTAGGCAAGTCCTTTGTCAAGCTGAATCTTTCTGTACCGACGTTCCACAGCCAGATAATCGTTTTCAGCTGGAATTTTTGGAATAGATGAACCCGAGATCGAAGGATGGCCACTGGTGTGCACCCAGAAATCCGAATTTAAACGAAGTCGCTTCCCCCACAGAGAGAAATGGATCCAGACCTGGTCACGCCCCTGTATATAGAGCTCCTCTTCCCCGCAGCACAGGGTGGCATCCGGCTGATCCTCTCCTTAGCAGTGGTGACGCACCCCGCTGCCATCTCAACCCTCCCCCTCTTCTTCGCCAGCAGGACGAGCCTTTCTCCGACACCACCGATGCAACCACTTGCGTACATCTGGTCCGCCCGCGCCTCACCATGGCTCCCAACATCAGCTCCTTCTTCAGTTTCCGCCGCAGACGCTACTTCCACCTTGGGCCCCTGCTCGATCGAGCCCGACGAACAGATACCGCCGGCACAAGCGGCCGCCGCCATCATAGCCGCGGCCTCGACTCCCCGATCAACTGTGACTCACTCTAGCTGAAGAGAAGAAGCAGCAGCCATCACCGATGTAGCAGCAGCAGAACTCTCACTCTAGATGAAGAGCAGAAGAAGCAGGGAGATCGATCGGGATTTAAATTTTTCCGTTCTTTATCATCCACCCCTTCTTAAAACATTTATACACTATACATCCTCCATAACTCACCCTATAAATATATAAATTACTCTTGTATTCCTTTTTATTAGTCAACAACTTCTGTTGAGGGTAGCTTAGCTCCGATCGAAGTGAGGCGGCGGACGCTGGAGTACTAGTTCATATGCACCGACACGGTGCGACACAGTATGAATTGGGCCCACCAATATCGGCCAACATAATCCACTGTGTCAATAGCTCATGTGTACGCTTTACGTGCAAATTACGCGTACATGGACTTTTGTCTGTCACGTGGCATGAAGTGAGGCACACGCGGAGCAGCATATCGCACGAACCCTGGCACGTGGTCTCCAGAGGTTTCAATTCCCCGTTCTCTTATTTTTTTCAAAAATACATATCACCACTAAAATTAATATTTTAAAAGTATAAATAGGGCATTCCCAAAACTAGATACGAAACGGAATGCACGGAGGTTGTGCGTGCCATGTTCTCGAGACCTACACTCGACGCATACGAAGGGTATCCGTCACGTATTTGTTGCGTACATCCTCGCACGACACGCCGGTGATCAGGTGCCGCACTAATAGGTCAGTGTTCCCATATATATATATATATATGTATATACATATGATATATATATCTATAAGAGCCTGATATTTTTTAATATTTAGTGATGAGGAAGCACGTGAGGTGCGGCCTAGTGGACCCCACCCAGGGCTTCTTCTGTCGCCGCAGGAACGGCCAACTCGGTTCGGCCGTTTCAGCGCCTTGGTGACTGCTATTAATTTAGATCAGGTCCTCTGCTCTCCTCTCAGTCGCCGCCGTATCTCCGCCATATACGACGTTGCGGCGGGCTGCGGGCCTCTCCGGCGAAGCTTGGAGCTCGTTCTCTACAGTGAGGAGGAGGTGGAGGAGCTTGGAAGGGGAGAGAATGGCAGGTGTTGTGCGTGGTTGCGGTTTCTCGGCTGATCTGTCGACTGCGGGACGTCAGTTCTCTCGTTTCCCGCCGGCCGGCCGTGGGACTGTGGGAGTGGCAATGCCCGCCGGCCAGTCTAAGCTGCTTTTCTCTGCGGCTTCCTCCGGTTCCTGCTCTCTCAAGCGCGCTACGCTTGCGCTTCCTCTTGTTCCTCTCAGCTCTGATGTGGTGTTGCCGTCCGGGAAACGTTTTGGGTGCCTCGTCGTCCGGTGCGGGGGGAATGGTGGTCGTTCGGGGAGAAACAGTGGTGGTGACGGCGCTGGGGGAGGAGGTGGCGGTGGCTGTGGCAGTGGCAGTGGCGGCGGCGGAGGCTGGGGAAAGGAAGGGCCGGATGGAGATGGGTCCTCGAGCGACAAGAATAGGTTGGAAGCGCTCCTCGCTCTTTCTGAGGCGGGGAAGTCTCTTGAGAGCATCCCCAAGGATTTGGCCAGCGCTATCCAAAATGGGAGAATCCCTGGGACCGTTGTGACGCGCTTTCTAGAGCTCGACAAGTCGCCTCTCCTCCGGTGGCTGCTCCAGTTCGGCGGGTTTAAGGAGCGTCTCTTGGCAGATGACCTCTTTCTGGCTAAACTTGTGATGGAGTGCGGTGTGGGAATCGTCGCCAAGGTTTCTCCCCTTCATGCTACGCTTTCAGGACCTTTATTGATTCATTATCGCTTTTTCTTCGTCTCCGTACCCTCATACCTACACTTTTACCTGCCATGTAAAGTATGCCAAGTATGGGTCGCTCGCCATTCGGCGGCATGCATGGATGTGCCATTCTTATTTTAACTTCTTATTTTCTCGTCTGTACAGTCTGTAGTTCTCTCTCTCTCTCTCTCTCTCTCGCGTGCGCGCGTGCGCTTCGTCTTTGTATATATGTATGAGTATGCATACACTTCTATGACTAGGTATAAACGTAAGGTGTGTGATGAACAAAATGGCAACAAAGACAGGCACCAATTACAGTTGCTGCAACCTGAGAGCATTAACTAAAGAGTTTTTTTATGCTTACTCTATGGTACCTGGTCAGCATAGTCTCAAGTTCTGGTTATTCGTACACTTTCCTCAAATTTGTTCAACTTGATTTCATCCCTTTGCCCATCGCATTTAGGCACCTGGTGTTTTGTTAGTTAGATTTTATAGGCTTATAATTATTGTGTCGAAATTACTTCTAATTCCTTCTCATACTGCTGTCCAGTATTCATCTGACAGACTACACGATATATTTTGTTTCTGTCGCTGATATCCATTTTATGGCGTGATGTTAGTGTGAAAATCAGCATCTTCTATTTCTAAATATGATTGTGGATATTTCAGTTTTATCTCTATGCCCATCTAGTTTTCCCTATCTTATTCTAATTTTATCTTTGGAAATTCGTTACCGTTTCTTTAAAGTTGCTTATAGCATGCAGAATTTAATCTGTCATTTAAGATTTATGTACATGCATGCTTGAGAATTTTATTCATTTATTGTAAAGGGCCATTTCTCTTTCTTTATAGTTGACCAGGTTAGAGTGCAATAGATTTCCACTTGGACCGTTTTCAGTTCTTGGATTCTTATACTTTGTTGTTTGTGGTTAACAAATCTATTCTTGGAAACAAAACAGAGCATTGATATATTCAGGTAAGCATTTTCTTTCAGAGAATCATGTAAATAATCAAGGAAATCTGAAAATACTCATGGCAACAGCTTCCAGTCTATCAAGTGGATAGATCCGATGCATCCTAAACCAACTTCTCTCTGTTTTTATTTCAAAACTAGGAATATAATTTCAGGATTTTCAATGTTTTTAATGAGCCCAGTCCTTTCATCTGCACGATGACTCTTCCAAGATAATCGGAAAAAACATTGATTATTTTTGTTGCTCTTCCCAACATACCGACTTACGCTTTGAAAGTAAATAGCTGTCCAACTGTGTCTTTTTGAACATACCAGAATGGAATATGAATGCTAACCATGTTATTCTCTAAGGCCAACATAGTCATAATTATTAATTGCTTAAAACACTTTGTAATACCTTTCTGTAGACTGGTAGAATAGGAGCCAGTCCAGGCTCTCATTTTCCTTCTCTTTAGCAAATTTGGGATCTTATTCATATGATTGAGGAAAATTTCTTCCTAATCAAAATCTCAGTATGTGCAAGCATGATTACTGACAAAATCTGAACTCAAATTTCAGAGTTCTCAATTCCATTACCCAGCTTGGCTGTGGTAAAATAAAATTACCTACAATTTGTTGAAATACAGTGTAAATACTGTGTTAGCAGTTGGGGTTAGGTGTATGACGTGTATGACGTGTTCACTTAAGGAAGCACGTGAACATCACCTGTATGTCTCAGGATGTAAGGCTCTATGTCTAGAACGTTCTCCCATGGATCTGTTCTAAATAACAGACCCCTGTCTCGATGTAAACTGATCTTGAAGTTATTTTTCCCTCATATAAAATAAATAGAAGTTCCTTTTTTTCCCTTCCACGAGAAGGTCTGTCGTTCTTCAAGAAACGAAGGAACTAGAGGAAATTCAACACAATTCTTTTCTTGAGATGGTTTTGGGTTTTCCTTCAAATTTCCATAACAAAGAAGGATGTTCATTTATTCATTTATTGGATATTACTTTAAAAAAGAGATTTGCATTAGTTTTTTGGCCTCCTCACTTATTGGTTTATTTTTTCTTAGCTTTATCATTTATTGGTTTTCTTATTCTTCATAGATCTTGGCATTTAGAAACATTTTGTACCATTTTAATTTGGTGCTCGCATTCTCAGACTGCTGCAGAGTGGGAGCGTCGCAGGGAGAACTTTACAAAGGAGTTAGATTTTGTTATTGCGGATGTGGTGCGTCTTCTTATGGATACAACATTTTTCTTTTGAAATTATCAGATGAAATCCGTCAAATTTTTGGAGTTCTTTGGCAGGAGACATTCAGATCATGGATAATTTAGTGTCAGGATTCTAAAGGGATCATTGGCATATATTGATGTCATTGTTACAACCCTCTTAGACATTCGAACAAAAACAAAATTCTCCGTGATGGGGTAAGTTTCCAAAGCATAAATATGACATGAGTTGTTTGGACGTCAACTCTGATTTCACTATGGCTATAGAGTATTCTATTGTAAAGCAAGCTGTCAGAAACTTATAAAATGACTCTATGGTATACGAGTACGAAAAGAGAGAAAAAACCTTAATGAGAAAAATGTGACAACATTTTCCCCTATTAGATGTGTAGAGAGGCTGTGGGGCGTGTACAGCATACGACCAAATTTGGGTCTTGTGGGTCTTTATTTTGATAAAGTCATTGACACACTAAAAACCATATTCTTAACGTAATGAAAATTGAGCTTTGAGTCAGCCTAGATATTAAAGAATGTGCTTTATTACTCGTATGTTCACATAAAAAAAAACTACTTTTTAAAACTAAATTTCGTGCATGTTTTGAGTGTTGAAATCACCCAGTAATTCATAGAAAGGGGTCTTACATGAAAGATGGTGGCTAATTTAAATAATAACTGTTGAACAATGAGCATAAATCATATTTTTATTTCATGGTTCAGCTTGTACACCACGGAACTTGTACTCTAAGCATCATTGATCCTAAGGTTGTAGCTTGTTTTCAATCCTATTTCTCTTCGAGAAACATCAAATTTATTTCCAAATCTTATGAAAGGGTTATTTTTTTTATTTTCCCTCCTTTTTCAAGGTCAGGTGGAAAGAAGATTTTGCATAATTGTTGTGTTCAGGAAGAACCGTTACAGTTAATTTATTCAAGGTCATATTTCCTGGGTTTTAGTTGTTTCTTAACTTGATTTTTAATGAGCTGCAGCAGTCAGGAACAATGAACGTTATGCCATCTTCTTCCAATATATTGCTTTTGACAAAAGCATTATGGCCTTCTCCTAGTAAATATTTTTTTGACAGTTTCCTTTTTTTATTTTGACCAGATATAATGCCCGGTAATTGCATGGTAAATTTATTCTATGCCATTTTAACATAAGAGAAAATAATACAGACTTGTTGAGGTATGAGATAGCATTCCATTATATAGCTTATTAACTAATTTTGGAAACCAATGAGTGTTTGCTTTTTCCTTTTTCTGAATCTTCTTTGGTCAATGGATTAAAGGACTATAGTGATTGAACTTTCATTATTCACTTCCTGTCTGAAACACGGCAATAGTAGGGTTTTTAATTCCTATACAATTAGATTCATAAATAGTGTTATGTTGTGTTCAAATGAAAAACCCTTCTGTAATTCTGATTAAAATTACCTAGATGATATAATTTTGGTCGTCTGGTTGCTGATTTTTAGTATACTTTACAATAAGTTGTAATTTCTTGTATGGGTTTATTCATGTGGTGATTCTGTGTGCTATGCTGTTCTCATTTTCTTTAAAACATTTTGTCTGAAAGGTTTATAGCTATGATGTGATGGTCTTCTCCCTTGTTTAATCAGCTATAAATCTTTAATTCTTTACAATTTCTGCTAACATGGTAATGTTTTATTTTAGGCAATGGCCATAATTGCAGATTTTATGCTTGTCTGGCTTCCTGCTCCAACAGTCTCTCTTCGTGCTCCTCTTTCTCTTGCTGCTGGACCAATCGCCAATTTTTTTCATAGCTGCCCTGATAATGCTTTCCAGGCTAGTTCTTGTTCTGTTTGCCAATACCTGATTATCTTTTCAAATCAGTTTTGACTGAAACATCCTTAACTCTTCCATACATTCTTTTGGCGACAATATTTTTACAGATTGCGTTATCTGGAACTTCATATTCTCTTTTGCAAAGAGTGGGAGCCATAATCGTTAAGTATCACACATTCTTATTAAAAGTTTGAAGGCTTATATCAGTGATTAACTCTGTAAATATTTTTCTTGCAGCGTAATGGAGCTAAGCTCTTTCTAGTTGGCACTAGTGCATCTTTGGTATGCCAGTTATTTCCTTTCTGAGTTTTTACGTTTCTTTCTCTTTTCTAAATCCCGAAATGTTCACTCTAAGGGTTTCACATGTGAGCTGTCTCATAGATTATGGGCTGCCAGGGCATTCATTGGGATGAAAACACTTGAAGGAGAGATAAGAGTCAAGTTTTAGAACTCTGACTGCTTGGCCATACCTAGAAAGTACTTAGGCTAAATTGGGTAGTTGTAGAGATGGGATCCTCACAGGGCGGTGCAGTAGAAGGTTTGACCGTATTGTGCTGGTTGTGGTCCAAGAGCTGCGGTGATTATCTGGAGGGAGGTTATTCATTGAGTCCAATGTTAGTGGTTCAATGAAACCTTACAAGCTGATAGCCAAAAGAACTGCCCACTGCTTTGGAATCGTTCATCTAGAGCCCTCTAAAATCCTTGAATGGTCTGAAGTATTTATTATTTGGGAGGAGGCTCCCTTGAATAAATATATTGAAAGAGCATGGTTTCAGACGCTTGCTAGTTGGTGGTAAAGCAGGGGCAGGGAAATCCTTCATCGCTGCAAGCCTGTGTTTCTCTGCCACCGCATATGTCACAAAGCTCTTGTTCGCAACTAGTAATGTTTGGTTTCACCGAATTTTATGCTTTCCTTTAAAGAAGAGAAGAGGGACTAAAATGGGAAAACAAATTAGAGATGATTGTGGAAAAGTGAGAAGAAATACGAACCACACACTTTCCAAGACCTAGAATTCTAGTGTTAGTACTCTCTCTCTCTCTCTCTCTCTCTCTCTCTCTCTCTCTCTCTCTCTCTGCGCTCTCTTATGAAACGGTTGGTCGAAAATGTGTGCAACTTTTGCAATTATATTCACCTAGGTCAAAAATGCTCTGGGGCATGCTTGAAGGTTTGCTTAAATTGTGTATTTTCAGGTGGGTACTGGTGCAGTCAATGTCCTGAACAATGCTAGAGGAGCATTCGATAGAGAATTTGCCGAAGCATCTGAGGATGTTCCTGTATTGTCAACAAGTGCAGCGTACGGCTTGTACATGTCTGTTTCCAGCAATCTCAGGTACATGGCTTCCCAAAATATTTCATTTATACGAAAAATCAAACAACCCAACCCAAGCTTTTTCTTTCTCAGTGTGATCAACATTCAAAGCTGTCTTTTTCAGACATGGGATTTTTCACAGAGAAAAATGAAAAACTCTTTGGTGGTGTTTTACCCATTGGAATGACTTAGTTTCTATTTATGCATATCTGATTCCTTATAAACATCATTAAGCCTAATCTTCATATAGATAGAACTGATCTCATGCATCAAACCTATACTAACATCCATCCGAAAATAAATATAGTCAAGTCAACACATTACTAGTCCATCATCAAACTCCCCGGTCAAGGCATGTAGCAACACCAGGGAAACAATTCTTCTTTGTTTCTCATATGTTAGGAGTCATTATTTACATGAAAGTATAAGAGAATCCTAAAAGCTGAGACTGGATCAAGATGATGATGATGATGATGATGATGATGATGATGATGATGATGATGATGATGATGATGATGATGATGCATCTTAACTCTTGAGTATTATGTTCCCCAAAGGTACCAACTACTGGCTGGAGTGGTTGAGCAGAGGATACTAGAGCCGCTCTTCCACAAGCAGAAGCTCGTCCTCAGTGCTCTATGCTTTGCTGTCCGCACTGGAAATACATTCCTCGGATCATTGTTGTAGGCGTCTCTCATCTCCTCTGAGTCTCTCATCCCATTATTGTCTTGGTCCAATATTTTCTTCTCTAGGACGTCTTTTTTTATCTCTACCGTTGATTATAAACAGGTGGGTCGACTACGCTCGTTGGATCGGAGTCCAGCAGGTCCGTGAATGAAGGTAATCTCAACTAGCCATTTTTCTAGGGATTTATTCCCCTCCAGTCAAGGTGCTAAATTGTAATTTTCTTTTCTTCTTTAAAATAGCTTGGTTTTTTTTTTTCTAGGAATTACATTATTTTTCCCCAAAAATTATGTTTCCCCTTTTGGGAGACCTTGTAGTATCTCATTCTCATTCTAGTGGAACAGGATTAACATAAATGGGGTATGGTAAGCCTCAAAGCAAGCTTCAGCTCTAATACCATGTTAGAGTAATCATGCCCATACTTTTAACAACATGTATTATTTCTTTAATCACCAATATGTGGTTATTCTTTCCAAAGTTTATGACCCTTAGTACTATAATCAGAGTGATTTGATGCAAACTTGTTTGCCTCATCAGATTGATTGAAGTCTAAGTTAGTGCTTGATCATCAACCTCAAACCCTAAGTTAAGTTAGGTTAGATTGATTCACATTTAGTAAGGCTATTTTGGGTAAACATAAAAAAGGGCTACTTGAAAATTCATGTCCATCAAAGCCAATTATATTGTATTCTAGTTTGATGGGGATTATATGAGATGGAGAAATGTTCAGCTTAAAATTTGATATTCATTCTTGAAGATTGACTTGAATTCACTAGAATCTTAGAGTTATGTCTCTAGATTTTAAGCTGAATATAAATATTACATTGGACATGTTCAGTATAGATACTTGTCTAAGAGTATGCTTGTTTATGTAGAAGCCTAATATATTTAAGGGTCTAAACATGAAGAAGTTGAACACCAAGAATATTAACATATTCTACCTTATATTTAGAGTACAATTTCACCTAAGATTCACTTAGAGTCTTAATCTATTAGAGTTTGCAAAAGCTGTAAAATCTAGTAGGAAGGTGGTTAACATTCATAATTCAGAATGTATTTCAATCAAGATTGACTAGAACTTAAGGAAGAAGCATCATGCATTATTTTCATAATAGAGTAGGTTTGATGATCAAACCACTAAATGATGGTGTGTGAAATACATCTCTTGTCATCTAGATCTTGGGAACCAAAACAAAGAGAAGAAATCAAAAGAAAAAGAAAATTATGAATTTACCCCCCTTTTGATGACATGATGAGACATAAAATTCAACAAATATTACATAATCCCCATAAAATTGTATTACTTCGCAAGTGATGACCCTTCATCATACATGCTGACGCTCTATGTATGCCAACCTCCACCCTCCATTATGAGTACTTCCAAGTATTGGCATTAATTTCCATCATTAAGTTATAATGGAACTTATGAACTATAACATTATTACTAGAAATGGATATTAGCATACATAGGTTGACTTTTGCCTAAATACTTAGTATGGAACCCATGAGTCCTCAAGTATAACATTCTTACTAGAAAATGGGTATTAGTGTACAGAGGTTGACTTTTACCTATATCCTTGGTATGGAACCCATTAGTCAACTATAACATTATCACTAGAAATATGTATTAGTGTACAATGGTTGACTTTTGCCCATCTGCTTAGTATGGAACCCATGAGTCATGACGAAGCTCTTACCCCACCATTCAAAGACATCAGCCACATTCATGAAGCTCTTTATATTGGTCAAATAAGCTCTCTCTGTAGTGGGCCCTACTAGTTATAGACGCGGTGGGCCTTATTTAGGAAGCCCTTCCCCTGGCCCTGCAGTTAGCGGGCTTGTGAGGGCCAGGCCCGGCCCGGTAACAACTAATTAAGCTCACTCTTGAGGATCTCATCAATGATTTGAGTCGCGAGAAACCGATATTAGAAGGATCCGAACCGCTTCAGAACCACCCTGCCATTTCGCCGTCTCCGGCCAAAACCCTGTAACTAGTTCGAGCTCGCTGGAGCTCCGTCAATGGTGGGAGGGCCGCGGGTCCTCATGTGGCGGCAGCAGCTGCGCCTCCTCCTGGCCAACGTCCCCGGGCGGGGCCGACCCAGTCTGCCTTCCATCGGCTTGCCTCTCGCTCCATGCTCCGCCGCATCTTTCTCCACTTGCTCCTCCCCGTGGCGGAGGCTCCTCCCGGGGACACAGCTCTCTGTTGCGCTTCTCCCCAGGTGGATGTCGTCGACGGCCCTGCTGAGGCTGAACGACTTGCAGGACAGCCCGGGGCGAAAGCATAAAAAGAAGCGCAAAGGGCGGGGTATCGGATCTGGGAAGGGAAAGACCGCTGGACGGGGCCACAAAGGGCAGAAGGCCCGGGGGACCATGAAGTTCGGCTTCGAGGGCGGGCAGACGCCGCTGCGGAGGCGCCTGCCGAAGCGCGGGTTTAAGAATCCCTTCAGTCTTACCTTCCAGGTGATCTATCCGAGCTCTTCTGTTCAGTATGCTCACTACTGGAACAAATGCTTTAGCATTCATTCGTTCGATCCCAGGGATACTTTTTATGGTTTCCATATCGATTGAAGATCGGTGTTTTCTGGATTGATCCAAATGGAAGCGTTCCTACAAACTTTAAACAGAGTGACGAGGACGTTCTAAAGTTACTGCGGAGAGTCCCTTGGAGGCTTGGCGATATCAGATTCTCAGCTGACATGACGCATTAACAAAGATGAGTTGTTGGAGGATGGATGTTGTGTTTCGTCTCCGCAATGCAGAATGGAGCTCAGTGTCATCTGGTATAGAAAAAGTGACGTTGAAGAGGAAAAATGCCTGAATAAAGAAAAACTCTCTTTGGCTTGCCGAATGTAGTTAGGTAAATGATTTTCTTTTTTTCCTGTGGGAATTAGAAGGCTCTTTTAATGGATGAATTCGGATTCCATGCTGAACAGTAATTACTTTTCATGTTAGGTGTGGGGTTGGGGTGTTCGTATCATTTATCTGAGGGAGGATTTTGCAGCCAGGGTTGTGGTCCTTTTGTTGGAGCTGGAGTGCCATGAGAATTTCTGATGATAATGCCATCAAATCGGTTTATGGATTTGCTTGAGCAGAGTTATTCTACATCTGTTATACATGTAAAGGATTTAGTGGAAGTCCCATCATTTGTGCTTTATCAGTGGTTTATTGGTGGACCCATACTGTTGAGGAGGTTTCCTGGCATAAGATGATTATGGCTGATCTGTTGACTTTTTTACCCTTTTGGTTTATGTTGAGATATTTTTATTATCAATGCCTTTGTCAATTATTTCTGACGTATTTATTTCATCTAATTTAATTTTTCACCTCTCTTCATGATTTTTATCTTCAATTCTATGCGTGCTAGCTATTGATTATTAGCTTTGTTTTGACACATTTCATGACCTCATATTTCTCCTCTGTCATGAATTACCTACGCATGTACCTTTTTAGTTTTATTGATAAACTTCATTATTTCCTCTCGACCTAGGTCGTTCATGATGCTTCCAATTGAAATAATTTACTAGATCGTCTGCTCTCATGAACTTACTGTTCCATTTACTTTGCCCACGGCTTATTGCGGGGTTTCTGGTTTGTTTTCCTGGCCTTATTTATGGATATTGTAATAATGCCATTGGATATTATCATATCTCAAATAAGATTTTAACTTTTGGTGCAGTTTTTGATGGATCAGAAAAATGATGTGCTTATTTTTTAATCGTTACTACATGATCTCTTCCAGTGATGGATACAGCAATGTGCCATGGACTGAAAAATCGTACAGTTACCTGTCACCCTTATGTTGGCTTAGGCCTGTTTTTACGTGGATATATCTTAGCCTATCTATGTTACTTTGATCATCACTGATAGTTACCTGATAAGTCCTTGCGAACTTGTAACCAGTATTTCATAAACAAATCATGTTACTGACAATATTTCGATATAAAATTCCATTTGAAACTTTTTTTCAGGATACTTGTTTCTGACGTATTATTCATCATATTTATCAATGAGAAGTACCTTAAACCTCATAATTTTCTAGAAACTTGGCATCTTCGATAGGGCATCATTCTTGCTTCTTGCCCATTGATCAACATCACCAGAAGTTCATTTTTTGGATGACACATAGGTTAGGCTGACAGTAAGGTAGCGAATTTTTTTCTCCAAATTCCATACAGGTTCAAATTGATGGGGTGTGGATTGATAATGTTGATGATTGCAATGAGTTTACATTCATGGCATAAAACGTACGTCCAAAGTCAGTACATGTGTGGAGACTGTGCTCTGCATTTTTTAATGACCTGATCTTACATCATATTCTGCCCTATGGAAACATTTCAATGTAAACTTTTGTGATGGAGAACTTTTACGTAGCCCTTTTGAGCAAAGCGTTTCTTTCACTATCAATTGGAAAAAAAAATGTAATTAAAACTAAAATTTTTATGTTCTTTGTAAAAACATTTCATTGAAACAAAAAATACTGGAAATTTTCATGCAACAAAATTAGATTAGATTCAAATGTGTGATATGCCATGGAACGACATCTATTATTACAAGAAATGCCACCTCCTTCCCCTATAGCTAAGTAAGCATGCAGTACTCTTTCAAAGGGTGATGCAGGCTGCCGCCCAACCTATGGTGGCAAGCGTGATACAAAATGCATGCTGCTACGTGAGCACCTTTATAGAAACGTATGTATAGGAACTTTAGGTTATTGCATCCATAAGTTCACCATTTTCTTTCATACTACATGTTATTTCTGGTGATGTTGCTGTAGCTTTTTTTTTTAACTGAGTTATTAGGGTTTTCAAAGGCGGTAACTCATATCCTAAGACTATGACGTAGTGCCTCCTTGTTTCATGAGATGTGTCTATTCGGGAGTAACTGACCTCGTGATAGTTTTTGTTCTACCTTCCTGTATTCAAATGCTAGAACAACTGGTTTATGCAGCTTTCTCTAGAAAGAGAAAGTTGGGATGTCCACTTCGAAATTTTCTAAAGTGACTGTTCTTCTGAGGCATCCTGTCATTTGCAGAAACTCAATGAAGGAGTATCAATCAACTAAAGGCAGTTGTTTTGATGAAATGCCACACCAGTGTTAATAATGGATAAATGCAAGTTCCAATAATGTTGATTCTTTGGGAGTTGATTACTTGGGACATAAAAACTTGCCTTAGTCGTTGAGATTATAGTTTTGCTCATGATTTAACCTATCAGCTGTAATCGATGTTTGGAAAAGTTTCTCTTGAATCATCATGCATAAAATAATGATTGGACTAGTTCAATCTTTAAACATTTAGTCCACATGGTCTGAGGAGAGAAACTCTATGCTGGAACTTGGTTTAAGAAATCCACTGGACTATGTCTCACTGAAGAAAGAACTCACACCCTCTCAGGATTTACAATGCAACAAACGGTATGAGGTCCAATTATTTTGACATTTGCTTTCTGCTAGAATGAAATATCTTCGGCATAACGTTCTGTGCTGTTGCCTTGTCGTTTAAAATTATTCAATGATCGCATCTACTGTTCAATCAGCCCCTGGTAATAATCAGATTAACTAGCTGTTATTCGATTTTTTTTCTGCGTAACTACTTACTGCGACTTCCTATTTATTATTTGATCGTACAACATTAAAAAAATCATATTTTTTATATTCTAATTTCCGATTACTCATTAACACCACTAAGTCTTTTTATGCCTCTTTCTTCTCTCTGTGCAGCCTGTAGGATTGGGTAAAATAGCAAAACTCATCAATGCAGGAAAAATTGATTCAGGAGAGCTTATCACAATGAAAACACTTAAGGTAATATATTTTCGCACTCCAGCTTGTTTATGTCTATGTTCAGAGGTTTAGCATAAGCAGCATTTGCGTAACCGCAGGATACTGGTGCGATAGGGAAGCAAATTGAAGATGGAGTAAGACTGATGGGTCGCGGAGCTGAGCATATCCAATGGCCGATTCATCTCGAGGTAGGTGTGATTTTGAGATTATGTCCTCGATGCCTTCTTCTTCACTGGGTAAGGGCATACACAAGGTAAATGTTTTCATTACACGCTGTTGAGATATGGGCAGTTGCTCTAATTCTCAAGCAAAGATGCGTGGTTTAATATGGACATAAAATGGTTCATTTTGCTTATAAGAAAATATTTGCCTTCACCAATGGAAATATTATATTTCTCAGTAGAAATTCTCTTATCTTGATTTATATGAGTCAACTCCGTGGATATATCCTGCCAGCTTCCTTCTGCCTCACGGGCATCTGAACCATCTTGAAACGCAGTCCAAAGAGTTTATGGAACTGGGGCATAAGCACCTTCTGCTACCTTTTCGCCTCTCAATGTCTCAGGTTTTCCTGCCATAGATCAGCCGAATGCCTGTGGCATTCATGATTGGTCTCCTTTAATCAGTCAAGCACCAATTCGGATTATGAGTCAACCATCTATGCCAAATCTCTCGTCATGCATCAGTGATTATGGGAGCTTGCCCGTCTTAGTTGCTAATTTCCCATTTGACATAATATTTGGATGTCAATGCATGAATCGGTTATGAAATCATGTTGAGGACAGGAATCCAATGGATGCACTAGAACTGAGTGCTAGATGAGATAATAACTACCACGCATTTAGTTTCCGCTTGGTTGTTTTTATTACTTGGTGGCAAGAGCTTGTGAGGTTTGTGTGATAGTGAATCTACTAACTGCCCCACTTCCTTTTCTGGGGCATTCAGTATTCTCTCTCATGCCCCTCCACCCACCACAGAATATCCATTGCGTTGAACACAGATCAGTCTCTAGACAACCTCTGTCTCAGCTCACTAACCAGGAGCAGGTCAACTCACTGATAGCCCCATTATTTTCTCTCTCATAAAGAACTGGCCTCTAGCACCTTTCACAGAGATTGTCCATTCTCTCCTTCAGCATCTGGATTCATTTTCTCAATACATATTGTGCAAGTATATGCCACCTCTCCAATACTAAGCCATGTTTTTTCCACTGTTGGTAACTTTCTGACAGCCTCCGGATGAACTGAGGCTCAAAAAGCTCCTCCTTTTCTTTCCTAATCTCTTCAGATATTTCAATTTTCCACATGAGGGAACTCGGAGTCATCTCTGCGACTTTTCTCTACCTTCCAGGTGTCAAGGGTGACGGTGAGGGCAAAGGCGGCGGTGGAGGCAGCTGGCGGGTCGGTGAGGAAGGTGTACTACAACAAGCTGGGCCTGAGAGCGCTGTTGAAGCCGGAGTGGTTTGAGAAGAAGGGGCGGCTGCTGCCCAAGGCCGCCCGGCCACCGCCGAAGCAGCAAGACAAGGTGGACAGCATCGGCCGCCTGCCTGCTCCCACCAAGCCGATACCTTTCCTGCCAGAAGAAAAAGATCCTCCTGCGGCCCAGCAAGCATCCTGATCCTCTTGAAGAACAAACGATCATAAGCCAGCAGATATTCTCACCAGATCTGTTCAAGGCCGCCGTCAGTGATTTATTTCTAGAAAATATTTTCTTTTATTGGGCATATAAAGAAGAGTGGCTCAAAACCTGTTTCAACTTTTTTCCACTTATGGAGCCTAAAATTTTGCAAGTTCCCACTTTTATGAGTAGCCATTTATGGGTGTTTCCCTTTTATGAATGCTTTCATAGTGTTTCAAGTGGTATAATTCTGGGCCAATTAGGGAAAAGCCCTTGTAAACTATCCAAACATCAGAAAATCTGCACCCCTCCTCAGGTAGGAAGAAAATTTGTCGTATTTTTATTTTTCTACCCCTGTTTAGCTTATTTTAATGGCAATAATACCCTTTGTAAAATGAACCATAAGTATTTAATGGTAATGTCTATTAAATAATACTGTTTTGTTGTTGTTATTATTATTGATATTATTATCGATATTATTATTAATGTGCATAAAAATACTACGCCTAATATGTATCGGATTTAAGGTAAAAGTTTGATTACAGCTCTTAAATTATTTTCGTAAAACAAACTTATTTTATACTTTCAAGATCCTGCATTTAATAATATTTCTTCTCTGCTGCCATTCTATCATCTCACGAAAGAGAGAGAGAGAGAGAGAGAGAGAGAGGAGGACCGTTTGAGTGGACGGGTCTCCTTAATTCTTCTACGTTATGGTGCCCACGAGGCTGCTACGGCCGATGCTCTGGCGATGAAGAAAATCCAGCCTTGCTCTTCGTCATCTCTTTAAACGACTTAAATGCTTTAAACAATATATATAGGGGATGCTTCTAAGAGAATCCCAACCATACGGAGACAATAAGAATGACTTAAAGGTTTTAAATGATATATTCAGGGCTGAAAAGAAGATTCTATTCATATTTTATTCATCCAAGAAGCTTCAGTACTTTCTAATTTTAAGAATCATGGTCAACCTATTTTCGTAGATATTTACTTTCTTACAGACATCATGGAACTAGGCTCGGTCGTTGAATAAATTACTATATCTTATGTAGCCCACATTTAAATAAATTATTTCACATAATATCTTAATGGGCTAGATGGAATGAACACCAAGGAAATAGTGAACAAGTTTGTCATGAATATTACTTGATAATATATCATCAAGATCCTTCTTATCGGCAGAAGTCAACCCTACTACTGATTAATGGTTTCAGAGTTAGGCATTTCAACTCCTACCATGAGCGAGTGCAATGACAAGCACCAAAGGGTGCGTAGGCAGGTACATGGGTGGGAGTCTCTTAATAGTCACACAAGCAGGCACTCAAGTGTGGGTAAATTATACCTTTAAATGCGAATGGGTGGCACAACTGTACATGCAAGCAGCAAGACCATATCGAGAAGGGTGAGATAGAGAGAGAGAGAGAGCAGGAGGGAGAGGGATAGGGAGAGAGACAGAGCAGGAGAGAGAGAGAGAGAGAGAGAGAGAGAGAGAGAGAGTTCCTTTGTGCTGGCTCTTTGTCTAGATGTCTAGGTGTCTTTTAGCAGAAAACAAAGCCTTCTAAGAAAACTTCCATGGATTAAACCAAGTCAGAATCAAAATCTTCTTCTGTGGAAAAGGCAGACTTTCTCTTACACAAAACTAAAACCTTCGCCTAAGGAGGAAACAAGGCTTCTTTCAAGAAAAAATAAACTCTCCCTTTGAGATTAAACCAAAGCCGCCTTTATTTATTGTGAAAACAATATTTATCAAGGTTTGAGGTAGGATAAGCTATCGTGAACATTTTGTTCCAATCTGGTGTCAATTTTTGCAATAAAGACAAAATATTTAGGACGTAATATGAACGATTTTTTTTAAAAAAGAGATAATTTTAGTCCTAAATAATCAATTATTCTATTATTATTTTCTAAGACAAGGAGCTAGCTATGGGGTTTGACAAGACCATGAAGGAATCAAGCAGGTTTAAAATGGGAATTGGTCATCATTTTGGAATGGGCTAAGATGGAATGGATCTGATACCACAAATGAGAGACACTGCACTTTAGGTGAGCTGACTCCGTATTAGTGAGTAGTGACAACGGAGACGAGTGATGATATAATTTATACTAAGTCAGCCATTTTAGCCTAATATACTCTCAGAAGATATTTCTATAGGTCCTAATATCTACAAATAGTTGAACACCATACATCATCTCAACCAAACTAAATTGATGGTTCTAATAGTTTGAATGTCCTCATGACGCACATTTAACCAAATTTGTATCACTAAGTGTTCCAATGTCATAGATTTGATGCCATATCATCATCTATTGCTCTATAAATGTCCGAATTCCTTAAAAACACTTGGTTGTGGAACTTCATGTGTTGATCTGAAGTTGAAAAGTAATTTAAAGTTTCAATACCTTGAAATATTTTTGACGAAATTCCTAAAAAAGACGGCTATGGAATTTCTTGATGCAGCTTCAACTTGGAAGTCCTAAATTATTATAGCCAAAGTGAATAACTCTTTAAAAAGATAAATCACTTAACCTTATTGATTGAGTTATTTGTGCATCAGTTCTTGTCCTTTTTAAACAATCACTTCTTAACATGATTATTATTTTTTTCCAATTTTAATTCAGAACGAATTTCTACTTTAGAGCACACATTGTCCAAAACTATTTACTATCAATTCGAAATTTAGTAGTCAGTGATGTAATCAATAGTATACATTAAAGTAAAATATTAAATGATCATTTTTCTATTATAATATTTTTTTAACTTCAAAATTTATTAAGAGTTCTAAAACTAGACATTGACCAGCTTCAAGTCTAGGGTAAGCATTCTTTATTGAGATCGCTCATTAAGAAAAGAAGATATGCATAAACATATATGAGAAATTACATCTATTTATATTTGGATCTCACAAAGTGGAGTTGAACAAAATATAATTATTCATAAATATGATCCATAACATGAAAAAATAAAAAAATAATAATCAAACAAATTATTCAAGAGAAGGGTGAGAAAAACCTTAATCAAATTTTGCAAGGAGATCCATGATACTCTTGCGATATCTCCTTTGTTATCAGCCGCTAAGGGGTGGAGTGTTCTTCATGATTTACCTATTTTAAAGAAAAAAACTATCTTATCCTTCTCTTTGTCCCCTAAATGCGCCTCTTCCTCTCCATATGAGCCCCTCCTCCCCCCCCCCTCCTTGCTTGCATTTTCAATGGCTCCTAACACTTTTCAAACTAATTAACTCATAACTTTAATATCCTATTATTTTTATAAATTTTAATAATATAATGCTCTAAGAGACAAATATGAAGGGCTTGTCTCCAAGTCAAGTGATTTTTAAGAAAAACCCAAAAATTATTCAGCATCTACAATTAATCTACAACAAAGTCTCAATAATTTATTGACAAAAGATAAATGGGAGAAGAGGAGACTGCCATCGGAATGGTTTCAATCGTTGGAGATTCAATTATATATTTATTTAATGGAATTAATGGTAAAAGCTTGGTGACATTGACTTTAATCTGGCTTTTAATGCCCATGTAGCTAAAATGACCGCCACTTTTGTATGGTGGACCCCAGAGTTCCCGGCACGTGACAAGTCGCGTGTGGGAAGCTTCATTTAAGGAAAGGGCTGAAATTGCTTAGCGTGTACGGTCAACGTGACGGATGATGAAAGGGTGCTAGCTCCGTGGGCCCCACCGGCCGCCCTCCCGGAAAGCTGGTGCCTACGCGAATGGACGGTGCCGTCAGTCGGCTCAAAGTCGGCGGCCCCACTCCTTGGAAAATATATCCAACGATTAAATAAATTCATACATCTTTTACTTTTAATTAGCTTTAAAAAAAACATATTTACGATTTAATGGAATATTAAAATATTATGATTTATTCATTTATTTGGTGGGGGAAAGACTCTGCAAAAGTTGGCCGTTATGTTCTGGAACGCAGACGGTGGAAATATTATATATTAAATCAAACATTATTTTTCAACGTAAATTAGTAAAATACCCTTCTTACTGAGGGACAGATGAGAGAGAGAGAGAGAGAAAAGAAAAAGAAAAGGCGGGGGTGACAGAACAAAAGATGAAGGGAGAGAGAGAGAGAGTAAGAGAGACAGAGAGAGAGAGAGAGAGAGAGAGAGAGAGAGAGAGAGTGGGGTGGGGCAATTATGCGCTTAAAGTACAGGGAGCTTTGTGCCACCCGCAGGCCAGCCCAATACTATTATTACTCTTCACCTCTCCTCTCCCATTCCATCCCTCGCTGTTCTCTCTCTCTCTCTCTCTCGCTGTCTATCTCCTTGGCTTCCAGCTCGATCTCTCCTCTGGCGCTCGGGGTGGGTACTTCCACTTTTTGCTGTCGCCTTTCCCACTTGGATCGCTGCCATGGCCTTTCCTTCTTTTTTCTTTGACGTCTGCATGTTGGTCGGAAGATGCGCTTGTTTCTGATTCACCGAACACCTCGGTGATCATATAGGATCGATACTTCTCTTTTTCTGCGATCAGCAGATCTGATGTTTTAGTGATCGACGCATCCGTAGCAATGAATCGGCGTTGGTGACGGCTTCCCTGTTTTCAGCCTCTCTGGTTCGGATTAATCTTTTATTTCCTGGTGAATTCATTGCTTCTGTAGAAAATTTAGGCTGTTTCCACAGATGGTAATTCTCGTCGATATAGCTGATCTAATACGCCTCTTGCCCTTCATACCATATTTTGTAATGCCTGTTGCGGGGATTCTTATGCGACGGTATTCTTACTCGCTTAGTCCGTCTCCAACGTTAAGGAACTTTGCCTCTTATGTGGGGAATGGATTTCATGATCTGGCATAGTTTCATTCGCGTTATTTTTAACCAGTTAAAGCTCTTCTCTGCGTGAATACATCTTGCATGCCTATCCATCTCTGTTACTATCAAGACTATGATAAAAGGAGGCCCGCCAGGGAGTAATGACTGTGTCAATGTCATCCTTTTCCACAAGTCTCCCGCAAATATCACCGAAGATGGGAAATTTGAAATTTGGCCTTTGGATTCATTGCGTTGGTGGGAAAATGGCTTGCCTCGTTTGTCATTGTCAAATTTTTCGTCTAAGATAATAAATTCATCTGAAATGAACTAGGAATTCCACTTTCAACGTATGATACGAATCTCATACGGTGGCTTAAATATTATAACTGAAAGAGGTTATTGGGATTCTCTTTGAGTCATCAGGCAAAGGCTCTCAAGTTAAAATTGGCAATTTGAACGATGGATAGTGGTTCTAGCTCTGGAGCCTAGAACTTTTGGTCAATGGATTGAAGGACAGATAGTGAGTATGAACGAATCGCCACTTTATGAAATAAAACTATTATTTTAAGAAAGGCTTGAAGTATTGGGTGTGTTTTCCCTGAAGAATAATTCTGAATGGCACATCAATCACTTTTGTCTTGGACAAGGATTGAAAAATTCGTGATTTCAGGGCTTCAATTGGCAGATCTTGTATTTTTTTTTTTCAAAAAACTCTTTAATGGTAGACGTTGCTGATATTTTACTGTCAGCGTGACCTTTAGATAAAATGGAAAAGCATTCAAAAATCGCTGATTACTTAGTTTGGTGTTCTGATGAAGCATAAGAGAGAACCGGAGTTTGAGAGTTATGAAACATTGGTCACAGTATTTCTCAGAAGCTGTCGACGCTTACTGGATCATGGATAGTGGAGTAAGATTGCATTTCAAAAGACAGGATTGTAATACGATGTTTAGGAAGTACTGATGGAGGTCAATTTTAACGCCTAGGCTCTTGATATATGCAGAATGGGGAGTTTGATTTCAGGAAATTAACTATGCAGGAGGTGAATGAGGTAGTTGTTGCAAATGGGATTATGTTGTGTTTAAACTCATCATAACGTGTTTTATTATGAGAAATCTGTACTTAATAGAGTGGAGGATGCCCCAGATGGGTCAGTCATAGAGAAAGCCGAAACAGTTTTGACTGTAAAGGAAGTTTTTTCTATCATTCATTGAGTGGCTTATACAGGTCAATTCTTTATTCCAGAATATTTTGTTGCTGGAATGTTTCTCTTGCAATGAAACACCTTTTTGAAAACAATAATAAAAAATAAAAGCAAAAGGAGTTGATTACATAGCTTCATGTCTTCGGTTGTTCGATCATTTCCTTGATTTCATATACATCTATGCTCAAATCCAATAAATCCTTATTGATGAAAGAACCACTGCGTTCCAACTCATGAATCGATGAAAACATTGAAGGCCCTTCTGCTGCTTCTGCTAGATTCTAGACTGTAGTGCCATTTCTTGAGTCCATTTACATCATATTTTAAAATGCTTTTCACGTAGCTTTGTTAATGTGGGAGTTGCTGCCTCCATACGTACACTGCTCTATTTAGGTGAAATTAGAAACAAGCTTTCTTATGGGACTGGATTCAATGAGCATTTGAAGAGTGATTCTGTTGTTCTCAAATCTAGGTCTGATGAGGGAATTTTGCCTGCATATGTAATCCTCTCTAATTCAATGAATTAAGGATAAGAAACAAGGTTTGTTATGGGATTGAGCTTAATTATTTATAAGGATCGATTCTATTTGTTATTTCTTTGAAGATTCCTGTGGTATGCTTTTGCCAATCTGATATAAAGTGATGCAAATTTAGTTCCTGGCTTTCTTTTTATGTCATGTCTTTACTCACTTTTATTTACGCTAATTATAATTTTTGTGATCATTTCTCATTTATTCAGGTCTAGATATATTACTGTTGTTGAAGTTGATATGGTTAATTGTTTCATACTAGTGTTCTTCTGCTAATCAGTTTGTTTTTCCTATTGGTTTTTTTTTTGTGTTATTTTTGTTGCTTCAGTGCATATTTCTGTAAATTCTTGGATTTTTCACAACTTTTTGGAACCTTGCTTCAGTGTAGACTTTTTCTGCCTCAGTCTGCACTGCTGTAAAATAGCTTGGAGCAATATTTGAATTCATTGATCAGTGTGGTTGGCAAAACTCCTAAAGCGCTGTGGCAAAGATGTCTACCACAACAAAGAACTTGGATCCTGCATTTCAAGGAGTGGGTCAAAAAATGTATCCTTTTGAATGGTATGAACAATTCTGAGCCCTTCTATATTTCTAATGTACCTCATTTTCTCTGTTTCTTTTGCTGTACTTAACCCTGAATAGTGGTACGGAGATATGGCGAATTGAGAATTTCCAGCCAGTCCCACTTCCAAAATCTGATTATGGAAAGTTCTATTCAGGAGATTCTTACATAGTTTTACAGGTACTCAGAATACCATTTATTATCATGGCAATTACTTTGTTTCATTTGAACATTGCTTCTTGGCTTGCGGTCAGATAATGGAATGTTATCTCATTTCAGTTTTCTACGTGGATGCCTTTATTTTATTATCATTTCCTTGCCGTAAATACTGCATCTACGGAATGAACACATTTACCCCACTCTTTCTTATTATACTGTAATCCTGTAATTTTCACTTTTTCATAACTTGGCATGTTTTGTTTCACTTTCTCTGTTATTTATCCTGTGACAAGAAAAAAAGACACTAGGGACATGTTTGTTCATGTGCCCTAATATTCTCTTTTCTCTCCATAATTTGTGGTGATTCTTCCCGGATCCTTTTGCTTGGTGGAGCATGCTATTTGCCAAAAATATTTTGGAGAAACAGGTGAAGAGTTATAAAAATTTCAAAAGCCTCTGTTAGGGGACCGGTGCTTGTTCAGCATCAAGGAGAATTTTAAGGTTACAAATCCACCGCTGAAATTAAGAGCGAAATTTTATTAGAGCTTTCAGCTCCCTATGCTGACTCTGTGTTCATTAACTTCTTCATCCGGCTGTAGTTTTTTCTGGGGTTCTTTCTTCCTGAACTTTCACTGCTTTTCTTATTTTTATCGATTGTTGTTAGTATTGCAGCAGACGACTTACACCTGTTTCTTGGGGTTTTGGCCTTTTTCTTTTAATGAAGCATTCAACCTTTGATCTTTTTTTGTATGATATCCAGTTGGGCCATTTTCAGTACTCACTCTTTATAATATTTTCTTTTCACGATGCATTTTTCTTTCTTAGCTCGAAATCAGTTCAAATACAAACTTGAAATGTTAAAATAAATCTAATTTATTATTCTGTGCAGCTATCGTTAACTGAAGCCTTTTTTTTTAATTTTTAGTTCTGTTTATGGTAACTATTTCTTAACATAGTGGTACCTTTTTCTTGTGAAATGGATGAAGATCTTTGATAAGTGGTCTTGTTCTTTTGTAAATATTAATGTCTGGGCTGGTATGCAATGGAACAGTATGCATCACATCGCAGTTAAGTTCCTTAAATTTTCTTGCATGGTTTTGTAGACAACTGCTGGCAAAGGAGGCGCTTTCCTGTATGATATTCACTTTTGGATTGGAAAAGACACCAGCCAGGTTATGATGCTTTTCTGATTGCATGAAGGATTCTTGTCACCTCGTCTCTCTTCTTGCTAAAGTTTGAGACTTGGAACAGGATGAAGCTGGAACTGCAGCAATTAAAACTGTGGAGCTTGATGCTGTTCTTGGTGGCCGTGCAATTCAGCATAGGGAACTTCAAGGCTATGAGTCTGACAAGTTTCTTTCTTATTTCAAACCATGCATTATTCCACTCGAGGGTGGTGTTGCTTCTGGATTTAAAACGGTTGAGGATGAAAAGTTTGAAACACGGCTCTATGTGTGTAAAGGAAAACGAGTTGTTAGAATGAAGCAGGTTTCAAAGTTTAGCCTGAATTTCTCTCTGTGAACGTAGTTATATTATGTATTCAATCATTGAAACATACTAAATTACTAAATTCCTAGTCTGTTTTTGTAGGTTCCATTTGCTCGCTCATCACTAAATCATGATGATGTATTTATTTTGGATACTGAGAACAAAATATACCAATTTAACGGTGCAAACTCCAACATTCAAGAGAGAGCTAAGGCTTTGGAAGTTATTCAATATTTGAAGGATACATACCATGAGGGAAAGTGTGACGTTGCAATTGTTGGTGAGCTGTTATGTTGTGTAAATTAATCATTATGTGTTAATATCATACTGGTTCATATAGTCTTTCTTCTCTTAGCTTGTCAAGTGTTTCATTTCTTTATTGAAATTGTGATTCCCTTGACAGACGATGGAAAACTTGTAGCTGAATCTGACTCTGGTGAATTTTGGCTTCTCTTTGGTGGTTTTGCGCCAATTGGGAAAAAGACTATAACTGAAGATGATATTGTCTTGGAAAGGACTGTCGCAAAGCTTTACAGGTACTCCTCAAACTTTTATAATGAGACAACTGGTATGCATATACTCTTGTTGCATTAAATGTTAACTGGTTTGGTTAAATGTTTACTGGTTTAGTTAAGTGATGATAACTGTTTAGTTTTCATGGATCTTCTTTATCAGTGGGCCTTCATAAAATAATCACCAAATCTATCTGTTTCACACATTTGGTTCTATTGCTTAGTTCTTCACTAGCTTGATTGGTCGTTGATAAGCTGAGAGAAGCAACAAAGTTACGTTCCTGAATATTCTTCGATTGTCTCCCTATCCTATGCCCAGATTATCGGCCTACAGGACAGCTATAAAGCTTTATGGGGAGTCGCCATAAAGCTAAAATAATAGATCTATAACATTTTGTTTTTCTTTCTTTGATGATGATTCCTTTGGGAGAAGAAAATACTACCAGATCTCTCTGGTTAACTTGTTCCCAATTCTGCCAAATTTATGAACACCTGATGCTTTCCACTGAGCTTATTCAATTTGCCATTATCTCTGGTAGAAGAGATCATTTTCAATATAATTAGCTTCATTCCCATTTTTAAATATAAAACTAGAAGATTTAGTTTTGTTGTGATTGAGGCAAAATTCATCCATGTATCCCTTTCTTAGACTTGGAAGAGTTGAATCAAACCCGCTTGAGGATTCCTGATGATATTAATTTTTATTGAATGAAAATAATACTGGTATTTGGATACAGATCTGAAAATTTATAATTTTTATGAAATCTAGCATAAATCTAGTTTTTTATTCCCCAAATAGAAGACTCATCTGGACCCAAATTGCAAAAAGTTATGTTTCTTGTCAAACAAGAATTTATAAACTTTAGTGAGTCCCTGCTCTGGTTAAAACCTTAATCTCAATAGGAAGAGACTTCCAATGCTAGTTCAAGAAAATAAGCATGCAGCTGTACATTGAGTGGATACTATTTTGTAGTGGTCGGCTCAATCATTTTTCTGAAGTGTGGACAGCTTGCGTTCAGCGCTTCTTTAATTAAGCCAAATGATTTGTTAATGGATCTTTTCCTTGTCCATATAGGTATTTCTTTGCTAAACGACCTTCTAAGCTTCTCCCGTTAGCCAAGAATTTTTCTTCCCACATTTTCACGAGTTTTTTTTCTGCTTAATTTCAATAACCTTAATTGATTTTAAAAGAGAGCTATCACTTCGCCAGGACCACCATTTACTGTGATGGCGGCCCAACCTCCTTTTGTTTTGACCAGACCTTAATGAAGACACATCCTGTCTACGAGTAGTGACTTTCATTTGCCCTCTGTTCTCTACAAGGATGCCATTTGTAAATAGAAATTTAATATTTAAACCCATCAATCTTCCAGTTTTGATTTAAGCTCTCTTTCTGTTAGCTTCAATACAGCAGACGAGTAACGATCCCCATGGCAGCTCCCTGGTCTACGAACTTTCTATTCCCTCTGTTTTCAAGTATTTTAGAAAACTCTCCATTGTATGTTCGTGAAATGGTGCATCTTTCTATTGTTTATTCCGTTTTATCAGCTACTACATGAGGGTAAATAATATCAACCTCTGAAACTATTTTGTTATTTTAATTTGTATAGCGGAATTGACAGTCATCTTACAAATATCTGAGACATGATTTGGCTTTAGTTTATACCCTACCTTCACTAGATACGTTTTCTTCTGGTCTGTGACTGATTATTTATTCTAGGAGGGCATTATTTATGTAAATCGATGACATTGGCAATTTCTCTCTATGAACTAATAGTCGATTTGAGTGAAGTCCAACAAGTGTGAACCATATTGTCTTCATTTTGTAGCATTAATGATGATCAGTTGAAGCTGGAAGATGCTCCACTCTGTAAAGAAACATTGGAAAACAGCAAATGTTATTTACTTGATTGTGGAGCTGAACTATTTTTGTGGGTTGGCCGGGTAACAAGTGTTGAGGACAGAAAAGCAGCTTCTCAAGTCGCTGAGGTATACTTACTTAGCAATTCTGTGATGCAAAATTTCTTGAGTGCAGACTCTTAGTTTTGGCAACTTTTGATCAAGGTATTCATTGTGAACCAAGGAAGACCAAAGTCAACGCGTCTTACTCGAGTAATTCAGGGGTTTGAGACATATTCATTTAAGTCGAACTTTGAATCTTGGTCTTCGGGTTCTGGGGGTACTGCCAGTGAGGATGGAAGAGGAAAAGTAGCAGGTAATTGTTAGGCTCTTTGAATTTATCTGCGACACATTGTTGGGAGCTGAGCATTTTTTATTGATAACATTTGATATCTCTTAGCCTTACTGAAGCAGCAAGGAGTTGATATTAAGAGTCCTACAAAAGCTGCTCCCATAAACGAGGAAGTTCCTCCACTACTTGAAGGATCCGGAAAGCTAGAGGTTTGACTTGCAAGAATTTTAAATTCTTGATCAATCTGTGACATTTTTTAGTAATTTGGAGAGTATCTTTGTCTCTTTGTTCATGAATCTGATTGTATTTTTTCTTCTCCACTGTTTTTAAGTTGAGAGGTTGTCCAGGAAAAGTTGATTATTCTTAGCTTTCAGGTTTGGCGCATCAATGGTAGTGCCAAGACACTTATTCCTATGGAGGATATTGGTAAATTTTATAGGGGGGATTGCTACATTGTACTCTACACTTACCACTCTGGCGACAGGAAAGAAGAGTACTTCTTATCCTGCTGGATGGGAAAGGATAGCACTCAGGTGAATATTTAAATACTGATTGATGGAAGCTGTTGCTTCCATATTCCTGTCGTACTGTTTGATTGCTGATGTTCCTTTGTTCACACGATAATTGTCTTATTTCGGAAAGTCATTATTAAGTGCTTATTAAGTGTTCTCTTCTCATGCTTCCTTATTGAAATTTTAACTCGTAATCTTTCACAAATTCAGATGTTTATGATATGAGGGAAAATAGTTTAGTCATCTGATACTTTTTACAGACTAGACCATCATAGTGACCCAGAGTACGAAATACATGCATAATTAATAACAGGAAATTCATCATTTTCCAGAGGAGACGGATTGTATGATAGACCTAATACTATATGCAGAATTGAAAAACAGAAAATCTATTTTTTTTCCTAATGTAGCAGCATTTGAATGGTTATTTTTCATAGTTACTTTGTCAGTGAGCATCTCGTGTATTACCATTTCTTCTTTTCACTGTGAACGGATAATTGATTTCTTTTTCATGACATTGATCTTTCGATTCAATTTTCTCTCTTACTGTGAGTCGCAGAAAGATGGTCTTTTGTGTTCTTCACTTGTTTTTATTTGCCTGTGTCTGCAATAGTTTTTGAGTCGTCTGTTTTCTTTCCATAATTTTAATATGGTTTTTCCTTATTGTCTTTGTATATCTTTATTAATTTATAGTGATCTTCTCGATATATCCTAGGATGATCAAATGATGGCCTCTCGATTGGCAAATACAATGTGCAGTTCCTTAAAGGGCAGACCTGTGCAGGTACCACATCTCAATTCGTTAACAAACAAATTCTGCTTGTCATGTATAACTTATCAGAAATTGTCTTCAGGGTCGCATTATTCAAGGGAAAGAGCCACCACAATTTATTGCACTTTTTCAGCCCATGATTGTCTTCAAGGTATTATACTTTGTTCATCTAATGGTGGAATACTTAATTAGTCAACACTTAATTAGTCTTTGAGAATGCATATTATACTTCCTTGACATGAATCTTTGATCACAGTACCCATGGAACATGCAATGACAAGCCATGTGGCTTTGATTTGTACTATTAATTATAATACATCCTTCGGGTATAATTATTTGAGCTGTTCTTTTGTATGCATGTTTGATAGTCTTATAATTTCTCTTGCTAATGTTGAGCAACATGGCATTCAATATTGGCATGGAAATAAAAGCTTTTTATCCCTGAATTTGCTATATATTTTCTAATATGCTGGATTCCCCTACAGGGGGGATTGAGCTCTGGTTTCAAGAAGTCGATTGTGGATGGGGATGCGAAAGATGAAACTTATACATCTGATGGCATAGCACTGTTTCGAGTTTCTGGGACATCTGTTCACAATAACAAAGCACTTCAAGTTGATGCGGTATGTTGATTATTTTTCTAGGATTTGCTATTCGCATATTATTTTGTGGATTTATTCATTGTCTTAAATTAATTTCAATAAGACATTACTACTATGGATGTATCTTATTTCCTGGGAATATAGTTTGGTAATCTATTCTATGCATAAATTTGGTTGGTCTATTTCGATGAATGATCATCACACTAAGACAGCTTATTTACAGTATAATATTTTCGTTTGAAGGTAGCAATTGTGATGTCTTTTGTACATAAACTTGTTTGATCTTGAAAGAAGTGATATGTATGAGCACACCTGAGTGTCGCTCGTTTTGCTTGTTGCTTTCACAGAGTAAATTCCATAACTGACAGAAATTATAATTTATTGAAATTCTGTGAATGGTGAATTATGAAAGTTGATACCACTTTTTTCCCTTGAAATCATATTGGAATTTGTTTTTCTCAGCATCTGTAAATGGCCGTCTGTATTTTATTGAGTATTTCTTCTCAAGATTTGGAGTTACTGCTTCCGTCTATAAATGGCCATCTATAAACATATATTTCTTTTGGAAGATAATTGGAAACACCTATTGTATCACACGTGTATGTTTGGATTATTTTGTATGCGGACATTATCAGCAGTTTATATACTTTACACGTAATTTTTATTTCAAAAGGCTGGACTTGTCTGGATGTTACATTCAATATGTCTAATCAGAAACAAGCTTCATTTCTTAGATCAGGATTCTAATTTGAAGCCACATGAGGATGAAGATGGTCGCCTAAGTGTCATCACTTTGTTGAGTTGGTTCAGAAACTTCATAGTGTATATTTTAGTGGGACCTGAGAGAAGATACACCAAGGGAACAACTTGAATCTTCCAGTCTCATCAATGCTTGTCCATGGTCTTGAAGAGATGCGTAGAGCCTCTGCTTGGGTGCAATTTTTTTCAAGAGTAGGTTTCTCTTATTTGCTGCATCCTGGGATCCTTTTTCTTCATGGTGTTTAGGGCTGAGTTGAACTAGGTTCGTGCTCTCTTTTTCTCTTTTTCTGGAGAGGTGATATCTACATGTTCTAGGCTCTACGCACGTCTTTCGGATGAACGTATTATCATCCACTTTCAGGAGAGAAAATGAACTCTAGGAATTGAAAATAGATGTTGTGTTATATTTTGTGGGCTTATTTTTCAAGTCAATAATAAAATAGTCCGAGGAAACATTGAACGATGTAACTGAGACAGTATCACTGTAGGTTCTCCCTCACAATTGTCTTCCCTTTGAAAGTGCCACCGTCCATTTTCCAGAGATAATCGAAGTTGGGAAAATAAATACATGATCTGAGGTAACTTAAGGATATATGTATCAAGATAAAAAACTAGAATCATTATGAATATCAAAGGATGTAACTGTCTGATTGTATCCTTGGATGGACATGAAATATTTGTGACACTAAATACCTGTCAAGCTGCATATTTTATTTGTCTTTTACTTGTGGAAAGAGTAATAAATTTCCCTTAGAACTTAAAAATGCAAAGTGATATTTTTTATTCGTGGGATTTCTCAAAAGCGTGTACACATGTTTCTTTGTGGCATTTTCAAATATCAGGTAATGTGAATGTATAGGTTCCATTGTGAAAACTTTATTCCAGGCTTAATGATAGATCGCTTCTCAATGCAGGTGGCAGCGTCCCTAAGCTCCACTGATTGTTTTTTGCTGCAATCTGGTTCATCACTTTTCATTTGGCATGGCAATTCAAGTACCTTCGAGCAGCAACAGTGGGCTGCTAAGGTTGCTGAGTTCCTAAAGGTATTCAGAAAGCGATCTCTTGTTTGCTGTGATGTCTACCTAGAGAGTTGTACACGCTTACTGTAGATCTGAACCAATGGTAGATCTCTGGAAATTCTGGAAAACTTTCTAATTTTTGCATGGGACAACTGAATTATGTATAATATGATTCTTTTGCTAGAATTCATATTAGGCTAACATATAGAAGCAAAAGATTTGTTTATCGATAATTTTTTTTCGGATGGCTGTGTTCTTTTGCATATGTTTTGCATTTGCTTCCAGAATTTTATTTTATTATTTTTAGTTGTCAATTTAAATTCCTTCTTCCGTTAGACGTTTGGCTAAAATGTTTCATTTCCAAAATTATAGCCGGGGGCTTCCTTAAAGTATGCCAAAGAGGGGACTGAGAGCTCTGCTTTTTGGTTTGCGCTCGGAGGAAAGCAAAGTTATACTGGCGAGAGGATCACACAGGATATTGTTCGAGATCCTCATTTGTACACGTTTTCATTGGGCAAAGGTTTTTCTCTCTTCTATTTGTTCAATATGCCCTGGAAACCAGATTTTATGTGTTCTCTTTTCTGGTTGTGACGGTATTACTGATGAAGAGCTGCCCTTCCTAGGATTAATAATTTACTATCCACTCATCATAGACTATCTATCTTGTTAATGAAAATGTGAATAGATTGGCGCTTGAAAGCATATGGCTTTTTGTGTGAAGTATAAAGATATTCTTATGCAATGTGGTTGTACCATTGGCTATTTCTGACACTTTCTTTTGTTGCCATCCTCGAACTTGTTTCTTCAGGAAACTTTGAGGTTTGTTCTCGATCTCCTCTTTCATTGTACACATTTAGTGATTTCGCTTTCACTGTTTTATGTTAATTTTTATCTCTCTTTTTCTAATATATATGCTAGGTGAATGAGGTTTTTAATTTCTCGCAAGATGACCTATTAACGGAGGATATATTAGTACTGGACTCCCATGCTGAGGTTTTTGTATGGGTTGGCCAATCAGTAGATCCTAAAGATAAGCAGAAAGCGTTTGACGTCGGGCAGGTATAAGCACATGGTTTTCCTATTGTTATTTGCCATTCCTCTCATCACTTTCATGTGTAAACTTTTGCAGAAATATATAGAATTTGCAGTACCGCTTGAAGGATTGTCGCCCGATGTTCCTTTATACAAGGTCACAGAGGGGAATGAACCTTGCTTCTTCACCACCTACTTTGCATGGGACAACGCGAAAGCAACTGTATGCCCTAGAAACTTTAAATTTTGTGATTAGTTCCATTTTGGAGATAGATTCATTAGCTCCTGTCTTCATACCAGATAATATGCTTCTGATGTTGACATCCTTTCCGAAATTGCAAATTCTATCATTAGTTTATGATCGTTTCTACTATTTTACCACCTGAAGATTCTGATAAAACCTTTTACTTGCTATCCTATTCTGATAAGCTTTTATTCTAGTTTCTGGTGAAAGTTCTTGGATCTTACCCTAAATATTCTATGGGAAATCGCACTTTTGGCAATCCTTTTAATCTATTGTCCCAATCGATATTTTGATAGCTGATACTCAAAAATTACTCTAGTGTGTCTCATTTGGGATAGGAGGGTGGTAAATCGTATCGTCCACTGGATATTTTGAAAAGCTTGCCCCTGGAGAGTATTTTTATGGGCTGAATCCTACTTTCTTGGGATGACACTACCTTGGAGGGACATTGAAGCTCAGCACCCACAGTGGGAGGGGAAAGAAAATGTTGGAGTGCAATGAATTCACGAAGGAACATAGAAGAAAATTATTCTCATGGAACCCAAGTGTCACTAGTTAGAGCTTGCTGGCTGCCCTCCCTAAGTCCACCATTGCTCTGTCCTGTCCACGGAATGACATAGAATAGGGTTATGAGGTGGGGGGGAGTTAAACAGAGATCGAAAATGCATAGAAGCCTTGATTAGATCTCGAACTGCTTTGACACCATTTTTTATGAAAAATATTTTTTAATGAAATTGCATAGAGTTTTTATCGTTTTTATCCGTGAATAGGGTCTTTTTTCATCAGGTGAATCCTTTTACTGTCATTTATGAATGTTGGAAATCACGTAAAAGCTCTCATTGAATCTATTATCACTCGGATACCCTTTTTATGAAAGGAGCTATATTCTTAAAAGTTTTAGGTATATCCTTTTGTTCAAATTAGATTTTCCTTCATCACCTGATTTGGTTGATGCCATCGTTCAGTTTGATTTGGACATTGAAGAATGATCCCTAGACCCATCACTACATCAATCATTACTAAATGTCTGCAAGATCCTGGAATTTATAGTCTCCTGGAAGAAGTGTCATCAATATATTGAAGTTCACGCTGCAATGATCTTTTGAATTCAACTATTGTGTATTTTTCAGAAGTAGATAGAGAGAATGAGAAGACGAGGGAGCACGCAGAGCAATAGAAATTCACTTCAATTTTTATGGCAGCCCCCAATCCATATATTAGCACTTATGATAAGAAGTAAGAAACGAAACGAACATCCATACTGGGTGTGACCATTCCGAAAGATTCAAATGCGCTTACAGGGCAGTATTCTTTAGGAGGGATAACAAATGCCCCCACTATCCCGACCTATTCTGAGAATAGATATTTCTGCACATTTTAACCCTCCATCCAAAGTCAGCAGTCTCTTTCTGTAGGTAGAATTGTGTTGTGAGCATATCAATTTTTCTTAGTTCTCCCCAGTAAATACTAGGATTAACCGAGTCTCAAGCTAAAACCTCCTTCAAATAGAATTGTGTTATCAGGATATCAATGTTTCATTGTTTTGCTCCTCTGTATGGACTAGGAGTTAATGAATCTCATCCTTAAACCCTTCTGAGTGTGGCCTTTCAGTGTACAGTTATAGATTACAGTCATAGGTCCGAGCTGCAATTTGATACAGTTTCTACCAAATTCTTGCCAAATCTCATTACAATACTGTTTACTTTGACGTAAACATTGACTTTAGATAGGAGATTACTCATGCCTTTTGATAGCAGGAAGATTTTACTATGGGATGTACCATTTTGATATTTACTGCGTCTCATTTTCAAATGACACAAACATGCTGATCCAGATAATAATCGAAATCATAAGTTTTACTCACACATACTGATTAGAAATTCAGTCTGATTTAAAAGTGGCCCGTGGGTTTTTGCTTTGCTTCTTACCTTATGGTATTATAGAGAGCGAAGATAGCTGTGCCTTCATAGATAGCTGTTAACTAATGCATATGCTAAAAATTATCTGGGAATCAATTTTATATTGTTTTTATGCGGTAACTGATGGGATGTGAGCTTAATCTAATCTAAGATGAGTTCAATTAATTCTTTCTAGTATTATATTAAACTTTATTTCTGTGAAGTTCTTTTCCGCTTTTACGTTTAACTTTTTCCAACAAGATTATTGTTTAGAGACTTGTATTATGTTTGTGACAGCCTCAAGGAAATTCATTCACAAAAAAGCTGTCATTGCTTTTTGGAATTGCCATGCATGCTTCAGAGGTAAACATCTACTTTGCATGTCGATTAATATTGCATATACTCAGCAAACATCAATTAATTCTCTGATAAGTTTCTGGTTTTGTGATTAAATGGTATTCCTTTGATATGATAGTATTCGGAGCGAAGAATATGAGTTGGTTTGTGGATGTGAGCTGTGAACGTATATATACATAAATATGTATTTATTTATAATTACTGATGCTCTTTGAACAAGCTAACTGTTGTGGCCTATGTAGCATATATACTTTTAGCTGTCTTTCCCGATTCTTTTATTTATGTTGAGCGGCAATATATGCTAAATTTTGTTCGTATGGAAATCTGTGAGAGAATCAATGATAGCGCATTAGAATGCATTTTTAAGTGGTTATGATGAACATTGAACATATTTATTTTCTTAGACAGCACAAAATTCTCCTATCAAAATGCGTAGACTGTGACCTAATGGATATGATACGGTTAAAATACATACTATGAATAATGAAACATCCTATGAATTGTCTGCAGTCACATGACAAATCTAACGATTCAAGAAGTGGGCCAACTCAACGAGCGTCAGCTATGGCTGCATTATCATCTGCGTTCAATTCGTCTTCTGGGCCTAAAACTTCCACAGCAAAGCCAGTACCTTCCAGCCAGGGTTCGCAGAGAGCAGCTGCAGTTGCTGCACTGTCCAATGTTCTGACAGCTGAAAAAATAACTTCTGAGACAATTCCACGGTTCAGCAGAAGTCCTTCCCCTGATGTGGCTCTTTCTGGTATCACTTCTGACTCCTTTTTTCTTTTCGTTGAGGAGATGTCAGACTGACATCTTTATAACTGTCGATTACAATAAGGAAAAACTTTTCCTTCTTATTTCCGAAAAAGATTATTTTTTTATGGTGACGTCATGATAGTTCGTCTGACTTGGTGCCATAAAACTTTAAAGTTGAAAACCTAAGTTTGATAATACCAACTTGGTTTTGACTGGTATACCTCAAATTGATTCAACCTCAACTTAGCCAAAACCACGTTCTAAATTCTCTTGAAACCATACTTCCATTTTAAAGAAGTTTTTGGGTAGGAAGTTAGAATTTATGATCTGAGTGACTAGGTAGACCACCAACCCACACAAATTTTCAGAACCATGGCATCATAGATGGAAACCACCTGCTTCTATCATTGTCATGTACATCTTATGCAGTTAATATGGCCATCAAATGTCAGCTCAGTACATACGAGCAGATTCACGTCGTGCTAACCAAATATTTCATTTGACTTGATTCTCAAGTGCTATCACCATTGACTGGCTCGTCATAGTTAGCTGTTGCTCACGCTGGAGAGCCATCTGAAATTGTTATCAATTTCTAATTATCTCTATTTACCCCTGATAATGCTCTCCTTGTTCACGAACCCCTTCCTTGTCATCTTGAGATCATTTTTTAACGCTTTAAGATAAGTTCAGTACCTTGGTCCCTTCTCAAGTCCGATCACTGTCAAGGCTGTCGCCTTCGTTGAGAAGGGACTTATCACCCAGATTGCATTGTTCCATCTGTGTCTGGGGCCGACTCTGATCAAAATTTTATGGTCTATCCAGGATTCATCTAAGCAAAAGCATCTGCTTCGAAAACTCTGACCATACAATTCAGCTCGTGCTCATTAGTTGACCGATTTATTGAAGGCTTGTTAGGCATGTTGGGGTTCGTCTCCATGATGGCAGCCTGTGTTTTTTGTTTCCTTAACATAATGTGTTGTGCACGGTGAACCAAAAGCAGATCCAATGTCTCAGAGACGTTGCCTGACTCATCAGTTATACGTTATTGTTGAGAAGACATTTTCGTCAACTATTGCCTTTGTTATTACCCAGCATAGTAGAGCCCGAGTTACGAGTCAAGGTATGGTGATGGTATTACTATGAATGATGATTTTTCTTCATATCTTTCGATGATTCACCGTGCTCTGTGAGGTGTGTATAAACATTACCATAGTTAGATTACTGTGCATAATCCATGGGAACCTACTCTCCTTTTGGTTGTTCCCATTTTCTGGAAACCGTATGATCTTGGCATTCTCACACGTGTTTGAAGTAGTGCCATGGTTATCCTCCAACTTTGTGGGGGAAGAAGCCATCCCAACAAATGGTGATCGTTACTTGTCTCTTTTGATGTCTCACCATGCCCTATATCAGTCTATATCAGCATCACTACAGCTGACTTCCGTGTCTAGTCCTTGGATAGTACTATATGTTATTTGTTCATGGGCCTGCTTCAGAAAAGGGGAGGACAAGTGCTTGTGGCATGAAAATTCTTTGGTCTCGTCCATCATATAAGACTCCCACTAATCTTACATCTCCATTGCGATTCTTAGAGAGAAGTTGATGGTTTTTCTCTCTGTGGACGACCCAGAAGAGTCTGCAGAGAAAGCAGCCACTGAGGCGCTTGGGGAAGTATCAGTGAGTAGTGGAGCAGACTCTGACGCGGCACAGGAGAGCCCCTGGGTTAACGATAATGGAGCTGAATGCACCTTCAGCTATGAACGTCTGAAGGCCAAGTCCACCAACCCGGCCAAGGGGATCGATTACAAGCGAAGAGAGGTACATACCAGAGAACCTTCAAACGCTTTTATTGAGAAGATCCCCATCAAAGATTGATGTGTCGGCCATTGTTCTCTGCAGGCCTACCTCTCCGACGCAGACTTCCAGGCTGTCCTTGGGATGTCAAAAGAGGCATTCTACCGACAGCCCAAGTGGAAGCAGGACATGCAGAAGAGGAAGGCCGATCTCTTCTGATGCTGGCAGCATCACCTGGTTTGTCTCCTGCCATTTCCTCCCCCCCCGCCCCCCCTCCCTGCAGAAACATGGCTGGTGTGAGCTTTGCGATGCTCGAGTGGTTGTTCTCTGTAGGCCATTCTTTTATTTGTATATGAACATCTGGGCCGCAGGGCTGCTCCCCGGGGTCTTCTTCTTCTTCTTCTTCTTCTTCTTCTTCTTCTTCTTCTTCTCTGCGCTTTCCTGCTTGTTTGATGGTTCATATGTATGTATTTTGGGTGAATGCATATGAGGGTCCCCTTGATTTGTGCTATTGAAGAATGTATATTTGGTTCAGTTCACTTCTATTGAAGAACTGCCGCAGCTTTATTGACCCACCTACGTCCCCGTTGACCGCCCTCTGCCCGTCGTACTCATTGCTCTCGTTTGAGGATGATTTTCCATTGATCTTTGGAAGAAAACCAACCCAGTCACAGCCCGTGGTGTGGGTTGCCTTCTCTGGGGATCCCTCGAAACCCTTGAATTGTTACGTGAATATTATATGGGCTCTGGGAGACCAAAAGAGACAAATTTTTCTTGCTGAAGATTTTTTCAAAAAAGATTATCTGATTTGTATTATTATTATTATTATTATTATTATTCTCTTCTAATTCTCTTCCACTGTGGATGGTTTTCTTTCTGAAATAATTTGGAAAAATTGAAAAAAAAAAACAGGAGTTTATGTTGATTAAGTTTGAGATTTTATTATGGGGATGCGGTGAATTACTAATTATGTATTTTCATGTGGAAGAAGATGCCCATCGCAGGGTCTCATCTCAGTATTGGGTTAGGATTGTTTCTCTTGGACAGGATGAGAGAGAGAGAGAGTTGATGGGGAGTTCTGCATGCCTTTTTCAGATAAATTTTTCTATGGGAGTTTACTGCCGTCGACCATGGGTTTCTTCATTTTAGCCAGGAAGTTTTGATATATAATGGGGGAGGCATGTAAACCAGTCTGCTCTCTCTCTCATGAGCGTGTTTACCGTGGAAATCGTTAGAACCATTGACGGCGAACACGGGCATCGGGTTTCTCCCTTTCTCCGTACTCTATCTTCTCACTGGGCCTGCTCTCTCTCTCTGTCTATAGGTCACTGCTTGGTTCTAGCATTGGCAAGCTAGGACGACCATGACTCATCGGGAATCAACAAGCAAGGCGAGTACCTCAGCACAATGGTCTCTCTCTCTCTCTCTCTCTTCCTCGCTCTAGCTTGCTGCAGGAGAGAGGTCAGGGTCTCAATTCCGAAACCCAATTGCTCATTGGTAATCGGCGGGATAATCTCTCTCCTTCTCTCTCCTCTCTCTCTCTCTCTCTCTCCATATCCACAACCCGAGAAACCCGGTCTATATAGTAGGCGCCAACTCCCCGGATGGAAGTAGTAGTAGTGGTACTTCCCAACCGGCCCTCTCCCTCTCTCTCTCTCTCTCTCGCTCTCTATACCCCCTCTTCCCTGCGTTGCACGTGGCCATCAAGGCGCGCTGCAGGCACCGTCAGGCATGGCAGGAAGGGAAATGGGAGGGAATAGCCGCCTAAGTGGTCGGTCGGACGGCGGGCCGCAGGGGCCCTCGGGGTCCAATCTGCCGCCGGCGCCGCCAACGGCTCTCTCTTGTAACTCCGAATTGCCATAATCGAAGAAGAAAGACTCAGTAGTCACCTCTCTCTCTCTCTATCTCCCTCTCTCTCCCTCTCGTTCCCTCCCTCTCTCACCCACTCACCAACTCACTATCTCTCTCTCTCTCTCTCTCTCTCTCTCTCCCTCTCGTTCCCTCCCTCTCTCACCCACTCACTATCCTCTCTCTCTCTCTCTCTCTCTGTCTCTCTCTCTCTCTCTCGCTATCCATCTATATTTCTCTGCCTCCCGTTCGTGGTTCAAGTTCATTGGGAAGGCTGGGCTGAGGCGATCTATCCCCGGCTCAAGCTTCACAAAGCTTCTTCGTCCTTGCTGCTAACTTGGACGGCCCTACCCAGAGACCTTCGGCCGGCAACTGGTAAGTTCAGCCAGTCTTCCCGGAGCTTGCTTAACCTTCGCAGAGCCTGAGCTCCTGTAGATTAGGCAAACTAACGAGAATTAGGGTTCAGAACTAGAGAGCCCATTAATAGCTTCCTCCATGCCTAATCTAGCCTAGCCCTCTACTGCCTAATGCCCCTATCCACGGGCATTATACAGGCATTGAATGCTCGCCCCCCCACCGACACCAGACATTATCTCGTCTGTCCCCGCAGAAGCGTAATTGCCGGATACATGCAGTTCTGTGAAGCCCCGAGAGATCTGCCGGAGGGGCGCTTGACATCAGCCGATGTTCCACCCGCTGGGCCATTTCAGTCGCATATGGTAGATAATGCGCGCCGTAGGGAGCCATGCGATTGAACCCTCTCAGATAAGCAAGAAGGTGGTCGACTGTCGCGTAAGAAGAGGCCATTTTTATTGAGAGAATGGCGTGGAAACCGGCCCTTCAGCTGGGTTTTAATATCGGGTTTATTTCCGCAAACCATATTAGACATACGGTCACGTAGGAATAAATAAGATTTATTCATATTTTCTCACTTTTTGGCTGCGTTCGTCGCGTGCTCGTGTTTCGGCTGTTTACTTACTGTGACGGCATATATGTACGTTAAACTCCCCGTACGTGTATGGTACATGCACTAAGTATAGTCACCCATCATGCTCTCTCTCTCTATATCTATCTCTATCTATCTCTCTCACGCAGAAAGAAAAGAAGCCTAGATACCCGTTCCACCCATAGAGGGAGAGCTTCACAACCGATTTTATCGTTCACCTCTAGGACACTTTCCATTTCCAAAACTACCTCGAACTTGGCTGTGCCTCAGTGGTCCCCTCTCTCTCTCTTTCTCTCTCTCTCTCTCTCACGCAGAAAGAAAAAAGAAGCCAAGATACCCATTCCATCCATATGGGGAGAGCTGCACAACCGATTTTATCGTTCACCTCTAGGGCACTTTCCATCTCCTAAACTACCTCGAACTTGGCTGTGCTCTCTCTCTCTCTCTCTCTCTCTCCTCGTCGAAATCTTTGGGCTAACTCCGGGGGAAATCCTCTACAGGCCAGGGCGGGGGCTCGCCGTCACCATCCGTCATTATTTCGGACGTCACCAAGGCCCTTAAGCCGGTGAGTCAACGGCTATTCACCGGCCGAATAGGAGGATCCCCCAAAGTTTACCGCCAACCGTCACCATCTCCTCGACAAAGTAAGCCATGCAGGGCAGCCGAGTGTCGCCATAATACCGTCCGATTAACGTCCGAGGCTTCTTCCTTTCTTATAGGCGCTCGAAAGTTATTGCGGGGCACTGTTTCGACCGGCACCTTCTCCGCAGTAATGGCGGCATGTGGATCTCACCGCAGTGGGTCAGGCAGAGCTCGGGGTTTGCCCGTGTTAACCCCTGCACGTCGAGTCTGCGCCGCGGTGAATTGAATGGGAGAGAGAGAGCGACAGAGAATGGAGCGCCGGGGCAGCGCAAAGTGCTGATGTAGTTGAGGATGTGGACGTCTCCGGAGAGGAGGAGAAGGAGAGCCTCGGTGGGCTCGACTTGGCCGCCGGAGCATTTACTGAACCAGGACGGAGGTCGCAGAGGTGGTTGATGCCCACTAATGGCGAGAGATAAGGAAGTCCCCTTCGATGGGGACCCGGGTTTCCTGTTTTCTAACCCATCCGTAGGCCAACTTGGGGTTTAAATAGCCTCGGAGAGGCCAGAGTCAGGGTTCTACATCGAGGGCAAACTGTAAGTTTGACGCCCACGGTTGCACATGCCTTTCAGCGAGGAGCTTGCTCCACGGCACCTCCCCTGGGCCTCCCCCTATTAATGCAATGTTACAGATGGTGTAAGTCTGAAAGCGCCACAAGCAAGGTGATCGTTGCCCAAGGAGGAAGATGGAGGCGGCGATGGTGGTGGAGGACGCCACGACGAGTTTGGCGGCGCCGTCATGGTCGTCCTTCCGGCGTTCATGGGGCGGGGGATCAGGCTACCTCGTGTGGGAGGACCTGACGGCTGTGCTTCCTAGCTACAGCAATGACCGCCCGGTGAAGAAGCTGATCCAGGGGCTCAGTGGATACGCCGTGCCGGGCCGTATCCTTGCCATCATGGGTCCGTCAGGCTCCGGCAAGTCCACCCTGCTCGACTCCCTCGCAGGTAAGGACGATCCTCAGTGCCGATCATACCGTGTAAGGATTCGCTAATTGTGGGAGTCAATCACAGGGAGGTTGGGGAGGAACATCGTGCTAACAGGGAATGTCCTCTTGAACGGCCGCAAAAGGAGGCTCGACTACGGAGTCGTGGTGAGGATCCTCTCTCTCTCTCTCTCTCTCAAGCACGCTGGTTTTCTCATACGATCGCACGCTGAGCTGCCTTTAATTTGAGCGAGATCAGGCGTACGTGACACAAGAGAACACGTTCCTCGGCACGCTGACGGTCCGGGAAACGGTGGCATACTCGGCGCGGCTGCGGGTGCCAGGAAAAGAAGTGACGACGGTGGTAGAGAGCACGCTGGAAGAGATGGGCCTGGTGGAGTGCGCCGACCGTCCCATCGGCAATTGGCACCTACGGGGGATCAGCGGCGGGGAGAAGAAGCGTCTGGCCATCGCACTGGAAATACTCACACGCCCCCCGCTTATCTTCCTCGACGAACCCACCAGCGGCCTCGACAGCGCATCAGCGTTCTTCGTCGCGCTGACCCTCCGCCAGATGGCGCGTGAGGGCCGCACCGTGGTGGCGTCCATCCACCAGCCCAGCAGCGAGGTCTTCGCCCTCTTCGACGACCTCTGCCTCCTCTCCGGCGGTGAAGCCGTCTACTTCGGCGACGCAAAACTGTCCACAGAGGTAAGCCCAATGCACCTAATTGAAATTATAGCTATTACTTGATATCTTTTACTAGTACCCCATGAATCCCGTGATTCAGTCATCCAATTTAATTGCCTCCAGTTGTGTGGCTGCCCATATTATGGGGCAGAACTTCATCGAGATTTATCTTGCGCCATGGTGGCGGGGATAGATCCAGTATCGCCGACGGGCGCAATTAAGAGCTCGTCTTCAACCTCTGGTCTCCTCACGCCTCAAATTCAAGGCGGGGTAGCTGGTTTAGATCATTAAATGCCCGATAACAACATGCGGTTCAAGTTGGAGTGCCCCTCCCACAGTGGCTTTGACTAGTTTCTTCCTTTAGAAGTCGTACTCCATTAATCCTCGTCGTCCACACCTTTTTTTTCCTGGATTGCTTGTTTCTTGATCCTCCATCTGGTCTTCATCTGCCTATTTAAGCACGTTGCTGTCACAGCGCTGGGTCGGCCCTTGGGTGTTCCTGTCGTTTGGGCCCCCGCCCGGTGGCGTCGGTGACCACGACACTCGGATCCGATCGCTTCGACTGGATTACCTTGTGTCTCGTTTTGGACCAAACATAGATTTGAACAGAGGATAAAAGGAATTGACTTAACGCACTGAAGAGAACGACTGTTAGATGAACAAATGAATACACTGGAATCGGCCGATATAGATCTCATCGAGTTGATCTTCGTCAACTCCGACCTAGACCCACTGGTTCCTATTCACTTTCTCGATTATAAAGCCGGTGGACCATCGTGATCTTGATGCATCTGGATTGTAGTTGGCCGATCTTTAAGTCTGCAGTATGTAATGCGCATTTCACAGATATACAAATTTAGTTTTCGCTCCGTATATAACCTACTATAAATAATATGTAGTCGACCCTTTTGGCAAATTTCCCCAGTTAGCTTTTTGGCCATATTTGGCGTGTCTAGATATACATATTGATATTATCTGCATATTAGATATAACATAAGAATGCCACTTTAAACGATATTATTTTCTGTATTATTTATTTTCAAATTTTCGTATCAAAATATGAAATTTTGAGATGTGGGCTGACCTAATTGAGCACAAAGATTGTTGGGCTATTATGAAATATAATAATATATGATTCCCAGAGTTTTTATCCATTTTCGCATCCAGGAAAGATAATTCTCTCTTTTCCGTATCTATAATACCAACCCAAGAAAGGAAAATGAAATTAACCATGGCTAATTGGAAGCTTAGTAAGCCATGAGATCATATTTTTCTAAAAGCACTAACACTCGTATTCATCTGGGATGTACTTCGATGTGTTGCACCAACATGATCAAAACCACAGTTTTTCGCCCATGTGGGATTCCGATGCCCCAGCAGGCGGAACCCGTCAGATCACTTTCTCCGCTGCATCAACTCCGACTTTGACCACGTCAACGCCACACTTAGAGGCTCCCTTAAAATCCGCAATAAGGTATTTATATCTTGTTTTCTTTAGTATTTTTCGCGCATTTATTCCACTGTGGTACAAAGCATCTCTCTCTCTCTCTCTCTCTCTCTCCCCCCGCTAACTTGCTCTCTTTCTTGCATTGTGAAGGGGGTGGGCGTGTCCTCAGATCCTCTAATGAACATGAGCACCTCCGACATCAAGACAATGCTCATTAACAGATACAAGACATCCGAATATGCCACCATTGTCCGAGAACGCATCGAAGAAATCTCCGCGATAGTAAACACCCTAATTTTCCTAAACTTGACAGCGATGAACTTCGAACTTAACCCTACTTATCCTATAGGGTTGGACTAATTTAGCTGTGGCATTGTCTGATTACAGGAAGGCCTACCGGTGGAACCCGTAAGAGGGAGCCATGCCGGCTGGTGGAAGCAGCTCTCAACCTTAACAAGAAGATCGACCGTCAACATGCTTAGAGATATCGGCTACTACTGGGTGAGAATCGTCGTCTATATCATTGTCTCCATCTGCGTAGGAACCATCTTCTACGACGTGGGCTCGAGCTACACGTCTATACTGGCTAGAGCCTCGTGCGGCGGGTTCATCTCCGGCTTCATGACCTTCATGTCCATCGGAGGCTTCCCTTCCTTCGTAGAGGAGATAAAAGTCTTCTACTACGAGAGGCTCAATGGGCATTACGGCGTCTCTGTCTACATCCTTTCGAACTATCTCTCGTCGTTCCCCTTCCTGTTCGTCATGTGCCTCTGTACAGGGTCCATCACCTACAACATGGCTAAGTTCCGGCCAGGTTTCATTTACTGGGCCTACTCAACCCTAGTCCTTTTTGCTAGCATTGCCTCGATTGAGAGCCTTATGATGATCATAGCGGCACTTGTGCCCAACTTCCTGATGGGCATCATAACGGGAGCCGGCGTCATGGTACGGAGCATCTTCTTTTCTATTGTCATTTGCTGAAGAATTTTATCATTATAACAACATTCATCTTCGTAATTTGCGGGATTTCTCAGGGTATTATGATGATGACGTCTGGGTTCTTCCGGCTGCTGCGTGATCTTCCCAAGCCTATTTGGCGATATCCTATTTCCTACATCAGCTATGGATCTTGGGCCATGCAGGTATGCCCATTGCCTTTGATTCAATACTTGTGTTACACAGGTCTAGTGAGAGATGGATCAGTATGTTGGACAAAATAGGTCTTTTAAGTACTCACTTGGATGTACCAGCGTATCATGTAGTCATGTAGTTATAATTTCGATTTTCTAGGTGAAGATAAGCTGTCGGTTTAATTACATGGTCCACTTTACATTGTACTTCATAGTATACCGATAAGTTACCAATAACCCATCTGGAACATCTCGTAACACCAAGAAGTAGGTAGATACGGGTAACATTGCATTGCATGTTAACTCCATATTTTTTCTGGGAATAAAATTTAATGTCGGATCCAAAGATAAATATTATTTTCTCTAGGTTATGGACCTCATGTTTACCGGAAAACCTATGCTGATTTCACAGGGAAGCTACAAGAACGACTTGCTTGGACTAGAATTTGATTCCTTCGATCCCAGACAGGGCAAAATGACCGGCGCAGAAGCTCTTGAGACCATGTACGGGATAAGTCTGAAACACTCGAAATGGTGGGATCTTGTGGCAATCTTCGTCCTGATTTTCGCATACCGTATTACGTTCTTCCTTGTGGTGAAGTTTAAGGAGAGAGCTTCACCTCTGTTTCGGAAAGTTTATTCGACGATAGCTCTCTATCGAATGAAGCGAAGATCGTCATTCACTACGAAGAGCTCATTGGTCACCTCTAGTTAACCGCGTGATCACCCACTGCACGGGCAGAGGTTCGTAACTCGATGCTTAATTAACGTCTTGTGTTTGTAATTGTGTAAAGCTTGCTTCGAAATAAAACTGGGTTTTATGATTCTTTCCAGAAAATTCGCTTACATACATCTTTGCAGAGAAACATTCGGATTACAGATGTTCGGGAATGTTGAAATGGATTGGAGAATACATGTATTTGTTCCTCTAACTTATGTCAGATCACAGGTTTAAACCATATTTTGGTATTTTCATTTTATTCTCTCTCTCTCTCTCTCTCTAACTCCAACTCTAACTCGTCCACGTAGAGCAAGAACTTTGACTTTTATATGCTCAAGGGCACAGTAAAAACTGAATCGTTATAATTCCTCCTATTCAACGTAAAACTAACGGTGCTGACTTGTTGTATTGTCATTACATTTTAAGGAAGCAACTTTTCTTTCCGAAAATCATAATAGCAATCTGTATGGAAATCTCAATGTTAAAGATATAAAGTATAAATCTATACGCACCTTTGAAATTTTTGAATTTTACTTTAAAGGAACCCTATTAATTTGAATAATGCATTCATATGCAAGAAAAAAATTCATAATGGTGGAACCTTATAAAATTACACGGATGGGTTGATTACATCAAAGGTTCGTCCAACCTAAATAGCTAGTTATCTGTCTCTTTTATCAACTAATTTTTTTTCTGAGCCCATAAAAGGTCAGTATTACGAGTTTAAAATTTATTACAATAGTTGTTAGATGCCTTCTAGATACATGTGAGAGTTCAAACTTTATCGACTACATTCGTTTATTTAATAGATTGTCAAAAGCTCGAGAACATCATTCAATTTAATTGATAGTTTTTATCTGCCTGAATTCATCATCTTCCTCTTCTGTATTTCACAAATCAATCCCAAGAACATGAGAAACATTCAAGAATTCGTCTTGTCATCTTCTACCCATCTCATAAATGTAGATGTCTAAGCGTCTACAAATGCATACTTATCGATCCACCATCAAACAAGTACATTAATCAGTTTGGGTCACCATTATCATAATGGAAATCTAGATATAGATGCCTCGCCTAGATGTCGGCATTAAATATACTCATCGCATGACATTATCTCTACTGACTATCTTACTTTATATCTAAGGTATTTACATATCAATTATATATATGACCTTTCTCTTCAGCTTTTTCGTAACCCAATTAGCACTAAGAATGTAGTGACCGAAACTTTAAGTTATAAACTATATCCAAGTTATAATTGCTCCAGTTAGAGGACATGCATTTAACATATCATTGAACCATAATCAATAGGAGCCATGTATATTCCAAGAATGTAGTTGAATGTGTAGGCTAAGGCTTATTTTAGGTATTTATTACATGAATATTATAAAATGATATCAATAATTATGAGACTATGATTCCATCTTATCATCAACAGGATATATAAGGAATTTTTTAGATGAAAAAGTTCAACATTTATCAATGGATCACAACACACAACATTCAATTTAATATTTTACCAAAGCACAACAAACAATGACAAGAAATTTGTTACATATCAACGTTCTCCTAGTGGTTGGGTATATGGACAAGCATTAGTTGGACGTCAACATTGTGCTGGAACTCTTGGCTTTCTTATTTAATAATTCAGGTCCCAACAATTCAATTTTATTTAAATATTTTAAACATTTAATTTAATTTCCCTCTTGTGGACGAGTTTCCCATGATAAAATATAAAATATTACAGTTCTTGTCTCAAGTGTTGCTTTAGCGTGTAAAAGAAATTATTATATTCAAAAAGGCTAATTTAGCAATCATCATAAATTATATTATTTTGTTATTCTAATTCAACAATTTCATTCAATCTATGAAAATTTTGAGTCAAATATGCAAAAAAATTAACCTAATATATTAGAACACCATAGTGCTAGCTTCTTTCACATTCAAATTGAGTTCATTAAGATTTTCTACACAAAAAGATAGAAATTTAAGAGAAAATAATTCATTATTTGTCTTGAATTAAATATATCAAATTACATTGGCAGAAGTTTATTAGCAAGGCTAACATTGACAAAATTTAGGCCTACCAAAGAAGTCATCAAAATATAATAGAAATGCCAAATTTATTCTTCACCTTCATTATATTTTAAATACAATATGAAAAAGATGATGATGGATTAGATGTCATGTATTTTGATAATAATAAAAACCTATTGGGTGGAACAATCATTTAGTTAAGTATTTATTATAATAATTTACTATTATGAATATCTTAGATATTTATAATTAAGTTTAAGATGATGTAATAGTGTTGGCATGCAAATTTTCTATGAAATAGTATTATTTTACAGTGATTTTGTTTCAGTTTAAATGAAGTGAAATTGATTTCATTATTTTTCCTGAATTTAAGTTGCAATTGATTTAATTTTTTCGGTCTGGATTTAAGGGTAATTTATTTGATCATTGGGCTTGATTTTAAGAAGAAAATGATTTACTTATTGGGCTTGAATTTGAAGTTTACATTGAATTGTTTATTGGGCCAGATTTGAAAGGCGTAATGGATCCAGTTAGTGGGCCTAATAAAAGGGTATGTCGCCTCTATTATTTAGAATAATGGAACTGGTTTTTAGCTCTGGATGGAATGCTCTCGGATCCCTCTAAACCAGGTTATACGGATCTCCTTAAAACACCGGTTCCAAAACGTAAACGAGACGAACCGTTGTTCGCCGTCTAAGATTTGATCCGTCTAAGCCCATTAAGGATCCGGAATATTCATATCCTGACTTTGGTGAATATTCATATCTACGTTTCTCTCTCTCTCTCTCTCTCTCTCTCTCTCTCTCTCTCTCTCTCGCTCCTGCGACGGACGAACGAAGAGAAATAGGAGTTTTTTTCGAAGAAAAAACCCCCGTCTATTCACCGAAAAAGTCGTAGAAGGACGACGGAAAATCACGCTGATATTCACTGCGAAAAGAAGAGTTTCAAAGAAGAGAAGGGAAAAGAAAGACTACTACTCATGCAAGAAAAAGAAACTAAAATGGAGAAATAGACAACACAGCGTTGACGACGAGATGACCATACAATAATATGGGAGAATAGAGCCTGGAGAGCTAAAACCCTAAAATTGAAACATGACTTCTGGATTCACGCTCTTCAACATGATGAAGAATGTTTATACATGAGAGGAGACCCTCAAATAGGCTTGCCTACTTCAGAATATCCCGGCAAGTCTAAATCGATGAAGTCTTCCTTGCTTGCACCATAGCCCTAAGTCACAGAAGCTGACATTTACCATCGCCATCCCCTGCATTTGAGTTATCATCACCAGTCTCCCCTGTGCAAAGCTAATAACACCAAGTAATTATCAAAATTTGATGAACTTAAGATGATTTAAAGACATTGTAAGATGATGTGAAACTTATTCATTTATTAACTAGAATGTCATCTCAATTGGATTGTTCAGCAACTTCATCTCGACCAAAGTCATGTTGAATCTCAATAATCTCTACTTTTCTATGAAATTCTAGATTTCTTGTCCCTGATATGGTTGATTTTTTGTCGCAGTAAATCAATATGGGAGTTACCTTTCAAAAAAAATGTGATCCTTTTCATTTCTACACTAAAGTGCGACTAGTGATGTAGTAATTATTTAGGTTCAAATAATGACAATATCATCCTTTCTTATTTCTTTGAAGTCCAAATTACAGCACATTATATAAAAATGGTGATGAACTGAAAAGAGTTTTTCCTATCATCTAAAGATCATATCTAATCACTATCAATAGGACTCAATAACTCAAATTAAGGTATTCCATTATATAAAATTTAATAGGTGTTTCTTTGCTTCTTAAAAACGATGAATAGAAGAACAATGTATAAATATAGATACCATATTAAATATAAAATATAATATCATGCCACCTTTGAGTTAAACTCATCAAGTTGCCAAATAAACTTTTGTATAGTCAATCATCTATTCTCGCAGTTCCATTATCAATTCGTAAATTTTCATTGGTATTTATTGAAGTGGATTTTTTTTTTAATTAAGCATATTCAAGTTTTTGAACAAATGTGAAGCACACTTCTGTTGCGAATTACATATACCAAAATCATGTTGAAAGTAATAGAGTAAATACTTATATGTTGAACCACATTTAATCATCAGTAAAAAATATGATACCTAATAATAATGTCATCTACATATACAGACTATAAGACTTTTATTTTGTTTCATCTTTACATAGAGAGTTAGTTCACTAGGATTTGTATAAGAAGTATGATTTGAGGAATTTTCCTGTGTTGCGTAAAATAATATGATAATGGCATGATTCTTTCTCATGTTCGTCAAGGATAAATTACTATTTTTCCCAGTCTAATGTACTATCCCCTTGGTTCTTAATTAAACATAAAGTGTATGTTTAACCTATAAACTTTATCTTATTATAATTAATCACAAATCCTTGTGGCCGCCCAACCTAGACGTCATTATCTAACAAACCATTTGGAAAGATAGATTTAATATTAATATGAAATAAAAAATATCTCATTTAGCTTCTATATTCAAAATTATTATTACTATTTTAAATTCAAAAAATATAAAAATTAAAAATAATCAATATGGTATTAGTGCACGTACTTTCTATCTTGCCTTATATTTTCTACACATTTTCATCTATGTTATACTTCATTTTTTAACCACAATTCACATTAATGGATTCATTCGTTGATTGTAAGCTTACAATCTCCCATACATCCTTCCTTTTAATAGAGACAATTTTTCTTAAAAGACATAGGTTTCTTTCGTTCCCGTATGCATCAAGCTTCTTCTTGGTTCATATAGGTGAACATGACTTATTCATATATTTTACTTAATTACATTTTCTTTAGGAGTCATTCAATTGAGGGTCAAATCATTGTGATTGTTGAAACCACTTGAATATTTTGGAGACTATTTCTAGGAAAAACTTGATGAAGGGGAAATTTCAAGCATCCCACCTTGCTCCAATTGTGTCAAATATTATACAATTTTGGAAATATGCACATTTCAAAACAGTTCATTGTTTCAATTCTTATAGTTATTTTCATTAAAAAAATTATATCAATTAATAATTAAATTCTTTATTTGAAAATTACTAAAAAAACTATTTAATTTTATCTCTAAATAAATAAATGCGTAATAATTTTATTTTTTTATATAGTAATCAGAATCAATCAAGGCATAACTTAATAGCCAAAGTTTTAAATGATTAAAATATTTTGTAAGGAGTCACATTCATCACTATCTTCAATGTAGAAATGTCAAGAGGATAGACTTACCAAAACTACTACTTTCAGCCCAAAATTCACTTGAAAACTACTTTTCTCCAAACATGATTTAAGTTATTCGATCACTTTCATTTTTTCCTTTAAGCTATGTCATTTTATTCTATTTTTTAATATTCCATAGATAAAGGATGGCATATTTAATCAAGATCACATAGTTGGAATTGATATTGAATTGCACTTTGTTGATTCTACTAATAAATTAAATTTTTTTTATTAAGCCATTACTTGTATAAAGGTTCATATTCTTATGAAGAGAACAAAATGAGCAACATCAATTAAGAATGAGTCATTCTCAAATGTTAATTTTTAGTATTATTATTTGATTGTTTTATGAATATTTAGGGTGGTTTCTATTATTTTATTATAATATCTGGTGAGTATAATGAAACTAAAAGAAAAAGAGTGGAAAGAATGATACTGAATTTCGGGAATTGATTAAATCATTGGCATGCCTAGATGAGAAGAGATCAATGCATGTGGCTCTAAAGTGATTATTGTTGATACTTTTTAATCATAATTTATCTTAGATGACATTGATTCTGGTGGCATCCTGGGAGCATGTTGCTTTATTTCTTTTTCGAAGTCAAACTCATCTGAAATGTATTTCATACATTCCTATCGTGCCTAATTTTCATATTAAGGGGTAGCAAATCCAGCCACATTCGATGATGTAATTGTACGAGAATTATAATAAAATAGCAAAAAGCCTACAGCAAAAATGGGGAAGCCCATTAGATCCCACAAAAGCCCATTAGATCATTCTCCAAAACTCCATCACTTATTGGCATTTGACTGTTGGAAGTTTGGTCCGAAATTCAGAAACTCAAGAACTCATCGAGAAACAGCAGGAGAACCTCGAAACAGCATATATTCCTTAGATGCATGTTTTTTCGACTTCTCTTTTGTGGTTAAGTTCATTGCGAAGCTTCACAAAGCTTCATCCTTAGTGCTGACTTGGGGACATTCAGCCTATGGCCGAGCATTTTTCAGCCATCTTTTCCTTTGATCTTCGCGGAGCCTGTTATCCTGAAGATTATTCCAAACTAACTAGAGCTACAGTGTCAGAAGCTGAGGCTGCGTCCCCATCAATAATTTTCTTGATGCCTATTCTAGCGTAGATCTATGTTGCATGATGCCCCCTGTCCACATGCATTCTGCAGACATTGAATGCTCGCCCTCGCCGACACTGGACCTCATCGATTCTTTCCCATCAGAAGCTTGATTACTACGTGAAGATCTGCGATGCCTCTCGAGATCTGCCGGAGGAGCGCTTAAAGTCGGCCGATGTTCCTCTGAGTTCGCATTTCAGCTGAAGATAGTAAATAATGTACGTGGTTGGGGGACATGCAATTGAGCCTCTTGAAATCAGTGAGAAAACCGTTGACTGTAAGGTAAAAAAAAAGGCAACTTTATCGAGAGAACGGCGCTGACAGCGTAGTATCTGCGACGAATCCTGCGCCCTTGACTGGGTTTTAGTATCATCTTTTATTTCCTGCGGAAATATTAAAGTTATTAAAGGCAAACGTAGGAATTCTTTGTACCAGTTCATATTCATCTTGTCTGTCGCTCGCTGTGAGTGTATTGATCCAACTGGTGGCATGTCGATCTCACCCCTGTGGGTCCAGTTGAGCTTGGGCTTTGAATTTGTGAGAGAGGGAGACGGACAGAGTGTAGTGCGGGGACAGAAGGATATAGTCGGGAAGTGGACTTCTCCATGCTGAAGGAGAACGAATGGGGGGGTTACGATCGAGGGGGAGCCTCGGCGGGCTCGACTTGCCCTCCAGAGCATTTATTGAACCAGACAGTAATGGCTGCAGATCAGGGAAGTAATAGCCTTCGACGGCGTACCCGCGATGGCGAGGCGACCTGCCAGAGGCCAGGCGCAGCATTCTACGTCGAGGGAAAACGGCCGCACAGAGCTTTCAGTGAGGAGCTCCACCTCGCAACCTCGCCTGCGCCTGCCCTGTTAATGCTATGAACTGATGGCGCAAGTCTGAAAATGCAACTAGGACATGTGATCGCACCAGAGGAGGGGAAGATGGACGTGGTGACAGAGGTAGACGGCGCCACGATGACCTTGGGGGCGCCGTCATCGTCATCCTTCCGGCAGACATGGGGAAGGGGGTCGGGTTACCTTGTATGGGAGGATCTGACGGGCGGTGCTGCTCAGCTACAGCAACGACCCCCGGCGAAGAAGCTGCTCCAGGGGCTCAGTGGGTACGCTGTGCCCGGCCGTATCCTTGCCATAATGGGTCCCTCGGGATCCGAGTCCACCCTGCTCGACTCCCTCGCAGGCACGGACGCCGCAGATGATCCCCAGTGCCGCACTTCGATCATACTGAGTTAGGATTCGCTAATTGTGAAATTCAATCACAGGGAGGTTGGGGAGGAACATCCTGATAACTGGAAACGTCCATTTGAACAGCCTGAAGAGTGAAGAGGTTCAAGAATAGAGAATGGAGGTGCAGAGGAGAAGAAATTGAGAGAGAAATTCTAGACAGATCTAGATTCCACCTTGAATTATTTACATCAGAGTCTCATCGTTTTATAGTGGAGCGATTACTATTAACAGATATTGTCGAATCTTGAATTCAAGCGGTTACACTGATGCGGTCATGGTCAGAGTTAACCATCTTTGACCCATCGCTATTCAAGAATGCCTCAACACCCACCTACAAGTGAAGTGCTGGTACGACATTGAGCTTGAACCAAAGAAGAAGAAAATGATTTTCGGACAGCAGCTTGGTGAGCAGATCCGCCGTTTGATCTTGACTAGAGACAAAGCCGATGTGTAGCTGCCACGAAGAGACCTGCTCACGAATGAAGTGAAATCTCTTTCGATGTGTTTCATTCTGGCGTGAAAGACTGAATTTGCCACTAGATACTTGGCCCTGATGTTATCACACCAGAGTATAGGTGGTGGAGTAATAATTCTCAGTTCCCAAAGAAGCGAACGTAGCCAAGTGAGTTCAGCTGTGGGATTGGCTAGAGCTTTATACTCTGCTTTAGTACTTGACCTTGCCACTGTCAGTTGTTTCTTGGAGCTCCAAGATATCAAGTTGGGTCCAAGGTATGAGGAAACTGTCGGTGGAACATTGATCCTCTGAGCACCCAGCCCAATCGACATCACTGAATGCTGAGAGGGAGAGAAGTGGTTCCTGACGTAGTAATAGCCCATAAGTGAGGGTGCCCTTCAAATAGCACAGAAGATGCTTCAGTGATTACCAGTCAGCTGATTGTGGATTGTGCATTGCTCGGCAAGCGGAGTTCACAGCAAAGGAGATGTCTGAGCGAGTAATGCTCAAGTATTGTAGAGCTCCAACAATGCTCTGATAATGTGATGGTTCACCAATGGAAGAAGACTTGACTGTGGAAGTAGAGGATGGACATGGAGTGGACAGAGGCTTGCATTTATCCATGTGAACTCTTTCCAGTTAGATTGTGAGAAGACATATCCGCTCGTGTGAGGTAGAAATTCCACACCTAGAAAATGATGAGCCTTGCCAAGATCTTTAACAGATAATTGAGAACTGAGAAAGTGAATTAGAGACTTGATTTCAGGCATGTGGTCTAAGAATTAGTATATCGTCCACATAGATGAGTACATAGATCCTTATGGATGAGTTGAAGAACAATAATGTGTCTGTCTTAGAACCCGTGAAACTGAGCTGAATAAGGTGCTTAGTGAGTTTGTGGAATCACTCTTGTGAGGCCTATTTAAGGTCGTAGAGAGACTTTTGGAGTTGACACACGTAATCTGGGAACCGTGGGTGTTTGAAGCCTTGTGGTTGCTCCATATAAATCAATTCGGTAAGGTCTCCATAGAGAAACGCATTCCAGGTATCCAATTGGTGAATGAATCAGTTGTGCCTAATGGCAATGGATAAGAGAATTCATTTAGTTGCAACTTTAATCACAGGGCTAATGGTTTCATGGAAGTGAACCCCCTCTTGTTGATCAAATCCTTTAGCAACTGGTTGTGCTTTGTAGCGGTCAATACTGCCATCGGGTTTAAATTTGTGGCGATATATCCATTTGCATCTAATGACCAGTTGTGAGGCCAGTCAAGGAACGAGAAGCCATGTCTGATTTTGAATGAGTCCTTGGAGTTTTTGTTACATAATGTTGACCCGATTGGAATCTTGGAGTGCTTGGGAAATGGAATGTTGTTTGTATGAAGAGGTGGCTGTAAGACATGTAGGTAGAGGGTGTTTTTGAGTGAGATTGGTTGTCGATGAAGATATTACTTGAGTATTGTTATAAATGTCATGTAGGGTTTTTACGGACAGCATAGGGGCTTGATTTGTCAAGATTAGAAGGAGAGAGTGGGTTAGTTGAAGGAATGTGGCTAGTGAGAGAAGGTGAGGAGTGAATAGTAATTGGGCTAGCGCGAGATGTTTTTGATGTGTTTGGGATAGAAAATTTGGCTTCTAAAGGTGAGGTGACAATAGTTGTGAGGAATCATGTTTCGGAAGGCATGATTATTGTGGGGGATATGTCTAAGTGGTGTGTGAGAGTGACAATAGTATTGGATTACTTGATAATTCTCTCAACACTCCTTGAGCTTGAGAAGTGTGTGAGGAGGAAATAGTTATGTCAAGTGAGTTTTGAAAACAAAATACTTCTTCATTGAAGATCACATCCCTTGATATAAAGATTTTGTCTGAAGTGAGTGAAAGACATCTATAACCTCAATAAAATACTTTGTCACTCAAGAACACGCATCTCTTAGATCTTGAGGTGAGCTTTGTGGATGCATAGGGCCTTAAATTAGGATAATAAGAGTACCCAAATTTTTTGAGGAATTGATCGTCAAGAGATTGTTGATATATCATCTCATAAGGAAATTTATGCTTCAGAATGGGAGTTGGCATGTAATTAATGAAGTATGCAATTGTTGCCACTACTTCATCCTAGTATCTGTGTGGCATCGAGGCATGCTTAAGGAGAGAAAGAGATGTTTCAATTAAGTGTCTGTGTTTTCTCTTCGTTGTCCTATTTTGAGTAGATATATGTGGACATGAGATTTAATGATGTATGCCTCAATCAGTGAGGAATTTACCAAAAGACCGAAATTCTCCTCCCTAGTTTGACTGAAAATTCAAAATTTTCAGTGATAGTTATAGTTCTACTCATTTTTGAAAATTTATAAACATTTGAACAACGTTATTTTTCTACTTCAGCGGATAAAGCCATGTGTATCTTGAATAATTATCTACAAAGAGCACATAGTATTTGTATCCCACATGTGAGATGATGGGTGATGGCCCTCATAGATCTAAATAGATCAGTTTTAAGGATTTACTCATAGAGTGTTGTGACTTTAAAAAAGACAATTTAAGTGCTTTAGAAGAAAGACATGCATCACAAGTTGAGCTTTTATTGACTTTCAATGTGGGCAGTCCATCGGTATCTATTACATGTCTTAAAATTCTAAGATTTGAATGACCCAACCACTTATGTCATGTGCCAATCGATACCTTCTGTCTTATGAACACTCGTGAAAAACTTTGAATTCTACAAGAAGTAGAGACCATCTTTAATTGTTCCCCAAAGTAGAGGAGTTCCTATTGCTTCGTCTTTCACAAGACAATATGAAGCATGAAATTTCACATAAATGTTGTTATCATTAGTCAATTTATAAACTGATAGAAGGTTTTTGGCAATTGTAAGTACGTGAAGGACATCACGAAGCTTTAATAAATAGTGATGCAAAGGTAGGATGAAGTTTCTAACATAATAAATATTTAAATTTAAGTCATTACTGATTTACAAATGATCGTTGTCTTGATAAATCAATAGATCTATGAGAGTTTGTGGCTTGTTCGTAACATGATAAGTGGCACCACTATTTGAATACTAGGCAATGGAATTGAACAACTCTATAAGTGTTAAATTGGACTGACTTGTGAGAGAATAAACTTGAAATTGAGGAACATTTGTTGCAGAATTGTTCCAACAAAGAAGCTTTGATTGAATCGTTCTCAGTAATCTTGGGCTCTATGTCTAAATTGTTCACATATTTGACATATGGGAGTGCATCGCCCTCTATTTGGCCACATTTGTGGCTAAATCTTCCTCTAGATCATCCTTTGCCTCATTCTAGGATGCTTGATTGAACTTGATTCACTGTGGAAGGAAATTTGGTTGAATCCTTATTCACCATTGAGAGATTGACCAAGTCTTTGTGCAAATGGATTGAAGTTACCATTTCTTCGAAGCTCAAGTTATGTAGATGTGAGGTGATTCTTGCATTAAACGTAACATAGGAGGGACCTAACCCTCTCAAAAGTGCATACATAGTGACAGTTTCTTGAACAGGCGGCCCTACCGCTATGAGTTCATCACATGTACTATGAAGAATCTACACATAATTAGAGATTGGCATGATTCCTTTTGTTGTATTGTGTAGCTTCTTGTGTAGATGCATAATTCTTGACAGATTCTTAGAGAAATAATTCTTATTGAGAGTAATCCATGCTTCTTTGGTAGAAATTTTGCCAACAACGCTGGGCAGTATCAATTTCGTGAGAGAGAAAATGATAAGAGTGAATATCTATTGATCTTGGTGCCACCATTGTTGATACTCAAAACTGACAAGTAATGTGCTGTTGGGACTTGACTTAGTCGAGTTTGGTGGATCTTGATCGAGAATGTGAGGTCATAGTAATTTAGTAGAGGAAGTGATTGAGTTTTTCATAATAAGAAATTATCTCTCATGAGTTTGATTGAAATCTATCCATTGATGTGATTTGTGGTGATCAGTGCTGCAAACTAAGATCTGCTAGTTTCCAAAATTTATAATGATTGCATCCAAGGATGTGGGAGAGGCCATAGATCAAGAAGTTGTTGAGCAAGGATTCAAGAATAGAAAATAGAAGTACAAAGGATAAGAAATTGAGAGAGAAATTCTAAATAGATTTAGATTCCACTTTAAATTATTTACATTAGAGTCTCATCCTTTTATAGTGGAGAGATTACTAGTAATAGATATTCTTGAATTTTAAATTCAGGTAGTTACATTGAAATGGTTATGGTCAGAGTTGACTGACGTGACTTAATCGTTGTATAGTAAATCATGTAAATTTAAAATTTATAAAACTAGAAAATATAAATTTTTAGATATTTAGAAGTATTTTTGAATAAATATATCAATTATAATTTAATAAAACTTCTAAAAATAGAAATAATTTTTTAGATCGATCAAATAAATGTAATATAATATTCGGTAATTATTCAGAATTTTTTTCAAAGAATATTATTTTCTATAAATTTTATACTAAGAAATAAAAATAAAATACATTTAAAATTCACGAAAAAAGGAAATAAGGGTGCAAACGTCAAGATGACTTTAATGCCTGATGAACGTGAATTGGGTGGAAATAGAATTCTACTCGATGATTCTTACGTAAGTGATTATAGTTAATTTAATTGATCAAATTAAGATTTGTAAAAGCTGAAATAATCATAATAAAATGAAGTATATCTTGGTAAATTTAAATCATATAAATTATCACTAAATAAAGAAAAATTAAGTTGAAATTAGGAAAATAAAGTTCTGACATTGCGACAGCGATGCGTCGGTGATGTACTAGAATCCTAAGTGTTCAGGAGGATTGTCGTGTAGTATCTATGGCCTCGAAGTTTCTCCTTGGACAGAGATGACGTGGGCGATCTCTAAATCATCTTGAAAAATTTAAAGATCAATGAAATGGGTCATCGAATCGTCTCCAGTAGCTGTCACTAGGCTAAGTAGAAAAATAGTGACTTTACGACTCTCTAGCGGCCGTCACTCGATAGAGAGGATTTGAATGGAAGTAGGGCACGTGTCAGAGAGCTTCATTCTCAGGTCCACGCAGCATGAGGAGACTCTTCATTGCATTTAGTATACTCTCAAAAGGTGGTGACTCGTCTCCTAACGGATCATCCTCTTTCCGATGACAGCTTGTTTGTTGATCAATCGAAGATGCTTTACTCGACAAATTCGTGATTTTTTTATTGCGAATTATTTAGTAATTTTAGTAACAATTTTCTGCGAATCATGTTGATGAGATTTTTGCCGATGATCTTGCGATTCTGATTGTTTAATCCTTCATCGACGATTTGTGAAAAAGTCACAATAATTAAATAAAAAATATTAAATTTTTGCTCTAAGAGGATTCGAACCTACGCCAATTGCCCACCCTTTTTAGGGAAAGTGTGACGTGGGTTTAGTCCCACATTGCTTGTGCATCAAATTTTTAGATGAATATATAATAATGTTACATTTATAAGTAAGTCCTTTTCTTACGCGTGTACAACCACTCTTTGCCTCACAACTAATTGGCTAATAGTGATGTGAAAGGGGAGTGACGCACACATGCCCCTATCAGTCCAAGCCGCTCAAGTCCCTACTTGTGGCTCCTCCCTAACTGCACTT